TCCTTGTCAGGCTCTCTATCCTTGAAAGTTTGTTTTGAGGACCAGAAATATTCAATTCTAAATCTTTATCTTGTAAATACAAAAAATATATATGTCTCAATGACACTGTAATGACACTCACTTTAAAATCAATTAGTCTATTTTATGTTCACTATTTCCTGCTGAAACATGTGCATATATATATATGTATACATATTTCACTGACGTGTATATATTTTGACAGATAACAAGAAATATAATGCACAAATAGATCTAAATCTGTCAATCAAACTGTCAACTGATTTCGATATATTTTTTACCCTTTTAACTAAAATCTTTTTATGTACTCCTGCTGGCTATTTTAAAAATAAGACTTCCCATTATATGGACAGTTCTAATCTTTGTACAAATCTTATTCTGAATCAGTGCAATTAAAGCATTCACAGATTAATGACATCCTGAAATATACTTCTCAGTCCGGCAAATGATTCTTGACATTTGTAAAAAAACTTGTGCTGTGTTAACACTATTAAGGTATGCATCGGCAATTTGGAGTGAAGTGGTCAAACATGTGAATGATGTAGGTACAATACTTTTTGAATTATTCCCCTGAACTTGTGGCCACCCTATACAACTTCAACAAATTAAGGCAAGTATGAAATATCTTATCGAACAGAAACAAATTGTAATTCTATGAATTAAATTCTTCTGGCATCCACATTAACATAGACGCACACAGTGCTAGTTTATCAATAAAAAGACTTGCTGTAGTTTTCATTGCACATATTAGCATATCTATCAAAATGTGTTATATTCTTTTACTACAATATATTTTGCCAGGGATGTCATTCAATGAAGTTAAGCAGGGTAGACTCTACCTACCAGTCTGTCACAGTTGACAATACCTGAATAACCAGTGTGTTTAATTCATGAATTAAAGAGAGAGATGAAGATTATGATAGATGACACTCATTATTTAATTGCACATTTATCGTTTTATAAAGCATTGAGCGATCAAATTATTTATCATTTTGCTTAACCTGAGCAGAAAATGCTCATTATCAAAATTAGTCAAAGTATATACACCAGTCAAGACATTCACCAAACAAAAATCTACAGCAAGTTTAAACATTTTACCCTGATTACAACCAGAGGATGCTGAATGTTGACAATTTTTCAATTTATCTCTCTTTGTAAATACTGAAAGGAATTTAACACATTTTGAATATTCCTTTTTAAAGTTTCAACTTCTCAATATTGTAATTTGCAAGGGATTAAAAGTTTCATTTTCACATACAATTTATCATACAAATCTATTTTATTGTTTGTTTCCCCTTTCAAAAATTCCATTTCCTCAAGGCCATGAGAGCATATTTCTTAATTCCTGATGAAATGGTACTCAATATCTGGATTAGGGCTTGGTGCCTGTATATACAGATAAAATATCAGACCTATGGTCAGGCAAACTTTTTTTTTTTAATATAATTGGATGCATATCTTCACTGCTGCCCAGTGCACATGACATCGAACCCTGTCAAAAATAGGTTAACAGCCCCATGTATGTATAAAGAATTGGAGACGACCTCTACAATAGACTAAATGAATTCAATTAAGTTTACCCCCAGTATTCTATTATATACAACAGTACTAAGTTGGCATTTAGTTCACTTTGATTACAATGGCTCTATGAATGTTATCTGGTTGTTAGGGTATTAAAAAGATCAACCAGTCTCAATCAACCATGAAATTAACCGCTAAAGGAATGATATTGTTACAGAACAAAGACTAAAGGACCCCTGTAGTGTAAAGACTATTTGTATTATGTTGAAACCGGTGGGTTGACACCCTGATATTGTGTTTTAACAGACTTGTACTGTTTTGTGTAAAGTTGTTTCATGAATACTTGGTATTTACTGGTCGCCATTAAGAATATGATATAGTATTTATAACACAATATTTATTGGCTGTGAATATGAGGGGGTTGAATATTCAATTACCAGTGATTAATATTCTGGTAATAGAGTTATTCACCATGTAATAATAGGATATAAAGTAAAGTACTTGAAAGATCAAACAGAGTATATTTAATAAAATCATATACTGTACACCTTTTCTTATTTACAAACATTTCTTTATTAATCATTTATTACTTTAGTGGTCTTTAATAAACTATTACAAAAAACTTCCCTTCTATTGTTAATAATCTATGCATAAATACAATTTGTCAATTTGGCAAAAATTCTCAATCACACAGGACTACAAAAACCTTTAATCCCCTCTTATTGGATTAGATTAAGACCTGGCATGAAGGTCACATACCTTGTCACTAAGTTCACTAAACCTACAACTTTGTGCTCCAAATTACAATTAAGATAGTGGGGAATTATGAAAGCAGAGGTGAGATCACTAAAAATTAAAACCAGTTTTTCAAATTACAATATGAATGCTCAAACAATAAAACATAAAATAGAATTGGGTCAAATTTCCCAAAATAAAGAGGGTTTTTTAATAAATGTTTTATAATATTCCCAATGTAGTATATATGTCTGATTGTTTTGGCAATGTTTTTATATGCCCACATTTTCATGTGAGAAACTTTCCTTCAACAGAAACGGGTAACACAAACCAATTACAGACAGTCAGTTTGATGGGATCAATTTTGACTAAGTCAAAATGATGCATTTGATATTCAGATAAGTTGATATACATTAATTAAAAGAATACAATATAAAAAAAAAAAACGTTTTAACCACCATTTCGTTAGTAAAAATACTATCTTCTTCATGTCAAAATGATGCATTTGATATTCAGATAAGTTGATAAACAATAATTAAAATACAATATCAATAAAGCATCGTTTTATCCACCGTTTCGTCAGTAAAAATACTATCTTCTTCATGTGGATGTATATAGTCGTCGCTCCTGTCAGTCTGTTCAAGTTTTGTTTGTGAACACTAAATTTGTCACAATTTTTATCCGATTTTGATGAAACTTAAAATATAAATTTATATCCAAATGATCTTGATTCCTTTCAATATTCACGCATATTGATTATGGCTCCTGATTGGACGAAAATTTGAGTTTTTAGCTTGTGGTCCCTCCAGTCATTATCTATTTTAAAAACCCTTCAATTGTATTACCATTATGAATTTCAGGAAAATCAGACCGAAACTGCCCGCCAAAATGGCCGATCCCTGTATGCAATTAGTGGTCAATCCTTGTATGCAATTAGTGGTCAATCCTTGTATGCAAACACAAATAGTGTAAAAGTATGTAATAGAAGTCACAATTTTTATCCGATTTTGATGAAACTTATAAAGTATGTTTATATCCTAAAGATCTCAACTCCTTACGCGCATATCGGAATATAACTGCATGCATTATGGCCCCTTTTTCATACGAAAAATCATGTTTTTTTGCTTGTGGTCCCTCTAGAGGTCACAATTTTAGCTGATTTTAAAAACTATCAAAATATATCACTGTTACACCCCAAGGACAGTTCAGTTCAAATCTCATGAAAATCGGACCAAAATTGCCCAACAAAATGGACGCTCCTTCCACACGAATAGTGGAAAAGTATGTAACATAAAGATTGTGGACCTTCTAGAGGTCACAATTTTTATACGATTTTGATGAAACTTAAAACATATCTTTATATCCAAATGATCTCAGATCCTCTCGATATTCTTGCATATTGGATGGTAACTTCCTGGATTATGGGCCCCGATTGTACCAAAAATCAAATTTTTAGCTTTTGGACCCTCCCGAGATCACAATTTTTATCAGATTTTAAACACTGTTCAAATATACCACCTTTACGAGTTCAAATGTTGTGAAAATCAGACTGAAACTGCCTGACCAAATGGACGCCCCCTGTACACAAATAAAACCATGTAATACCAAGGTTGTTGACCCTCTAGGGACATAACTTCCAGGATTATTGGACCTGATTATACGAAATATCACATTTTTAGTTCGTGGAACCTCTAGAGTTCACAGTTTTTATTTGATTTTAAAAATCGTTCATATATATATACTCTTCTAAAAAAGTAGGGGATATTCAGAAACAATCCAAAACGGCAGAAATGCACTGCTGTTTTTATTAGAGGTAACCAGTGTATGTTAATAACAGGTCAATTGCCTACACATGGACATAAACAGTTTGCATGGGTGGTTTATCTGACGGCCCCATTTCACTCGCAGAGATACAACGTCAAAAGTGAAAATGGACGCTTTTGATTTTTGTCTTAATAATCAGTAATTGCTCCACCAATCCTCAGACATTCAGCAATTCGTCGTGGCATGCTCCTAATTAACTGTCCAATCACGATTTCGGGCAATCGGTTGGTAGACGTTGACGTCGACAAACATATCTCCCGGTCAAATTAAACATAACACACTAAAGCAAAGATACGCTAAACAGTAAATCTTATGCAAGAACCGATAGGAATGCTAACATGGATAGATAAACCAGCACGCGGTAGTTTTTATCAACCCTTACTTGAAATGTCAAATTTTATAATGAACCCCTCCCACGTGTATGGCAGCTCAGTGGTTTTGTTAGGGCAATAAGTTCTTCATCTGTGAACATACTCTCAAAGCATGTCAAGTGTCCATGACTATTTATCATATCACAACCTGCATAGGTATTTGCATTTCAATATCCCCTCCTTTTTTTGAAGAGTATATATATATATATCACCATTACACAAAATGTGGGCGTAGTTTACTTGGCAACCGCTTGTTTTAATTATTTGCGAATTATTGGCAGATCATCAAATGTATTGTATGTCATAAGATCAAACAATGTAATGGATTCCGATTGCTGTTACCATTGGAATTATGTTAATTTTACAATTACCAACTGACGCTTGGTCAATCCTCTACAAATGATCTGTTGATTATGCACAGAATAAGGCATGTATGTTGAACAAGTGAACATTTGACAAAATCTGTGTGACCTTTTGATTCTTCTTATATATGGAGAATATGCATTGAATTTAAAATAATGCAAAACTTACTCATCAGATCTTTCAGCTCGTGTCTCTATCCAGGAGGAACGTGTTTTATAATCAGGTGGTAATGTGGCTCGTATATGACTGTTAACACCACCATCGTAGCGACTAAAAGGCTGAGAGTTAGTAGAGTTGGATGTGAAAGTTTGGGATTTAGATAAATTTCGGTAGCCATCATTAAAGTGTTTCTCATCCATGATGGCCTGACGTGAGACAGAACCAACCGTTCTTCGGGCATATCGTTTACTCGGTGATCTAAAATAAAAATAATTTTTGTTACAATGAAGCATATGTGCCATTTGCCACAGTTTATTTACTCGATGGATCAATATCCTTTGTTAAAATATATAACCTCCACCAGTCCCTGCCAGCAACCTCACAAATCCAAATTAGGCAAGTGCTCTAAAACTAAAACTCATATAGAGGTCGTATTGAATGTTATTTGCTGTCCCTTTCAAAAGTTTTCATCACGTTGCCTTCAAATACTCCCACAAATAAAAGCAATCTGGATTCCTGTTTCAGAGCACTTGCAAATTTGAACTAGTAACCCAGCTGACAGGGACCTTATTTAATAAATATATATCATGCAAATCTGTGTTTTTCAAACCTAAATAATTATAATTTTTCTGAATAAAAATTAAAACCAATCATGTTATCTTTGTTAATATAAGTTACAACCCTTTTCCAGATTATTAATTAAAATAAGACATTTCGTCTTGATTTATTAATATTAATAAACAAGTAATAAACAAATTACATAATTTCTTAATTTCTTATTTATCAATTTAAAACTCTCTTCAGTTTACAGTTGAAATTATGCAGTTTTACCTTGAAAAGGTCCGATCTATTTTTGTTCTTCGTTTGCCCTCTTCTAACGTTTGGTATTCTGTTCGACCACTGTAAAAGACACGATCTTGGTTTTCAAATATAACTACCCCTAATAACCCCAGAACATTACATGCACCTACTTCAACTTCTTTCCCCATCACAAAGAGGCACAAGTTTCAAATTACATTTTTCGAAATGCCAAATTTCTGTCCTTACTGCTCAAATGGGGAGTTTGAAAAGGCAACAGTTCTTTGATAATTTGATGCATCGTCAGCGAGAACTTCAGATTCAAAAGGTCAATCCATTCTGCTAGATACAAGCACTTTTCATCATATTGCTCCAGACTTGTCCTACTGTAAATTGTACTAAATTGTGTCTTGTGTCATCATTGTATCAATTTAATTAATTAAGAACTGAATATTTCTGTTTTCTGTTTCAATTTTGCTGTATCTCCTCAAGACTTCTGTACATGAGTTTTGCACATGCCTGCCTAACCTTAAGAGAGAGAGAGAGAAATGGGGTTTAACGTCCACTCGACACAAACTAGGTCATTTCGGGACTAACATATGGTTTAATTTTATTTACATAATTCGCTTGCGCGTAGAGGTCTTTAGCAGTGGGAGGAAACCGGAGGACCCGGAGAAAACCCACGAGGTTGGACAGGCGACCCTACTCCTTGCCACGTACAACCGGGGATTCGAAACCACGCCAGTCGACTCAATGACAGACTGTATGATACAGCGCGCGCACGCTAACCATTCAGCCATCCAACCCCCCCCCCCCCCTTACCTTAAGAATTTTCTCCAGTGTTTCTGCCACTGATAAAGACCCTTGGAAACATGTTTCAACTAAAGGGGCTAAATTTGCATGTCAGGCATTTTCCAAACACTGGCAATAATGCTGTGGAGTATATGTTCTCCATAATAGGCTGGGATTTTAATTTGCATTTTTTAAATAATATTTGAAATATTGGTTGGACAAATTACTTTTGCCTTTTATATACATTGCATCTTTTTAGTTAAAAAACCCCACGGAGTTTGAATAGAAAAAAAAATTTGACTGTGACATTAAGCACAAGGTTTGTAAATGTTATAATTGTAAGTAATAATATTAATTGTAGGTTGACTCATTATAAATACCTTGTTAAATCTGTCAAAACAATTATCTAGTCTGGTTATTGAAATCGTTTTTCAAATTTTTCAATCTTTCAATTAAATCAGTTAACTTACCCTTTTTGACAAATAAAGAGTGCGGTCTGACTCACAAATTGTGTCATTAAATTAGTTATTTACTGGTATTTGAAATATAGCACTAGAACATGTAACACTAGTGAAATTTGTGTTTTGAAGACTGAACAAGGTTTTTTATAATAATACTTGAAAAAACCAAAATAATAATTTGTTAAAGGTATTAGTTATTATATTACAGATTTATCAAATATTAATTATGTAAAAAGTGAAAATAAATATACCACAATTATAATTTAATAATAGATCTAAAAACATCTACATCACAATCATGAACAACAATCAATTAATAACGCACTACCAGTTAATAAAGAAAGAGAGAGATAGAAATGTGGTTTTAACGTCAACTCGACACAAACTAGTTCAATTTTATTTAAATAATTCACTTTAGCAGTGGGAGGACTTGGAAAAAACCCATGGGGTTGTAACGTACAAGTGGGGAATCGAAACCACACCACTTGACTCAATGACCGACCTTCTTATCTAACGTCCATGTGATAACTATTCAGCCACCCAATATAAAGAAAGAGTGAGAGATTAACATTCAATGAAAGAAAGGTCATTTTAGGACTATACATTGGGACAAAAATGGAAACACATAATATTTCTACACAAAAGCATGCACAAATAGTAGTACGTCGCAAATTGTGGAATCATATTGAAGTGTACGAAAAAAATCAAGAACTGGAAACAGACACTGAACATCAATCACATAAATTTTTGTTTGATAAAAGTGAAACCTTTAACCCAATTCTAAACTACTATTACTACTAGTTAAAGCAAAATATCCACAACATCTATAAGATATCCATAAATATAAAACAGAAAACATTCATAAAATGAGTGAAGAAGCAACCGATTCTATGATCTATTTTATCAGTATCAGATAAAAAAGAATTAGTCAGAAGATCAAAGTGTTTTTCGAGATACACTCAAATATTAAAATATTAGGAAATTTAAGCAACAGATTGTAATAATCTAATAAGACACTCACACTGTGCCATGTGTGCACTATGTAGTAAATTGATTAGAAATGTACCCATTTTTAATAGATTTCTCATCATGATTTTCAAGGATTTTTCACAGGAGTATTATTGATCAGCAAGAAAACAATTTTTTCTTAAATATTCAAACATGTAGTTCACTACCCTGATCTAATGGGAAGTGATTGCCAGTATGTCAAACAAAAAATGCTCATGTTTAATTAGTTATCTACAATTATTTCTTTATTTGCATTATCTAAATATTTAGATGTCTTCCGTCGATTCAAGGTTATGGATTCTGTATTACACATACCCCAAAAATTACATTACATATCACATGGATCAAGAAGACAAAATCTAGAATTCAATGACATGTCTAGTATTTAAATAAGATATGAGTTGGGGTTTTTTTAGAGACAACAAACCATGTTTAAGGATCCGTGCACAAGTCATGAATGTGTGTGAACCATAAATATGTAAAAACTGTTTCCATGGTTATAAGAGTTGGTTAGAACTGTACTTTACATATTAATATGCATACTACAGACAGAAATAAGCCAAAACAATATTCATTCTAGTACTAGACTCATTCTCCTCCTTTACCTGAAACTTGTGACAACACCACAGTCAAATTACAACATACCTGTACCTAAATTTGGATCCAATGGAAAAAATTTTCTTGGTGGCAGGGTTGGGATGATGTAAACGGAAGAATGTATGATGTTCAACACATGATTTCCACAGGTTTTTACACGATCTATAGCTGATCATGTTAAACCCAATTAAATTCTCAACTGTATCGTTCTGAAATTATACAAAAAGCATTTATTGAAGTCTATATCTAAAACTGCACAATCAAAACTACATTACAATATAAATTTCTTTAATATAATCTAGAATTCAATTTAAAATTGCAATTAGATTATAAGATCTGCTTTTATTTCTATACTTACTGGCTCTCGCCTCAACTGAATAAAAAACTGTTTTCTCTTGAAAGAAATTTTCACAATTTTGGCCCTGAAATATAGTACTTTCTTTAAAGCTAATTTCATTATGAGCACAGAATGAGTATTGCCCAAAAAAATATATCAGATGAGTATTGCTCAAAAAAATATATCAGATAATTACTTTCATCATCAAACACTATAATCTCACTATCAAATCTTCCAAAATGCTGGTCCTAATTTGACAGGGTGTCAGAGATGTTTCTGTGTAAAAAAAGTCTATCAAATTTAAATGCACATATCTTGTTAAAAGCTCAAGTTTTAATAAGACCATTCTATTTTCATTACTAAATTAAACAGAATAAAAATTAAAAAGTCTTATAATGCTCTCTAATTAATTTTACATTGATATTGCCTAACAATAGGACTTCACTATTTTCAATAGAAGTCATAGGTCAAAGTTGCAATTTCATATTTTTAATTTATAGTTTTAAAATTTATTAAAATAAAGCTTTAAAATAGATGGTATCTATAAACAGTCCTACCTTGTTAAAGAATAATCCTATTGATCCTATAATTCACTATTGCCAGTTGAGAAATTGGCAAAAATATAATTTTCAACTTCAAATTCAAACGTTTGAAGATAGCTATTCCATGGGGGGGGGGGGGGGGGGGGGGGGGGAGAATAGAAAAACAAGGGAGGTAATTGTGTTATTATTACCGGAGTCAAATGATTTTTAAGTGGGAGAATAATACCTATGATCGTATAATAGTGACTAGTGAGTTGACAGACTATTGAGCAAAAGACATAGAAATAATTATGTTTTGACTTTTTTAGAAAATATGAAATTATCGCTTAAATTTAATATAATTTTCAACTTCAAATTCAAATGTTTGAAGATAGCTATTCCATGGGGGGGGGGGGGGGGGGAATAGAAAAACAAGGGAGGTAATTGTGTTATTATTTCCGGAGTCAAATGATTTTTAAGTGGGAGAATAATACCTATGATCGTATAATAGTGACTAGTGAGTTGACAGCCTATTGAGCAAAAGACATAGAAATAATTATGTTTTGACTTTCTTAGAAAATATGAAATTATCGCTTAAATTTAATATATAAAGTGTTGCTATATTATCATTATTACAAAATTTATATCCCCCCCCCCCCCCCCCACACCAAACCGCCCTTTCACTTACATATATAGGGATGCTTTATAATATTACACAGCATTAGTAACTTACCAAGAGAAGGTGTTGATTTTAACATTATTTTGAAAAACTACCAGACCAGCTGATGTTACTCCTAGTTGGATTTCAATATTGCTTTGATCCTGAAAAATAGGCAGGAAAACTTGACCAAAAAAACAAACTCTCAGGAGCTTCCATAAAAAAACCTAACCAGACCGACACATTAGAAGAATTAGTTTATTTTGAATGAAAATGAAAAGTGTATCATTATTACAGTTTCATTAATGTAGTAACAACTCTGGTAGACCATGTATGTGCAATCTTTGTACAATGTAAACAGAGAATATGTTATGACAGTTTACTATATACAAAAATCATACACACTTTCTCATTTATGCATTAGAATACCCCACTTCTTAAATTAGTTGGCAAATGAAATAGTGTTTGTTTACATTCAACAAGTGTTTTATAAACAAAGCTTAATCTTAGAATTTCTAAATTAATATGTATAAATAACAAATAGTATGATTAATGGCTGAGTATAACATGTAGACCCTTTAAATTATTCCAAATCAACTGCCATTATACCAACTTTTTATAACCTCATAACTGACATTTTGGACAATTCATGACGTCTTAAAGTATTGATGTGTCTTTTGAATTTTTCATTAAAATATCAATTTCTTACAGCTTAATCCACGATAATATGTATTTAGATTGATTTTTTAATATTTAATTAAGAAAAAAAATCCAAATACCGGTACCAACACCGCATAATGTTCCAACTTGGATTCAATTGGATTTAAAATAAGCCAACCAATAAATTTTTGCTGACAACAAAATGTCGACGGGCTTATTACATAGTGAACAGCGCAAATAGATCGATGAAATTTCAATTTCACATATCTTTGTGAATACTGAACTGAACCATTTCTGGACTGAAATTCCTACTATAGGTTCAACTTTCACAATATTGTAGTTTGCAAGTGATTCCTACAGCGGTAAAATAAGACATCAAGGCTTAAAGACAAGTTGTCAAAAATACTATAATTACTGATAAGATAAATGAAAAAATAATTTAAAAAAATATGTGAAAAAGTAAAAACATCATTGAAAAGCAGATTAAAAACATTCTACAGTTACAAGAAAAATAAACATCATCAATTAGACAAATGCCACTTATTTGGCTCAAATAAAATTCTAAAATATTGTAATCCGCAAGGTTGTAGGGGAAAAAAAGGAACAGATAAATGATAAAATTCATGACACCAAATACAAACAGCCATAAAATAAAAATATTATCAAAAATACATATTATGCCTATTTAATGCAAAAACAATTCATTTGTTTTATAGACAAATAAACATATACTAACAAACAATATACATATTATAAATATCAATTATTAATCAACTACATCTACTATTTAATCATGCACTGGATAAAATATGGTTAACAACTTTGAATTTTGAATTCATAAATTCATTTTAGGGAGAAACTAGTCTACCAAGTGCCTATCATTTGTGCATACTTCATTATTGTACAATAGATCTCCAGAGTTTTAAAACCCAGCTGGTTCTTCTACTTTATTTGAATAATTATTTGATCACAGACCAATTGAGGAAACCTTGAAAATTCATTTCATGTAAACCACTGTAATATTTTTAAAACATCTGTGAATTAAGCACAACTTTTCTTGATACTACTGGTCACAATTCAGATCGTTATTTATTTCCAGAGCTTGCAGGAATTCTAAACATCTTTATTTTGAAGACTTTAAGCAAAATTATTTGTACCAATGCCAACCAACCTTGCAATTCTGCATTGAGAATCAACAAGATATACTGTTATTCTGCTTACATCAAAGTCTGAACATTTTAAATTTAATAATTTCTTTTTCAGAAAGTGTCTTTTCTCTGTAAAAACTAGAGTTTTTCAAGGGGATACTCGATTTAACATTCTGGAATTGAATTCTCTCAATTCCCAAAATAGTGATAAGGCAGGATTTCAGGCTACAGCCTAAGAAAATATTTCAACCAACCATGACAGCTGAAACATATTCATTGTGCTTAACTATGTCGCGATTCTACTCACACAACTTCATTTGTCGGGATCAACAGAACTGTGACAAGACTACAAACCACGTCACTCGATTGCCGTTTTGTCAATTCTGGACGTCCCAACTGACAATCGAGTATCCCCAATACTCTTTCTAGAGTTGTCCCCCTTGAAGTCACATTATTTTGTTTGTCACAAGTTATTTTCTTAGTATATTCGTGTTAATCTTTAAAATATATGTTATAACAAAACAATAAAAAAAAAAGAAAAACAAATATTAAATAAGTGACAAAATGCAAATTATTGGTTGCAAATTAAATTAAATTATTAATTATTTCATATTCCAATATTATCATTCCAGTTATGCAGTTTTTAGTACATTATGGAAAAATTAATTTGGTTGATAAATTTTGATTTACCACTTCAATTTCTTCTTCTTCTCCTTCTTTAATTGTCTTGAAATTTAAATATTAAAATCAAAAAAAATAAAAAAAATAAACAGAAATGCAAACAAAATATACTAAAACAAAATAAAGAAAAATTTAATTTTGTTTAAACTAATCAGTTAAAACGAACATAAAGTTAAAAGAAAAAAAGATACTAGAAAATTATTTTGTCTTTAGTTTAACTAAAAAATATTAAGTTTTAATACTACTATCATTTAAAAAATGTGAGCTGCTTGATTTAAAAGATCATAGTTTTAAAGTTAACAAAAATATTCATGTTTGCATATACTTCAATGCTAATATGCTGAGGACAGCTAAATCTATAAGCATTGTATGAACTTTCTACAAGTCTTATTAAGAGGTTTTAAATAAATAATTTCAGCAATAGAAAGAACAAGTGGCCTGTTAAACCTAGGACGGAAAGCATGCCTTCCAACCAAAATAAAGCGAGTTTATGATCTATGATTTTTAACCAGCATATTTACAGAATTTCAATAAGCAAATAAAAGACTCTTCCAATTTTCTAAATTCAATGTAACTCAAAGACCTGCAGTATCAATTACTTAACAGAATCATGTTCAATATTATATATAATTCTAACTTTCTGATTATTTTAACAGCAAGTACATTGTACTAGTAAGATTCCATTCACTGTAAGTAACATGACAAAAATATTAATCTAAAACTTTGATGAGCTGAAATAGTTTATATATTAAGTGACAGACTCTTCTTGAAAGGTATAAAAAACACAGAATTCTGTGAAGGTTCAATCAAAATAAAATTGACTTAAAATCTTTTACTTTTTATTCAATCATCTACTCTATTGAAAAATAGATCAACAATTAAAATATATTAGCATTCTAGCTAAGTTAAGAAATGAAAGTTTTTTTGTAGTCCTACTTTTTTGCTAAGTTAGTAGAGAGTTTATCAAAACTAGAAAGTCAAAATATCACTATCATTTTCATACAGCTCTGAAATTTATTTGTCCCATCACTCATATTTAAATAAATTTCCTGACTTTCAAGGGGCCATCACTTCCAAGCATTGATACATATTTGATGATTTTAATGATAATGACAAAAAAACTAAAACCAAAACAACAAAACAATGATTTACCTGTATATTTACAAGATGTAATTGTATTCAACTTTTATGGATCCAAAATTATTCCTTTCTAATGTTTGTAAATTTAATGTTTCCAAAACTAAAGACCCATTCATGTGATCACAAAAGTTTACAATCTGTTTTCTGACAATTATCGAATCAAAATTTGAAGAAGATACAATTACATCTCCTGGTTAGTAACGAACAATATAAAAAGCTAGGCCGTTTAACAAGCGTGTTCCGTCCTAGTGGCTTGCTTACCCTTACCCGAGCATTGTGTAAATCAACGCCATACATTTCAAGGCGTTTGGCTTTCTCAAGAAAATTGTATTCAGCATCAGCTGGGGTTTGACCCCTGTAATAGAAATTAATAATGTACTGATTAAAAAAACTTTGTTTCCTTCTGTGTGGTACATGTATTACTTTAAACCTCTTTAATTAAGGTCAAAATAAAGTGTTTAATTTCAGTGATGTGTTATTTTGATAAGTATTTTGGCATTTGTCATTCCATACAGAGAAAACTTATGAAAATTAAAAAGATGTCTACATAGAACTGAATGACAAGATTTTCATACAATAAATTACCTATGCTGTTTGTGCTTCTCTGCCACTTGTCTTTCAAATTCCTCCGTTTGGTTAGGTATAAAAACATATCCCATTAAATAGCCATCTTTATGTTCATCAGGATTATAATCACCCAACTCCGCTACAAAAAATATTAACTTTTAAAATATAAAATGTCAAAGTTTACTTGCAAACTTTTTTCTCTATCTGTTCTAGACGATTATGGATGCTATGCATGCAGCATGGAATGTTTATTTATTGCATAACACAATACTTACTCCCATTTTAAGACAAATATACAATAATTTTTTATTTCCACAGTTACATGTGCCAGGCGAGGTAGAAATTTTGCCTAAACAGCAGTGCTTCCACCTACTGTTTTTGGATTTCCAACTGTCAAGGGTTCTTGTAAGTGCAAACCAATGTGTACACAAGTGGACCTTTGTTTTCTGTCCCATTCAAAAGACTAGGCATACTTTCCTTGAAGGCCAGACTTAACAATCCGGGAGGTTTTTCTCGGTCTACATCCTAGTCGATGGGTCATCCAATGCCCTAATGACTAGACACCCACGCCATGTGTTAAGATCAACTGATTGTAAACCACCTAGCTCTGCCTTTAATAAACTTTTTTAATCTAAAATGACTGGGTTACTTACACTGAACTGCGTAGCTCGCTAATAGTGCTGCTTGACTAGGTGCACAAACTAATTTGCCAGTTAAAATGTCTTTCTTTACTTGTAAAAAGAAGTGGTACCTAACAAAATGATAAAACAAAATATTCCAATTAATTGCTAAATCAGCCATATTTACTTACAAATGAAAGTTCATCAGTTGAATTTCAAATTCCTCAAAAATGAAATGTCATCTAGATCTAATGATTGATAGTTCTTCCAACAACTCATATTTGTTTTTTAAAGAATTGGCATACAATCATATACAGAGAGGAATGGAATGTTCATAGATCACTACACAGTCAATTAAGGAGGAAAAACCTAAATTATATACCTCGTATATTCTTCTGATAATTTACTAGGATCCGAAACGTAAAACTTTACACGAAATAAGAATACAAATGGAGGACCAACTGAAAAAAAAAGATAAATAAACAGACTATCAATTGCAGAAAGCAATAATACATTTAGTAATTTACGTGCAATTTGTGACATTGTAGAATTCAAAACATCTACTATACCGAGACATTAAAGGGGCATTAGGTAAGATTAGATAAAGAGTTGACAGTTCTTGCTATAAAAGTTTAAAAATAGATAATGAAAACAGAATATGCTAAAGATTTCAGTCAAATTGCTTCACTCTGAACCAAGATATTAGAGATTCAATTTTAGGCCAGCCTCGATTGTCAATACTACCGTTGGTACGATAATAAACAAAGTCTCGATTATTGATTTTTACGTCATATCACAAAACTTATTCAAATCCACTAAATATCACAGGCAAACAATGGCATTGAGAGTTGATTAGGCTCTTGATAGGTTAATTAATGTCTAATTAATAATTCAAATAACAAGCAATAGGTAGTTTTAGCTCTTGCATAATGCATGTTTAAATATCTTTACATTTAATGCAAAATGTTGTAAGACTACGCTGAATTTCTGGCATATTCAAAGAAGTTGACTCAAGAGCTTTCTTTTTACCTTTTATACATTTAGCTTCAAGTAGATAACTAGAGTGGTATATTTCCGGAATGCGTGTAGGGGTCTTTTGCAGTGAGAGGAAACCGGAGGACCCGGAGAAAACCCACGAGGTTGGACAGACGACAAGGACAGACCTTACAATACAGCACGTACGTGCTAACCATTCGGCCATCCACCCCACCCCCAGTGGTGAAAGTATGACAATACAGTGACTGTTATGTATTGGAATAACATATACATGTAGTATATTAAAACACAAAGTTCAAATATATGAAGTGGCAAGTTAGTGTTACAGTATCAGGGCTGTCGGAAATTTTTCACTGTTGATTAGCAGCACTGCTAATCAAAAAGTCCAATTTTGCCAAATTTGATTAGCAAATTTAAAAATTGATTAGCAGTTTTTCAGTTTCAACATAAAACACCTAAATAACAAGATATTACTTTAGTTCATAACAAATATGATTAGATTCCATTCTTACTAATCTTAGATTTTTAGATATTCATAGAGTTATGTCCCTGTATTATATAGTACCGTATAATGAATTGTGTCTGGGTAGTTCGAGAAGAAAATGTCACATGGAGAATTCAGTTTTGTTTATAAAATTTTATTCAACATTTTATACTCGTTGAAATTGTTGAGAAAGCTTTCTAGTCTTCAAATGTGGATTATCCTTGTGTCAATATCCAAAATGACAGGCATATTAATGATTCGCAGTTACTGCGAATCAAAAACTTTAGATTTTAATTTTTGATTAGCAACGGACAAAATATGTATCGCAAATTGCGCTGCGATACTGGTTGTCGGCAGCCCTGTACAGTATACAGTTTTTATCAGGAAAACATATGGAAATAACTAGTGTTCCCATTATAAATAAGTATCAGAACCAGTGTGCCATCTATGTTTCCTGTACACTTCGACTCCTTTCCAATTCTCAACCAAATTTAATGTACATGTACATTTTCTTTTTTACTTTCGCTTGTAAAACAATGAAATAAAATGGGGTTTAATGTCCTACTGCGTTAATGGAGACGGGCATATGCCATGAGGGAAAATTTTGTCCGGAGAGCGGCGCTACTCTTATTTCGAATTCCAACTGTCAAGGCTTCTTTTACGTGCACGCCAATGTATACACAGGACCTGTTTTTCATCCCATATGAATGACTACACATTGTCCCTTGCCAGGCCTTCTGTCCTACTCCACCAAAAATCCCAATTAACTTTTTCGACCAACGCAGGGCTCGAACATGGGGCCAAAAGATTAGCGAGCAAATGTCCTACTCACTAAGCCACCGTGGCTCCCTTGTAAAACAATGGAGTCAAAAAGAATTCATATGGAAACATGCATTAAAATAAGAAGAATCAACTTACTTCTACATTGTTTTTTAACAGTTTTTAAAGGATCAAGCCATCTCTATTAAAGAAACACATCATAATATATAAATACAGGCATCAATTAAGATGATTTCATGAAATGAAAAATTACAACAATAAGTAACAAAGATTCTTATTAATTTACATAATATTTTTGCAATATTCTAAGCCACCAATACTTCACTTTTACAGATAAAATGATTAAAGGGATATTCCTACTTTTGTAATTGAAATTGATAATTAAGAAACTGTTAGTAAAAATGAAATGTATGAAATACAATAGGAAGACAATGTTTATAGATAAAACACTTTTCAAGGGAGGTTTAGGATCTCAGACAATAAGAATAAGATGTACCTAAACTAACATTAGTCTCAAAATGTTACTGGGGCTTCTATGTAATGTTGATATGAGGTCACAAAATTGCTCTTCTGAGCCAGACTGAACTGTGACAAATAACTAAACTGACTACTATATTATTCAGATCACTGTATATTATATCATGAAAGTAAAATATTGAATGTTTTGGTAGAAATATTACTATCTCTATAAGTAAATTTACAGATTATCAAACCGGAAATGAACCCATAATTTCAATGCATAGATACTATGTAAATAGCATATGAGACCCAAACCCCCTTATTTGAAAAGGAAGAAATAAAGAGAGAGAGAGAGTAAATGGGGTTTAACGTCCACTCGACACAAACTAGGTCATTTCGGGACTAACATATAGTTTAATTTTATTTACATAATTCGCTTGCGCGTAGGGGTCTTTAGCAGTGGGAGGAAACCGGAGGACCCGGAGAAAACCCACGAGGTTGGACAGGCAACCCTACTCCTTGCCACGTACAACCGGGGATTCAAAACCACGCCAGTCGACTCAATGACAGACTTTATGATACAGTGCGCGCACGCTAACCATTCAGCCATCCAACCCTCCAAGAAATAAAGAAATTGTTTGAGAGCTTAGTCAAGATGGGTGATTAGATGAATGAAAGTAGAAATCATACCAGGACCTGTGGAACATCAACAAACTGTAACCCAAAATAATCCTTCTCTACTAACTCCAGGTGTTCAAATACTTTATCTAGTAATTGCTGAGCTTTACCACGTTTCTACAAAAAGATGAAAATAAAACTAGGTTTATAAGTTATATGCGTAGCTTTTGAGATTCTTCAACGACAGTTTAACAATCTAAAAATTTTAATGCAATTATGAAGTACACTTGCAAGACAATGAATGGACACGCACCATATCCAGGCACTTAGATATCAAATGGACGACACTCTGTAATTGCTCACTTGCTTAACTTATTGTGGGGTTATTAATAATAATTTCATATTCCATTTATGTGTACCAGTGTTTTTAGATAAAAATATGTTCAAAGAGTTCAACATATGACCCATTTATGCTCAACAGAACATGTTTGAAGAGGATGCTTATAAATTGTTTATACATGTCATGAATGGAAGACTCATTATGAAGCTCTTAACTTCATTGGCCTGATCCCATGAAATTTGGAATGCTGACTACTTACATCAACTTCAAATACTTGTTCTGTGTCGTCTAAAAAATGAACAATACATGTGACAGTCTTCTGGGAACGATCTTGTATGTGCGCCATTTCTGATGCCCGTACATTGTAGCTCCCACTAGACACTAGTCGAATGGACATAGTGTGAAGTGCTGAAATAATAATATATAATGTATAATATTATGCAAATTAAAAGGCAACATGATGGATCACCATCTTAGATTTTACAGGTACAGTGTATATACATAAGTACATGTATGCACCTTAAAAATTAAAATTTCCAGGTTTATTTTCTACTATCTGAGGTATTCTGTCAAGTAGCCTACAGTACACATAAAACACTGAACAGTCTCTTAGGTGACATTGACCTCTATTGTGCTTCCTTTTTTTTAAAATGTTGATTTACACTGGGCCAAGCACAGATTTGACAAAAAAATTATAATTTTTTAACAACGACCATAATGTTCCATTGTTAAAATTAACTTCTTTTCACAATAAAGTAGGTTCATAAGTCATGGGGTTAAATTTGATACAAAAGATCTGCATACCTAGTACTAGTAGCAACGATTGTGTTATGCAAATAAAACCACCAGTGCATCTAATCTCAGACGTACTGTGACACCTTCAATGTATTTTTAAAAAATTTCTTCGAAAAAAACATCACAGTTACATCTATTTTAATTTCTAGTTTGAAACCGATATATTTATCTTCCCAATAAGATTGCATTCTTCTTTTGTAAACAATATTTTATTTCAAAACAAAATAAGATTGAAGAACACATGAACCTTCTCTCTGTGAACACACATTCCACAATGAAGATTTTTTTGCTGATCACACTATTCTTTTTAATTTGCACTGGGTGCCTGTCCATTTCAGAATTCAATATAAGATTTTACTCCTAACTATTAAATGTATCCATAATCTAGTGTCATCATACAATGTATCGCTCAGCTAGTCTTTTACGCTTTTGTAACCCACCTAGAAACTTACGGTCTACAGCAGATTTATATCTTTTAGAAGAAAATAGAGCCAATATGATGTCATTTGGAGAAAAGGTTTCATTAGAAACAGCTCTTCATTACCGGTATCTATTTTTAAAGCATGCTTGAAGACCAACAATGTATATACCGGTATTTAATATTGTTTTTATATCTATTTATATTTAATTTCTTCTAATGGCTTTATATTTTAATTTCTTATATCTACTCATATTTATTTACACTTCTTTTAGACTTATGCTTATCTTTATTTTAATGTTTTATCTTATTTTCCATGTATAGTTCCATCTTAAATTATATATTTATGTATTTTATACAAATAATCATTTTATTGTAAAGCACCTTTGAACATTTTATGAAAAGGGCGCTATATAAATCTATTATAATAATAATAATAATGTACATGTACTTGCAGTTTTGCAACTGTTCAACTGAACTCTCACAAAATAATTAATAATTACAAGTATCAAAGTGTGAAAAGAATAAATGGTTGTTATCCTAGTTTCAGTTGACTTTGAGTCACAGATTAAACATACTGTACAGGAAATGATTTGCCTTCTAATTGTATGTACAATGTGTGCCAGTGGTTTCTGAATCAATTTGTTTCCTTTCTCTCCCCATCACTCTTCATTACTGACTCACTCACTTTCTTAATATTTACTTTATGAAGTTTGTAATCTTTAATCTTTTTAACATCAATTTATTAGGTAAACGTATAACATATGTGCATACATCATTTTATATAATATAAACAAGTAAGCTTTCAATCCCTTATACTCAGAGATGTGGATCTTCTTTGTAGCTTAAATTAAATATGTGTGTACTGCAACATAATTTAGGTGTACAAAATATACGTATGATTATTATAAGTTATACATCCATTTTAAAAGCAGGCGGACATTTTTGTCAACCCTGTTCATCTGAACACTTTCTGTATTGTAAACTTTAATTGAAGAACCATGTAAACATTCAAATTAAACAGTTATCATCACAGTAACAGTTAAAGCTACTTTATTGAGCCATATAATAGGTCCATGTAATGGGATTTTTTGAATTAACACATAAGCTTTCACATGTGTAAATTGTGAAATTCATTTGAAATGTAGACCCAACTTAAGTAATTTTAGCAAGTCTGATACTATTACAATTATACATGTAGAGGTAAATGGAAAGTCACAACTCAGACAAATCGCTATTCAGAACAGTTTTTCCAAATTCTAATACGGTTAAAAATCAAATAACAAAATATATGCATGTACTGAGAGTAAATAATGCAGCTGAAATGTGATTTTTAGATGATAGTACTAACTACTATAGTAAAAGGAAGGAAACAAACAACCAACCATAACAACTTCACATTGAGTCTTTAGTACTAGAGGTAAAACCAAGTCCATAACGTTGTCTGTATCGAGTCAGAATTGGTACAGACATAAGGCCGTCAGGCATGCAATTTGACAAACTGATCAGAAACGAACAGTGTCAGCACTGATGAATCCATCACAGTAGCAGTAAGGGAAGCTGATAGCATGCAATCCTACAGATATGTTGCCAGATACTGAGCTGGTCTTGTAATGGTGTTATCTCATGTTGGCAAATCTCTAGTAGAATCTGTCTGCAGGAAACAATTGGCTAGCCTCAGAATGGTAGTGTGATGACATCTGAATGTTCAGGCGATGGCTCTGTTACTCATGCCCTCTTTAAATTAACACAATGGTGCCTTTTCTGTTTAGATGTCAATGTTGGTCGTTTCAGTTTCATTGCGTCTTCCACAGAGTTATACTGACCCTGACTTTTTACAAGCCAACAGTGAGGCTGATGTCCCCCGCCGAAATTCCAAAATAAATAGATGACACATATTAACTAATCGCACATTTATTTTTTTTTTAAAAGTATCAAGCAATCAAACCGATTATCAACTACACACCAAGTTTCATCACTCTCTATCAGATAGAATCAAAGTTATCTGGTCCCAAAGCATCGACCAATAAAATTGCTTAGCTCTATTTTAGCTTTAGCTCGAAATGTTAATCAATGAACTCAGTCAAAACATTCACCTAATGAACATCAACATCAACATCATGCTTAAACATTCTACCTCAATTAAAAGCAGAGTTCTTATGTTCCAAAGTCTTGACCAATCAAATTGCTTATCGATCCTTAGTCTAAGCAGAAAATTCTCATCATCAAACTTAATCAAGGTAATGATATAATGAATCTATACTCAGAGTTTTATCACTCTCACTTAATCAAAACCAAAGTTATTAGCCCTAAAGCATCAACCAATCAGATTGCTTATCTCTGCTTACCGTAAGCAGACAGTGTTTATCATCGAACTCCATCAAGGCATTTTCACCTAATGAACGCCTACACCAAGTTTGAACATTCTACCTCAACTAGAAGGAGAGTAATCAAATTGCTTATCGCTCTGCTTACCCTAAGCAGAAAATGTTTATTATTGAACTTAGTCAAGGTATTGATGTAATAAAACTATACATCAAGTGTCCTCACTCTCACTTAATAAGAACTTAAGTTATTGTGTCCCAAAGCATCAACCAATCAAATCGCTTATCTCTGCTTACCCTAAGCAGAAAATTCTCATCTTCTAATTCCGAACTCCATCAAGGCATTGACCTAATAAACACCTACACCAAGTTTGAACAGACAGACAGACAGACGGACGAACCCATTTTAATAGTCCCCTGCTGTCTTCGAAAGGCAGGGGACAAAAAGCCCCATTTTATATCCCATGTCTGCACCATAATATTTTGATTTCAACATTCCTAATCCATTCAATTTCGATTTTTTCATAAAATTCAAAATGGTACATTTTCATTGTGTCTCTAAGTTTGCTTGTACTTATATTAACAAACTGTCCCTTAATTTGAAGATATTACAAACATCATAAACCTCTTATTGAAATCTTTAATCTTCTAAGTTCTAATAAATCTCAACCTCCCTACATGTATAATTACATCATATGTAACAAAGATCTCCCCTCCCCATCACATTGTAAGAGTCTGTCTGATTAAACAAATTACAGATGTCACTGTATTTGGTCTACATGTATTTCATAGATTTGTCAGTTTGGAACGGTTTTGTATGCTTATGTGTTCCCTTTTGTGCATGAATACATACAGTATGTACACATGTCATGTATGTATCACTAGTAGGTAGAAATTCAGGGTTTTCTATTGGATTGTACATGTACATAATAATTTCATTTTCCAATCATTCTGAACTTAACAGAATTAGTACAATGTAGGTCAATCATTATTAAGTTAATGTCTTCTTATACAGGACTATTACAAACTTAGTAAACCTGTGCTGCTGTATTGGTGCTAGCAATGAAATACTGGGTCAAATCAATATCATTTACAGTTTTTCCAGCAATACATAATGTATCTATGACTGTTTTATAATTCACAGATTGCCAGCAAATAAAAACACCAGAACTTGCTGTCATTCTATAATTTTGGAAAACGGAGTCAAATCAAGGGGGCTTATAGATCCAATGCCAGTTCAAAATGGAGTTTACACATGTATAAGAGTTTAGTGAATGAAGTAATAGATCAAAGAACAACTGGTGCACTATATACACCTACATTTTTAGTTATGGCCTACTCTTCAGAATATACACATCAGTTCTGGACTATTCACAAAAACAACATTGTGAAGAAAAATTTTTTTCAAGCTGAGGAAAACCCTACGTATATTGCCCATGTAACCAATCCCTCACCACTCCTTCAAGTATGTGCAGATAACTATTTCTTTACTTTATTATACATGACATGCAACATGTGCATGTAGACCTACACTGTATCAATAGGCAAATTTTTCAGCAGGACAATGTCTAAATATCATGATTAATTCAAGATAAATCCAAATTATTTTCAAGGTGTTTGCTGATAATTCCTTTTAAAACCCAAACCACAGTGGCATAACAGGGCTAACAACATAATACATACATACATACATACAGTTTGTAACATAATCACAACTTCAGTTGTGACATATTATTCCAATTAACCATGATAATGATTTCGTTTTTAATCTTCAATTTACTTCAATACTTGACCTAGATTATGTAGCCTCAAGACAGGGTGCATCATTTAGTTTGCTCAGAAGTTAGAAATTGAATGACTAACAGGGTTATGTGATAACATATTCTACATTCCTTTGCATTGTCTCTTCATAAATGAGATATTTCTAAATCTACTTTTGTTTGAATTATTTCTTGTGTAAAATCTAATGTTTAATGCTAAGTAAGATGTATCTTCGCCTTGTCAATATTTATTCAATTAAATAAATACAATGGAAAGGAGCAAAATTTTCGGGCGTATTGTCAAGAGGGCCTTGAGTTATGACTGGAACGAAAATTGTAAAATGATGAGTTTTTGAGAGACAGCCAGCTTCAGCCTTGACAAATGTCGCCTTCAATATGTGGAGGGGTCAAATGTAACATGTCTGGGCAACCTACCTCGCGTGTCTTCAGCCGCAGCGTGCTGATCGGCTCCTTATTAACCATTAATCCAATTAATCAGTGATTTAATCGGAAACATTTAACACCAATTTCTATTTACATGAGAGAACCAAAGCCGCAGGAAGTGCTCCCCCACAATAAAATGGCGGAGAAATAACAAAAGTCACGTGACCAGAGCAGGTGCCCTCTTTAATACCTGAAGATAGAGGCTAAAGTAACTGCGTTCAATTTCTTCAGATGTATGCCGTCTGGATAAGCTCGACATTTCCTCACCAGATGTCAGCACCTACAAAAACGTAAAGGGAAAAATAGAAAAATCTGTTTAGGCCTATTTATGCTAGAATTCGATTTTTGTCATGTAAGTTTTATTCCGAAGTCGATCCATTGTAAAAAAATTTATATTAAAGTATCTACATTTAATATGCTAGATTTGGCTGATAGGGACATTCAGTAGAATGAGTCAAATGCTTTGAAATGAAAGGATCAAGACATCACAAGGAATAGAAAACTAAACCAAAATTGCCTTTGCCTTTAATATTTGATAATAATACTTTAATTTGTTTAATTGGGAAAATGTTTATTTACGTCATTTTTATCCGCCCACATTTTATGTGAACGTATATTGTTGCCTCCCCTGTCCGTCCGTCCACAATTTGTTTGTGGACATTCTAGTCTAATATGCCTACAGACAGGTAACAATTTTTATCCGATGTAGATTCGAAATCTAAAGATGAAGCTTGAAGTGAAATGGATGGTTATAACCCAAAGTGGCCAAAGATCTAGGTTCCTTTTGATATTAACGCATATCAGAACGTAAGTTCCTGAATTATGGCCCCTGATTGTAAGAAAAAATCGTGATTTTAGTTTGTGGACCCTCTTAGGTCAAAATTTTTATCAGATTTTAAAAATGATTTAAATATATCACCGTTACACCCTGATAATAATTAAGTTTGAATTTAGTAAAAATCAGACTGAAACTGCTCAACAAAATGGCCGCTCCTTGAATGCAAATAGTGTAAAAGTATGTAATACCTAGCTTGTGGACTCTCTAGATTCACAATTTTTACCCGATTTTAAGAAACATTTAAATATATCAGTATTACAACCTAATGACGGTTGTGTTCGAATTTCATGTTTTGTTTCAAATTTGGTGTGAAGCATTGGTGTCGTGAGACGTCAAGCCCCATCCATTTTCAGCGGTTGTGACCTCCTGTTCTTGAGTTACCAAACTTTTCCAAAAATCTTGTATCACGATATAGGGTACAGGTCCATATTCGATGTGAGGCATTGGTACAATGAGAGGATGAGCCCAATCGATTTTCCCAGTTCACTAGCCATCTCTTACTATATCTCGGCATATCGTGTATGGCAACCGCTTGTTTGGTTATAAGTGTAAGCGTGGTGATAATTCAGGAAGTTTTTATTCCACTTCTGGTGAGCCTTTGTTTTGGTCATGACTAATTGATCACGATTTCAGAAGGTTTATTCTGGCATAGTGGAGCTGATAAAGGTGATGGAAGAATCTAAATTGAGCCTATTAAGTTAGAACCCAAGGGGGGAAATACCCATAAAAAAAAAAAACCATCTCAGGAAACCGTACTTACTCATTAAAACCTTAAAATAGGCCCTGTCAAAACTAAAACTATAAAGTTACTGTAGTAAACTATATTGGATTGTATGATTACACTGATGAAATAAAGATTTAATTGTATAGAGCACTTGTTGAAAAAAAGACATCTTTTATCTGCCTATACCGTAACTAAAAACTTGTTTACATGACTCAAGTGTCCTAATCCAAAAGTTCTTACAACTTTCTCTAGTAATAAGATCTACAGAGACTGTCAGTTTCCTTTGGTATGGTTGCATGATTTACCCAAATCTACTAATAATTAAACTCAAAACTGATTGATTTTTATCAAATTTATCTTCATATATTTGAACATATGTTTTTGCATTAATAATACATGTAATTCTAACTATAAGCATATGAATATCAAAAATATAGAATTTGATGTGGCATGACTTTCTTTCAAAATGCACTTAACTGTCAATAATTGGAATATTTAACTGAAACTTTGAATTATTTAACATTTAATTGAGATAACAAAATTAAAATATCAACATTAGATGATTTCAAGGTTTCAATTCAATCACATTAAAAAGAACCCCATCAAAATATTATTTATGACTCTGGCTTGTATTAACCATGTTTCATTTATATTTCCTGCAGTAGATGCTGAATGTTGACAAATTTTCAATTCATCATACCTTTGTAAATACCGGTACTGAACAGAATTGAATTATTTTTAAACTTACATTCCTTTTAGAGATTCAACTTTCATAATATCAAGACTTTAATATTTAACCCAAAATGACATATATTTGGAACTCCAAAGACTAAATAGGTAAAATAAAGATTCTGGTTTAAATATTAATAGATTTCGGTAAATCATGCCACTTTCAAGATCTTTACAAAAATAATTATGAATTTTATTGTTGAAATAAAATTGTACCTGTATGCAAAAATTGTACATATACGTGTGTGTGCATACTATGAAGGTGTGGTCTATGCTTTGTATTTGTGATTCTTGAATATTCTTTTGTTTATATTTTATTCAACAGAATAATGACAAGGTGATGCTGATATATACTCCTGTATAAAGTAGCTGGTCTATTTTAATGCTATGGGATCAGATCAAAGTACTTTACCAGCTGGGGCACCAGGCAGTAACCTGAGATCACAAAGAGATGAAGAAATTCCCTATACCCAGTATTCCATTAGTAAACCTATTGATGGCGGCTCACCAAGACTCTCTCCTAGAATTACCAATAAAAATAAAACCAGTCCTAAACTTGACAGAGAGGCTGGGGGAACTCCCAAACATGACATTGTGGTTGTCGCTGAGGGAACAACAAGTAAAAGCAAAGACTTAGAAGTTGATAAACTAAATTCTGTTCCTGTTTTCTTTCCAATAATGCGTGGATCTTTAAATATTCCAGTGAGTAGTAGAGATACAGACCTACTGGATAAGCTTGACTACAAACAGTTATTGCTCATGTCTCTCCGTTATCAAGAGCATCTGAAACAATTATCAGAAGCAGTGGCATTTGATCAGAATGCTTTGTGTATACGTATTAAGGAGATCGACCATACAGTGAATATTTTATTAGGCAACCTAAACGAACGACAGAAAAAATACACAAAATACGCAGATCAAACAAAGAGAATAAATGAAACTTTAACAGCTCTTCAAAAAATACAAAAAACTATGGATGGTATTATTCCAAAAATGGAAAACTTGAATAAACTCCTTCCACCTGAGGAACAGTTAGAGTCTTTCTCAATGAGACCTAAATCTATTGGTTCATAAATCAACTACTTACTCTATGACTTAAATATTGGTCTTGTGTTATTTATTAATGCTCTAGCTCCATGGTTATTTTACTAATGTTATTTATGTTTGTGCACATTGTATCATTAGATCTGTCATTGAGTCAACTCGCATGGTTTTGATTCCCCAGTTGTACGTGACGCGTCTTCCGGTTTCCTCCCACTACTAATGACCCCACATGGAAGCGAATTATTGAAATAAAACCTTGTGTATTTGTCAGGCACTTGACAATTTTTTGCGATGTTTGGGCTTTGTAATTGTATCAATATTGACTTCAGTAGAAAAGGGAAACACACATCATAAATCATAATAGAGTTTTGGCATATTTCTGTATCAACCAACTGAATCAATGGTCAGAATTCAGTACACTGTCACCAGCTACCATTGTCACAAAATTTGTCTCCCCTTGGTAGGTTTAGTGGGTATCTGGCATGGGCAACAATTAATACCTTACTTATACATACTCAACAACGTAGAAATAAACAGTATAATAGATTCATGAAATTAGTATTTGTAAATTGATACTGTAACCAAGACACTGATGATATTTGCAAGTTCCAGTACATGTAAGGGAAATAATTGGCTACAATGTATACTATTTCATATTTATTCATGTATTGTCAATTGTATATCGATCTTTAATTGGCCCTTGGGGTGCATATAATGGATATACTATATATATATTGTTATGTTATTGTATAAAAAAATTGTTTTAAAATACTAAACATGTTCAGACTCATTTATCTATCACAGGCTTTCTTCAGATCCTTCTCAAAACAATTTAATCAGAAGAAAACTAGATCAAGAGAATCTATAATTACCATTTACTATAAATATGGAAGCCCTGGATTATTCTCGGCCAACTTTTTTTTCTGCTGTTAAATGTTAAATCATAGAGTCTACTTGACATTTAATTCTCTCAATGTACTAAGAATGAAGTAATTTGACTGAAATTTGCAATATATTCATTTTTCATTATCTATTTTTAAACTATTATAGGGAGAACTGTCAGCTCTTTATCTAAATCTTACATAATGCATCTTTGAACTTATACAAAACATGTCGTAGTAATCATGATAACTTTATCACTATCAATTTGAGTTATCCGAAATCAGCAGGATTCATTGTCAGATGAACATAAACACTTTCTATAAATTTCAAGTCAGTTGGATGATAACTTTAACCTCTAGAAAATCCACAAGATTTTTCAAATTAACTACTAAAAAGTAAAACTATTTTCCTCTGAAAATGTAAGTTTAAATTCCTCCTTTTCTGCTCGGACTGGGCTTGTGAAGATGGGTTGCAGTGTGCTATGAGTGAAACATTGCTCAGACAATGGCAGTTCCCTGTCTCTTCATTGAAATCCATCTGTCAAAGTACTTTTATGTGCACGTCAATGTGTAAACAGTAGGATTATGCTTTTTGTACCACCTTATTGACTAGTCCTTGCCAGGCCCACCACCCAGCATCTCAACATTACCCGGAACTGGTCAAAATGATTGTTTAAATATTTGTTATTTAATAAGAATCCATGTATAAGCATCGTTGGCACCCTTGCTGATAAATATCTATAGAAAAACGGACCAAACTTTAAACCAAAATATGCATGGATTGGTCATTACAAAAAACAAAAGAATTGATTGAATATTTTGGTGTCCCTGCTAAAAACTGCCAAATGTTCTTGTGGGGTTCGAACGGCAACCACACCAGTTATGATGGTAAGACACTTTCGCATGGAGAAAGTTCTGGGCGATGTTTCAGTCTGATTTCCCATTATTGCTCGGGATGGAGTGTCGAATCATTCGGACGAGACAGAAACAGGCATGGATTTGTGTGTGTGTGTGTGGGGGGGGGGTGACAAAAATCAATAACAATCATAACTGGACGGTTCACTATCACCGTGAATATGATAGTGATGAGATAGCATAAGACCACAGAGGCGTGGAGGAAGAATGGTGCTATATAACGGAATCGAGTGCCGTATGCTCGAAAAAATTTCAAATAGCAACGTGAATATGATAGCGATCAGACCACGGATCAGGAGTGGAAAAATGTTCAAGCGCCGCAGACGCGAAAAAAATTCAGACAGCATAAGTCATTAATTAAGTGGTCACAATTTTTATACGATTTTGATGAAACTGACCATGTATGTTTATAACCGAAAGATCTCGAAAATTGTTAGCTTGCGGACCCTCTAAACCTCACAGTTTTTATTTAATTGTCAAAAACCGTTCAACTGTATCACGTTACACAATTACGGTGGAGTTCAATTTTCGTGAAAATCGGACTGAAACTGCCAGACAAAATGGTCGCTGCCCTTAAAAGCATGTAATACCCAGGTTGTGGGCCATCAGGGGATCGAATTGTCATCCAATTTTGATATATCTCAAGGTCTGCTTATCTTTCGATATTGGCGCATTGGACCGTAACTTTCTGGATTATGACCCCTGATTGTACGAAATATCACGGTTTAAGCTTGTGAACCCTCTAGAGGTTACCATTTTTATCTATTTTCCAAACCAGTCAAATATATCACCGTTACAACATAGTTTTAACTGGTCATAACTCGTAGCAGTGAATTATTTGATAGATGAGGGATACCGGGAAAGTGTGAAAAACTATTCCGTCGGTTTTATTTTTAATAACCTAATCTGTCATATATACAATGGAAGTGAGATGGAGTGGACCTAACAACTGGGTGTCTATCAACACCGGACCAGTTTGTTTTAAGTTCTATTAGAAGTCTCACTTTAATGTTGTATCAAACGGCATAATTACTTGCGTGCGATGCCCCCCCCCCCCTCCCTACACACCCCCACCTACCAACTCCCCTGGGCCTGACTGAATTTAAATGTTTTAAATTTTACCCATTGGTCAATTTAAAGAATTTTCCATTCTCGAAAAATTGATGACACAAAACGATCGATGTTCGAAAACTATCGCATGGGTTTCGGAAACTACATTTTGTCAGCTTGCAGGTTGCCCGAAAAAAAATTCATTTAAAGATAATGTCATGGATTTCCCTAAAAATGACTGAAAACTCTGATTTCCCGATTGTTCTTGAGAAATGGAAAAGCGATTTTGGATAATTCCTTAATCCTTCTTATACAATCAACCAATTGGATAAATCAATATTTGACATCGGTACAGATACCGTTTCAAATAATCGGTCTAATATGGAAGTAAACTGAATTTTGATATACCTGTGTGGGGCGGGGTGCTCATCTGGTTGTGATAATATTATGTGCTACTAAAAACCGTGTCGTACGTTTGAAAAGAAAACTATGAAAGCCTATAACTACCATTCATAATTTCTACTTTTCGCCCCTTAAGAACGCGAAAGTCGAAAAGTATAAGTTACGACAAAATGAGGCGACACCACGCTATAGAAGCCAAAATCGACTGGAAAATAATACACAGCGATAACAGCGCCCCTTGATTTTTCTTAATTTCTAATTTTCGACATGCATTTTGGCATTTATACCGCCTTGTCGACTTGGTCATATTTTTGTATTTATTTATGTCAGTAAGAAGGCACCACAACGCATGTACCAAGCCAAAATGAAACACGAAAATAGAAATTAGAAAATTAACACACCGCGCAATTAACGACCTACAATGTATCATTTTGACTTGCTGTCGTGCGGGCTACTTTTCAAGTTTCGCCTCGGAAGTTGTTGTAGTCTCAATTTTCCAGGTCACATTTGGATACATGCAAGCAGGGCTCACATTGGCTTTCACTTTTTTTTCTGCCAAAATGGATAATAATTTTTATATTTTATCTGCCAAAAATGTCTTCGTGTTTTGAAGGAGCGAAAAGTTGAAATTACGAATGGTAGTTATAGGCTTCCATAGAAAACAGGCAAATTCTTTACCCAATAAGTTCGTGATTGTTTATAATAAGTATCGATATTTATTTTAGTATTACTGTATTATCATCTCTCATAATTCTGAATGAAGAGATAGATATATTTTATGACATAAAACACCCTTTTCGGACAGCATGAAAATTATACATTACGGTATACATGATAAATACATTTAAAAAAAAAAATAATGAATGACAGTTTTAATATAGTAGGTATATATTTTACTTATGATGCAATTATAACGGGTGAGGTCGACTTTTCATCCTCACAATACTATTAATAATGAATATACGAAAACTGGCCTATATTAAACCAAAACAAACATTCCTAATTCCGTTTTTAATGGAATAAACAATAAACTTGATTTATATATCAATAGACTTTAAGCATGATTTTAGTGTCATTATCTGTTATAACATACAGAACCCACCAAATTGCCAGGTAGGCACTCTGTACACTCTGTAACCAGCAGATTCGGGGTCCATTCCCGGTGGTGGCCGAAAAAAAGTCTTCAGGATTTGCAGCATGGTTTCCCCCTTGTACAGAACGGATCAGGGTCGAAAAGCTAGTCTTTCGGGTGGGCAAATTAAAACGAGGTCCCATGAACGTGGTCGTGCACGTAAAGAACCCTTGGCAGTTGGAATTCGAAATAAGAGTAGGTCGTAACGGCGCTGTCCGGTTAAAATGTTCCCCGTAGCACACGGCGTATGCCCATGGTTTGTTCAGAATTGAAAATATTTAAGTATTCATTAATTTCATTTCATTTCTCCATGTAACTCGGTCGTCGGTAGTAAAAAGACACCACACATTAAATTAGGACTATTAATTAGTATTCAATTAATTTAAGCCAATTAAGGAACCTGGTCAGCTAATCACAATCACGGTTTCCTTTACCTTTTTAATTTTTATGCCGTAGGGTACCAATAATAAAATTGTGTCAATAAATGTTCTCTTGAAACGCCTGTCTTCACGTTTTGGTATTGTAGATAGTGCTCTTGAAGTGCACTGCTTAGGTCTTACTTAGCAGTGTTTCTCGGTCAATGGTCGCTCGTCCAATAATGTAACTATTCTTGAGTATGGAGTTCCGCAAGGGTCGGTTTTAGGGCCCATACTGTTTAGTTTGTACACTTCCCCTCTAGGCCATGGCCGATCTAGTAAGGAAACCGGAATTCCATCTCTACGCTGACGACAAATACTTATCATTTAAACCGTCAACTGGTGCGCAGCTGTTACCAAGGCCTAGGTCGAATTGTGTAGCCTATAGGTGAAATTCATATGTCCATGGAACAACAAGTCAATAATAGGCCTATTTGTAGGCCTAAATCATGTTATTTCCATATCAGAAACACAAGTCGTATATGTAAAAATATTTCCGAGGAAGCTACGAAGATTTTAATTCATTCAATGGTCACTTTCTAGACTTGATAACTGTAACTCTCGGCCTTCCCAACAGATTGATAGACAAACTTCAAAAGGTGCAGAATAGTGCTGCCAGACTTATAAGTATAACCAGTTTATGACCACATTACTCCGGTTTTATATCATTTACACTGGCCCCCCATTCGTTTTAGAATCCGTTTTAAAATACTTTTATTAACTTAGAAATGTCTTAATCACATGGCACCTTCTTCATTGCGCATCCTGTTAGAATTATATACTCCTAATCGTATTTTGCGGTCATCCTCTGGTAACCTCTTAATTAAAAGACCTGTTCAACTTGTGAGCTATGGTGAACGATCTTTTGCCTTCTAGGGTCCTTACTTGTTTAACAGCTTACCCCTGAGTGTCCGTAATTTACCTTCCTTTCCTACATTTAAAACACTTCTCAAAACGCACCTTTTTATCGAAGCATTTCAATAATTACAATATAACTATGATAGCCAGAGGCGAATTCAATGGCGGGCGCACCCCCCCCCCCCCTAATTTTCGACAGTGCCCTTTTTTACTGCTGAAAGTGCCTTTTCTCAGACTCAAATATGTCCGTTCCCAACCCGTTGTAGGGATCCCAAATGACTCAAACCATCGACTCAAACACACCAGCTCTTGGAATGGCTACAGATGCAAGGAAATGACGGATAATTTTCTTGGGGACCCCCCCCCCCCCCTCAGCGGCGTGCCGTGTCCGCGGTCAATCAATGCCTTCATATTTTGCAGCGCCCCCCCCCCCCCTTTTCAGAATTCCTAGATCCACCCTGATAGCTGAAATATTTATCTTTTATATAAATATTCTTTACCTTTCTTGCGTTTTAATAATTGATCTTACTTTTATTTTAATAATGTTATTTTTTTTTTAAACACTTGTCTATATCGTGGTGATGTTTTATGAGTTTGAAATGTATACACGTGCCTTAACAATGTGTGGGCTTCGCTGCACCACCTGTTGTAAAGTTGTATATTCTTAGGTTCTTTTTTAGTATTTAGGCTATATTTTTCTATTTTCATATTTGCTTTTATATCTATATTGTAAAGCTCACTGGAGCACAGTACTGTGGAAGTGGCACTATATATAAATACATAACAATAAGAAAAAAATAATAATTTACGTTTAAAGTGTTTGTTAGATATTTTATGGGTTAAATCCATGTCACGTGGTATTAACTTGAAATCGAGGCATGATAAAAATGGCGGACAGAAAATGAAGGAAAGAAATCAACTATGTTTTGATATAAGACTGTAACTACTTCATTTATTCTACATGACTGTAGATCCTGATATAAGCGAAATGATTCACCAGGAACCAGTCCAGGTATTAATATGTAGAATAATGAGAATTGTCAGGTCGAAGGATCAGAATATCCTAATTTGTTTTGTCTGGACTGACTGGCCAATTTCGAAGACAGTAGAAACAAGCGAAAATGAAACGAATAAATGATTAAAAATGAAAGAAAGGTCCCACTCTTAAAGATAATAAATAAAACTATTGGCATGTATGCATAATAGTTGCCATAGTATTGTTCAATGCAAACTTTTTCACGATTTGACAATTCCAATGCAGTCGAAAAACTAAGAAATTATTTATGAATCTAATCTTTCAAATTTAACTTTTTTAGGCTTCATAATATAATAATAATTATAATACCGGGCGGTAATACTATTTAAAATAGTTCATTTAGTTTGAGTTGTCAACATTAGGCATAGCACTAGCCTATAATAATATTTCTATTCGACAGACCTATTATGTCTGATAAAGTTTAGTAATTATAAAAATGACAGATGAGATTGTCACTGACATTTTATGTTTTATAAATTAGTCAAATTGCAGAAAACCCAATACTTTTGGACAATAATATAAGAATCATGATAATAATAGAACTAGAAGAAGCAAGCAGCCCTGTAATGGTTAAAGGAGCTAAGTCGCTAATACTTGGGACCTAGAAATTTACACAAATGGGTCGCAACGCATACAATAATTAATATGAATGTATATAAATAGATTTACATTCAATTGTTTCTGTTTTTACTGTAATTTTTAATCAGTTAGGTTCGGCGAAATACACCAGTATTCTCAATCAAATTTCAATCTCTAGCGTCTGGTTATTCTAGTCTACGCCAATATTTTTTTTATTGGGCTTGCTCTCCAGATAAGAATATAGCGTCACCGTTTGACATGACTTGTGGAATATGACTAGCCTCGTTTTTAGAGTCCCTTATTACAAATAGCACTGAAACGCATTATGGTACACGATTCGTGTACCAATTGTAAAATTTTATTTTGTCTTAAATATTGGATATCAGCAGGCCATCTTTTCCCGGTAAGATCACAACATCAATGTTGATTTAAACCGACAAATAAATCGTGTTTTCAATGTCGAAGATTTTGGATGATATTGAGTTAGAGACTTAGCTACTTTAAATAATTACATTATTGTTGATGTTATGTTATCAAGAGAGTTAGGACTATCAATGATGATTGTTTTAGGGCTGGGCGACATTTTAAATTTTCATTATTGCGATATCAATATAAAAATCAACAATACATTGCCATTATTGCAATATTATACTGCTTCAAGACAAAAGGCTTGAAAAGAGGTGGCAAACCCTTTGAACAGGTTTCTATGAGAAGCATTTAAATTTAAATCATTGTAAGGTCAAGCTTACATATGTTTCAATAAAATATAATATTCCTTCAGAGAAAATTATTAGGTTGAGAGAGATAAATTCAAGAGATATATTGGATTATTGTGGTATCAAAGGAAAGAAGATTTATGTTTTTCAGAATAACTTCATTAGCCATATTGAATTTTTCAGGCTGCCATCTGGGATGCACTCAATCATTACGCTTATCCTGATGCTGCTTTCCTAGCAGAACGTTTGTTTGCAGAAGGTAAGTTTATCCAGAGTTTTGTGACTGGTCATTAGCGACAGTAATGAATTCATGTGGTTTTATTATAAATATCTGCAAATTTTTATTCGCCTACATGGAAATGTTGTCGTATATTGCTGTATTTTTATAATTTGTGAATTAAATTAGTGATATAGAGAAATAAGCTGTAAAATATCCCACTTTTATTTTCTCCAATCCAACCTAATACACACCAGTTTAATTTTTTCTCCGTTTAACAAACAGCTTTGCAGCTAAAATTAGTAAAATGGCATTTTACTACGCTGATGTAATTTTGAAATCTTGTTTTATAAAGAAGACATACAATGTTTCGACATCACGAACTAGCTTTCATTTTCTGTCGTACATGTATAAACGAACAATATTTTGACATCATATAATCTGATCTGTATGAAATTGTCTTGTAAATTCCTCAATTATCTACAAAGGAATAAATATGAGCAACCCTTATCGACCGCTCAAATGATTCAGCTGGTGTGGGTGTGGGTTTCGTTGCTTAACTAAAAACTTGTAAATGAATTTATACACTAAGGCTCTGTTCAATATTTATAATAACATTGAAGCAAGTTTATTATGTCAATTACAAATACTCATGCAGATGAGAATATTACTGGTCCATGACATGTAATTTCTAGGGCCTAGTATAGCACAGGTTAAGAAATTTGTTGAGTTAAAGTGTCAAGGACTAGGTCCTGTACATGTACTAAGTAATTGCAATACAGGCTATAAATTCGCATAATGTCTTAGTTCTCATTGGCAATACAGTGAATTATGGTTATTATAGTTGGTTTACAGTTTAATATTTCTTTCTTTTAGCACCAAACCATGATACTTTATATTTATTGGCTACATGTTATTTCCGAGCTGGCAGACCTATACAAGCTCATCTTTTACTACAGAAACACGATTCACCTAGTCATGACTGCAAATATCTACTTGCTAAATGTTGTATAGAAATCGACAAGTAAGTACATCTCCTGTTTTGTCCCCAGGCCATAAAATTTGGTCAGTTACATAGACTTACAAATCTACCGTAGAATATTTACATACCATTACACATATGATGGCTTGGTTGGAATTTGATTAGTGTTCACACGAATAGTATTTTTGAAGTTGATTAAAAGTAATTAAAATTAATGGAATTTGGTCTGTTTTGTCTGCCTTGGGATATTTAATATTCTTCATTCAAGGGAATTGTATTAATTTGACAGATTTATAGTTTTTTTCTCAAAATCAAGAAAAACACAAAAAAATTCCAAAAATTGATAATTTCGTCTTGAATCAAATATTTGAATAGCATTCAATTAATAAATTTTACTCGTTTTGTAGATTATGTGAAGCTGAAAGTGTTTTGGTTGGGGATGTATTTACCAAGTATAATAGTAGTTTAGATGAAGTTGAGGTGGAGTATGGTAATATGGCCTGTCATGTATTTTCATTACTAGCAAGTGTATATAGGTAAAATTTTACATATTATTATGGTTACTCATTATTATCTGGTCTAATATGAATTATTTGTAATATTGACAAGTATTTTTTGTGGCTTTCCAATCGGCCTGAAATTAATATAATATTTGTTAATAATCATCAATTACCAATTTCATCTTAAAATACTGCACCAAATACAAAATAAACCATTAAATAAATTCCTTGTAAAAAAAAAAAATACATTTTTTTTTTATGAATTTATTTCAAGTGTTTGCTTTATTTATGTCTTTTAAAATCATCTAGCCAATATGAACTTTTATTTTGACAGTAACACTGATAGAATTGAAAAGGCTGTGGAATGTTATAAAAGAAGTTTACGTTTAAATCCTTTATTATGGAAATCATTTGAAAGGCTTTGTCAGTTAGGTAAGTTATTTTGGTTTTGGCAGGAGATGATTTATACATATTTATGGGTTCTTTTGCAAGTTATTTCCTGATGTTTTAGTTTTTCCACATAAAAACTACAAATTTCACAGGTCAGATGTAATTCTACGTTAGTTCATTGTCTGTATTTATGTAGTTTTAACTGTGGCTCCGGGTTCTTGTTTAATATCTGTCAGTGTCAGTCATTGTTTTTTTATACGGCCACATTGGAAATTGCCATCACCCCTGTCTGTACGTCCGTCCATCGTCCACAATTTCTTGTGAACACTCTACAGACTACATTTATTGTCTGATTGTTTTGAAATTGATATATGTTGTTGATATTAGTGAGATAAAGAAGCCTATTGATTTTCAGCGATTTCCGTTAATTACTGCCAGAGTTATGACCCTTGATCACCTTGAAAAATCTTGTGGACGCTCTAGAGTCTAAAGTTAATATCTGATTGACTTTAAATTTATACAGTGTTTACGGTCACGAGACGAAGAAGCCTATCGATTTTCAACGATATCCGATAATTACTGCCCGAGTTATGGCCCTTGATCACTTTCAAATATCTTGTGGATGCACTAGAGGCTCAAGTTAATATCCGATTGACTTGAGGTTTTTATACAGTATTTAAGACGAAAAAGCCCAGTGATTTTCAATGATTTCCGATAAATACTACCAGAGTTATGGCCCTTGATCACTTTGAAAAATCTTGTGGTTGCTCTAGAGACCAAAGTTATCATTCGATTGACTTTAGATTGATAAACAGAGTTTAAGGTCTTGAAACGAACAAGTATATTGATTTTCAATGAATTTTGTTAACTTGAATAGCTAAATCCATGATATTAAATGTTTCGTATATTTAACGTTAGCATGGGGCAGAACTACTAGAAGCCAAACAAATTCTAATGATTTTCTGATAATAACTTAATAAGTTGTTACTCTTAGTCTTAATCAGATTTTAGTGTATTATAAATGTTTCATTACCGATAATAGAACAAAATATGTGACAACTCTTGTTGACTGCTCGGACGACTTAGCTGCTGTGGGCGTATGTTTCGTTGCCTGGCAACCTATCTTTAAGGCGAGTGATCGCTCTCGAGCATCTGCTGCTCACCTGAATGTCGACCGAGGGGAGTTTTTTTCCCTCCCCCTTAAAACTGAAAATCGCTCTTCTTTACATAGTCATTGGTTGTTTATTATCATTTATGAAACCAGGAATGACCTCATTACATGCAGTTATTGATCTTAGAACCAGTTTTCATGCACATAACTAATCACTCTCGTTAATATCAGATCACTCTCCTTAATTTCTAAATCACTCTTCTTATCAAAACTGGGAGAGTTTTTTGAGGGGAGTGATTTTTTCAATTCTTTGTTTGAGGGGAGCTTTTTTTGGCTCTCCTCTGAAATACAAACAACAGCGACTTTAGTGTGGACGTTTATGACGAAATCAGGATGTTTAAGCATTATGTAATTTGTAAATGTCTTGATTACAGGTGAGAAAGTCGATCCTTGTCAGATATTCCAGAATACATTACCTGTTGCAGACACGCCTCTTCCATCTTTTAGTGTAGGTGTAGGTGATACTATATCACCTATAAGTACTACACATTCACCAGGTCTAAAACTATTAAATGTAAGTTCTTCACTTAGGCTTTAATAGAAAGGACATGCCTTTTCTGGTTTGTTGTCTCCTTTTGACTTGTTCAATATGTTGGAAGTAAATTAAATTTCACCTTTAAATGAAAAGGTTTTTTTTCTCTTCCATCCCGACTAATGAAGAACAGTATATGCCATTCAGCGTGATATGAGGGAAACTTTGTCGGACAACAGCGCTACAGCTTATTTTTATTTAGAATTCCAACTGTCAAATGTTGTTTTTACATACACACCAACATATACACAGGAGCTCCTTTTTTGTCCCATCCGAACAATAGACACTTCTTTGCCAGGCTCTCTATCGTGCATCACTGAAGATTTAAACAGGTTTATCTAAATCAATGGGGTAATGTACCAGTAACAGTTTTGAATAAGTTACTGTCCCTTAATCATGTATCTCATTTTAAAAATCAATGATGGCAGTTGACTTGAAATTCATGGGAAATCACCAATGCTTGTTAGAAGTAAGTTGTTGGTTGTACAAATTTAATGTGATTGAGAGGATAGGTTTGATTTGTAGTTTTCATAAATGATTGCAAGACTGCAGCTTAATTGACGACACTACTATTGCTTGAAGCAGATCTATTGGGTGGCTTAGGAAGTATCATGCGTAACACATCTATCATCAATTTATGGGTTCATCATTCCCTGGATGGTGCTTAACAGACAGTTGTCGGTATATTTTCTAGGTACAGAGTCCAATGCCCTCAATAAATGTGATACCAGCTGACTCCATAAACCTAACCCCAGACAATCAGAATGTTCCGATAATATCCCAAATACCAACAGCACCAAAAGTAACCCGAATCAAAAAGAATAATCGTGAACCTCCTACAGGCTTTTCAAAGGCGATGTCACGAAAAACTTTATTCAACATTCAAAGTCCATTATCACCAAGGTAAGTGATACATTTTCACTAATGTGTAAAGCAACTTTACAGTAATATTATCATCATTGAATGAATGTATTTTGTCTCTTAGACAGCAATTGAAATATGAAAACTGCCTAAGCTAGTTTATTTTGTGGAACACTCAAAATTCAGATAGCTTTTACTGTAGTACACTTGAAGAGAAGAAAAGAAGCCAGATTTGTTACTTTCTGACAAGTTAAATTTAACCATATTTATTAGATACAAGCCTAAACAAACAAAATCATAGGATATCTCTGACATGACCAAATACTTCTGCCTTGAGATTTCATTTCACATGTTCTCTACTACTGATTGGATTGAAATGAACTATGCAATTCCAAAAGGTTTAATTAGTATTTGTGTGAAAACAAAATAGAAATAGAAGTAAAATCACCAAAGGCTGTATCCATTATTTTGATATAGTCTTCTAATAAAAACAATCGCCCATAAATGCTGTATGAACGGGCAGTGGTTAGTGAACTGATTATGCTCACCACTACTGCTTGTAGGAGGCGTGCCAAATTGATAAAAGCTATATAAGGAACACATTTGAACTCCCAGTCATTATGTTATAAAATAAGGTCTTAATGAAATATATTGAAATCTGTGTATAATGATTGTTGTCTGTCTTTTCAGTTTTGGTGTGATGCCATTTGATTCTTCAAGTCCCAGAATACATAATATGCCTTTTTTAACTCCAAGTCCTGTAGCTTTATCAGAAACACAGCTGAAAGATGTAGAAGCACCTTATAAAAAAGTAAATGATTTGTGGATTAAATGTTTCTATTGTAGTGATGATAACTTATATTTCTTTCTTAAGAGATAAAAAAATCTTTTCAATTGTTATTTGATAGACCTCAAATAACTTTTAGGGTTTTTCAAAATCGTAAGACATAATTTTTCTCTTGCAACACACATTTGAATACTTTGACTCACTTTTCATTTTGTTGTATAGATTTCAACTGTATTAAACATTAAGTCAGCTTGCTAGCCATGCATCTTTATGGAAGTGTATAGACTTAACTGAAAGGCTTTGTTCTGAATGAATCTATGCATGATTGAAAAGAACGAATATTTGAACGAAAGTATAATGCAATATTTTCAATTTTTAGCCTGTTACAAGGAGACAAAATCAGAATTTGGTTCCTAAACCTCCAGTTTTTAATTTCTGTGGTAATTCTAAATCCCAAGACATAGGCAATCAACAATCTGGGTAAGTTTCAGATGATAAGAATTGAATGCTGAGATATTGGTAACAAGTTTTCTACTTTTCACATGTCACATGCGATAGTTATTATCTCCATGAAAATTTAGATCTCAGCAATCAGTTAATGAAAATATATTTTATACTTGATAGATATTTGTAATCAGATGAATTAAAAATTTGTTTTTGTTAGACACTGCGAGTTGAATAAGTAAATTTGTTTCGATATATTTCAGCTTACCTAATGTTCGGAGAAGTTCAAGATTATTTGGTAACTCAAGTTCTGTGAAGGTAGTAGCATTTTTGAGCTATATAGTACAGTCACTTTCCCCCACGTTCTACATGTGATTAGCCCATCATCTGCTGATTGTTTTCTTATCCTTTGTAGAGAATGGGATCACAGGAAAGCATACACTAACAGCAAATTTTTTTGCCTATGCTGTTGTTTGTTTATACTGTTATGTTTTCTTTTTAGAATTATGTTGAAATTTTGTGACTAATATATGGTATATAGTTTGATTATTTGCTTGGGTCTTTAGCCATGGCAGGCAAGTGTAGAAAACCCATGAGGTGAGGCAAGAGACCCTACTCCATTATCACAAACAAGCACAGGATCAAACCACAACCTCTCCCTTCCTCTGCAAATGTTCTATAGATCATGTAGGATATATTTATAATGCTTATATTATGATACCTCCTGACTTAACTAAAATTGGTTAATAGTAAGTGCATGGGGACAGCACCACACACAATTACTTTAATAATTCTGTAATAAAATACTGGTACAAATTTCATTATTTGTCATTATCCAGCGTCTTCAGTTTGTATTTTAGTTCTGATAACTGTTTATATTTTGTCTTCCAGGAAAATAACAAAAGTCAGGGAAACAAGACGAGATTAACTAGTCCAAAGGCAATAAATCGCAAATCTAAATCACGAACAATTAAATCTCAACAAGAATTAAATGAAATTAATAAAGAAGATTATACTGCTGATAATAAATCCTATATAAATGATGCTCCTTCACAAACACAGATGATTATACACATGCAACATCAGTCAATGGGTAATTTGTTTAATTTAACTAAAGCTTGACTTAAAGATACTTTGCCAAAAAAGTATTTATCGGGTGGTTATTTCCAAAAAAAGTATGGCAATTTTGGTATATATGGAACGTATAAACATCCAATCTTACTAGAAAAATACTGGATTCCCTGAAAAAAATTCATGGAGCGCATACAGAACAAAAGGGTAAGGGTCTCCCTAACCGGAAATCTGACGATTAGGGATGTCTGCTCGAGTGACATCAAAGGTTGCACATGCAAAAAGATGTCTGATATCTTAGCACTAGTTTGCACTTGATGTATATGTTGGTAAACTTGATTGTGAGCTTAAACGTACAAAGGTTTCTGAGATAAAAAACACAGAAAAAGATGTGGGCAGTGGATAATCTGAGAATTTAATTAGGCTTCGATATTTATGATAAATGGAGAGCGATTAAAGACAACATCAACTTGTATATGCAATGAATTCTCCTCCGGTTTTGCACCTGTTGCTAGGTACCACATCAGCCAAGTCAGCTGACACAAACATGACTTCTTTTAATAGATTTTATTTTATAGCAGGAGTATTGCCTTGCGAATACAATGTTTTGAGAAGGATTTGAAGGATATGCTCACATTGACAAATATTTTATGATGATCAGTTTCGGTCAGAAAAAATATGAAAATATATAAATGTAATGTCATAGATTGCCTATTGAAACTTTATCATATACCAATAAACATATACCAATACAGGAAAGGAAAATGTCATCCATGTAGACTAAATATAGGAGACGAATTTCATTATTTGTTAGAGTGTCCATTTTTTGTGGACTACGGGTCTCAATATATAAAGAGATATTATTTCCAATTTCCATCCACACGTAAATGAATGAATTATTGCATGTTAAGGGTAACAAACTATTAAAGTTATGTAAATTGATTGAAAATACATGTCATTTTTCTCAGTCCCACAAATGTAAATACTCTTAAGAAATAATTTGATGTTTAATAAAATGTATATATATTATTTTAAGGTACTATTAATTGATGTTCAATTCTAAATCACTTATAGTTTGATGTGAAATGAATGTATGAATATAATGAAAATGTAAAATGAAACTTAATGAATTCTTGTAACAGTTTTATTAGAAATTGAATGCTAATGTCAACTATCTAGAATACTTAGAACTATTCAATTAACATGAGACATTTTAAAACAGAATCAGAAAGAACACTACTTTTAATTTGAATATTTATGTCATTGTTTAATGAGAAGACCATGAAATAAATTAAATCAGAATGTTTATTATAGAACAATAATTTGCCATAAAATAAAACCGGCAGTTTATAGTTGAGTTTGTTAGAATTTGTGAACATAAGGCTTTTACAATCTATTAATTTATTGTGTTTATTATTAGATAAATTTCCTACTATTTTCAGCTGGGAAACTGTAATATAGCATATTAGCAGGAATTTATCTAGTTGAGTTTGTTAGAATTTGTGAACATAAGGCTTTTACAATCTATTAATTTATTGTGTTTATTATTAGATAAATTTCCTACTATTTTCAGCTGGTGTATTAACATTATTACAAGCTTTAGGAAAAGGTTATCAAGCACTCAGTGACTATAACAGTAAAAAAGCTATAGACCTCTTCTCTAAATTGCCTGAACATCAATATAATACTGGTTGGGTTTTATCACAAATAGCTAAATCTTTTTATTATATGGCTAATTATCATAAGGTAAGTAAAAAATTTATTGATTCAATATTTAATTAATGAATTAGTATGACGGCTGACACTTGTGTGTAGAAAAAAAAATTGTATCAGAAGGAACTCCACCGTTTTTATATGTCCATATTTTCTTGTCTTCTTGTCTTCTTGCGCACAGAAGCTGCACTTTAGAGCTCTGTCAAAAATGTGATTTATCTGTGTATAGAGTGAATGCCTATGTATAAAAGGTTGCATGGACCTGTATAACTGTGGTGTGACACCAAATGAGTTATTTTGGGAGAATTTAATTTTGGAATTGAGCGGTATTTAGACCATTTTGTCTAAGTACAACATATTGTGAACAGTGTTCAGGAATACAACCAGAGGGTCTATCAATTTCAATGTCAGTGTGCTATAGTAGTGAGGACCTACTAGCATGGCCGGGAAACTGTAATATAGCATAGTTTTTAGGGGTCAAACAATCCATTATATCCAACCGCCAGGTGAAAAGCGTGAAATCCTATATGGTCGCCAAATAGCCACCAGCCTATAACTCTCACAACAGATGAGCATATTAGAACAGTGGTTTTGGTCCTTTGTTATAGAATTAATATAAACATTAAAACCAAGGTTTCGATTCCCTGGTTGTATGTGACAAGCAGTAGGGTCACCTGTCCAACCCCATGGGTTTTCTCCAGGTCCTCCAGTTTCCTCCCACTGCTAAAGACCCCTACATGCAGGCAAATTATTGAAATAAATATTTAACAGTGATTTTGGTTATAGGATTAATATATTCATTAAAACCATTCGCCACATTAAAAACATAAGACGTCATTTTCAAATTATAAGATGGCCATCGTAATGGTCATTGTCAATTCTAAGATGGCCACCATAATGGTCAATATCACTAGTGCACACGGCCGTGTTTTGCCATTAACATAACTTGCAACCTTGAAAGGTGGGGGGGAGGGTTGCATGGCCGAATGGTTAGCATGTGCGCACTGTATCATAATGTCTGTCATTGAGTCAACTGGCAAGGTTTGGATTCCCTGGTTGTATGTGACAAGAAGTAGGGTCACCTGTCCAACCTCGTGGGTTTTCTCCAGGTCCTCCAATTTCCACCCACTGCTAAAGACCCCTACACGCAGGCAAATTATTGAAATAAAATTTAACAATATGTTAGTCCCGAAATGACCTAGTTTGTTTCCAGTGGACGTTAAACCCCATTTCTCTATTTCTGTTGGTTTTGTGTGTCGAAATTAACTGTTGGCATAGTTCTACCCTTACCATTTGCCAATTGATCGATGGCAAATTTAAAAATAATTTTGAAACTTAACTCTTGTACGTGTCAATGGTATCTACCTATTGGTCAAAGTTATAGAAATATAATCAAAGAAATGAAATGATATTTAATTTCAGGCTAAGCGGTTATTTCAAGAGGTGCGTCGTCTTGAACCATATTACTTAGAAAGTATGGATCTTTATAGTACAACATTATGGCATTTACAACTAGAAGTAGAATTATCAACATTAGCTAAAGACCTCACAGAATTAGATAAAAGTTCACCACAGGTAATAAGACAGTTTGTTTACCATCTTCATTAAAAAATGGAACATGGTTTCTGTAATAGAGTAATGTGAATTGTCAGCTGATTCCCAGAGAAATCAATTTTGAAATCCATGAAGAAACATAGAAAGGACAGTTTAAGTTAAAAGTTTGGGTCAACTTGCAGTAAAATGCTGTATTTCTCATTATTTTAACATTTCATCCAACACAAATTATTACTTTATATTTTTCTGCTTTCTACATCTTGAAAACGTACAAAGACATTATCCACTAGGTGGAGTGGAAAGAAAGAGGTGGTTTGAGCCGTACCAGGACTTGTGTTTTATGAAGAGATCTAGGTCACATTAATTTTAGGTGATTTCTAAAATTAGCTACAAACTAAATGTAAATAACATCACTTTTCACAAAATTTTTAAGGAAACTGGAATAGTCTATATTTACATGTAGCAAGATCTGTTTACTGGAGCTGTTTATGTCACAAAGCACATTTAATATTTTATTATTTATAGGCTTGGTGTGCTACTGGTAACTGTTTTAGTTTACAACAAGAACATGATTTGGCTATCAAGTTTTTTCAAAGGGCTTTACAGGTTTGTGTGTTGTTGATGATTTCTTTCTTTTGGAACAATATTTTCTATTCAGGAAATATATTGGAATCAAGATGGAGAACAAACTTGGCCTAAGTTTAAATCCAGTAATTTGCACTTAATTCAGCAATTCAAATAAAAATGCCATGCAATAGTTGGGGTTTGTGGCAGTTCACCCACAGAACTTTTAACCAGAATGTTCTCAGAATGATTCTCAGTGTGTTACAGAAAGGGCGTCCAGATTTTTCAAATCCATTTACTTCTTGTTAGTTGTACCCCTACTCCAGGGTGCCTTGGGGTTTGTTCACACAGAATCAGTAGTGTTATTATTTTAATGCAAAGAAACCTTTCCAGATGTATAGAATGACCATTTAGGTTACAGTCTTGTTAATGGGGGAGAAATTTGCCACCACGTTACTATGGAGACAATTTGTTTATAAATGAAAGTTTCCCCCTTCACAATTTTATTGGAATGCATAAATTAGTCAGACATTTTTAGCCTGCATTGTTATAGACATTATTCTAGTTGTCACCAGTGATTTATTTTCTAATTGTCATTTAAAAATGTTACTTGGATGGATACGATAAGTAGACAACTGTTATTTCAATCCCTGCACTGTATATAAGTAAAGTTAACCTTTGAAGCATTGCAAATCTTATGTCACAAAATTACGGACATAGTGCTAACAGGATGTTAAAACTTTACAATGAAAATATTCTAAATTACATTGTCTCTTGTTTTCAGGTTGATCCCAATTGTTCCTACGCCTATACCTTATTAGGTCATGAGTATGTAACAACGGAAGAGTTTGATAAAGCTATGGCATGTTTCAGGAATGCTGTTCGAGTTGACATTCGGCTTTATACAGCATGGTAAGAACCTATAAAATTAGTTTTCAAATTTACTTGAAAAAGGGTATGTTATTTAAAATTTTGGCTGGGTAGATTTTTTCCCTCACATTTTATAAATCATCCCAAATACAGAGATTCATACAATAAAACTCAACATCTTTAAAAACCATTATAGATAAGTGAAAAGACCAAACATTCGTAATGCCAAAAACAAATTCTCAATACAATTATAATCCTATTTCAATGTAAATATTTGTATTTCTTATCAGGAAATTTAAAAAATCTATATGAGCAATGATGGTTTTATTTTCAGGTATGGCATCGGACTTATCTATCATAAACAGGAAAAATATAATCTTGCTGAACTTCACTTTCGTAAAGCTTTATCTATTAATCCAGAAAGTTCTGTATTAATGTGTCATGTAGCTGTGGTAAGTTTAAGCATTAATTAAAAATACTGTTCAAAATAGTCATGCCTGTGTTCCACAGAAATTCCCTCCCACAAAACTCACAACATGGAATATTAATAATACAATAATACACTCATAAGAGGAGGATATGAAGTGAGCTTACGATATTTTAGTAGCAACTCTCCCCCCCCCCCCCCCCCCACACACACACTTCAAATTTTATTCCCCGCGAAATCCCTTTGAGAAGATTAGATATGTCTGAATCATTTATGTTATTCCTGTTTTCATTTCAGGTTCAGCATGCCCAGAAAAAGTCTGAACCAGCCTTAAAAACTTTAGAAAAAGCTATCAGTATAGATCCTAAGAATGCTCTGTGCAAATTCCATCGTGCTTCCATACTATTTGCTGTTGATAAAGATCAGGAAGCACTAAAAGAATTAGAAGAACTTAAACAACTTGTTCCAAAGGAATCTCTAGTTTATTTCCTTATAGGAAAAGTAAGTACATATTTAACCAAGTAGTTTAGTTGCACTGTGACTTACTTTGTGAATCTGTATACACTAACAGTCAATTTTTTGTCATAGTGTCCACTTTGGATAAAAGTATGTACACTCCATTTAAAGATACCCAATTAGGTCATCTATATATGTGTCTCTCCAAACTTAATTTCTCTGAAAGTATGAAATCTTAATGGTCTCAAAAACAAATTTCAAAACTGAAATTAATAAGCTCACAATAAATTAAACAAGCTAGTTATGACAAAGTACCGAGTAAGCATTGATATCTTAATGAGTGCACAAGCAACACCACCAGTCATCAGTACATTGTCTTCTAAGTATACTACGTAAAGGTGACAAGCTTCACTTTCGAAAGATAAAATATATCTTTTCTGGTAGTTATCATCTTTTTTTCGAACAATGGTTATGAAAAAAAAAATATATATATTTCTACTTTTTTCAGGTACATAGAAAACTGGGAAACACCCATTTGTCTCTGATAAATTTCTCTTGGGCAACTGATTTGGATCCTCAAGGTGCTAATAACAGTATTAAAGAGGCCATTGATAAACGTTATTCAACGGATGCCGATGATGATGATGTTATCTTTGGTGGTGGTAATGAGGGATGTGAGTATTTAATGCTGTTCTAGTAGTAATATCAAATAATAATTGTGATTTGGGGAGGGGGGGTGCTGCCGACAACAATATATAGTTTTGATCAGTCGGCATAAAGCATGAAATTTTTTGCCGCTTATGTACCCACTTATCTAATATAATTCCAGATTACTTAGTAGTTTCTGAAACCTTCAGACTATCTTTTGTTTTATATGCAACCATTATGCATTGAAATACAATTAAAAGCATTTTGATTCGTCAGTAATTTTGAAAGCAGTCTCAGTTTATTCCCTATAAAATATTTCTGCTCTGTGTAATATTCCTGTGCATCTTTTATAGTATGTATTCGAGAATCAAAATGGTGAGCATGGTTGTCATGATCAGCTAGTAAAATGGGCATACGTCATACAGTTTGCTATGAGGGAAATTTTGTCCCTTACAGCGGCACTACGGTCTACTCTTATATCGAATTCCAACTGCCACGATGAACTTTCTCGGCCAATGCAGGGGTCAAACATGCAACCTCGAGGCTAGTGACCCAGCATCTTACCCACTTATCCACCCTGGCTCTCCAGCTGCGAGACAGATGAAATAGAACACCCCTGTTTTGAAAAAAAACAATTGTTACAGGGCCGATTGTTTGAATCGTATTAGTATATTTTTTTTCTTCTTTGTAGCCTTCGATCCAGTTGGTAATCTTGATGAGTTAGGTGAGGGACCGTCTCAGAGTGATGATAATGGCCCAGTGTTTGATCAAGATTTACAAGCTGTGGAAAGTGACGAAAGTTTGTGACAATACTTTTTTATAGTGTGATCATGAGATGTGCCCTGGCATATTTCTAGTGTATTTCTATCTGTGAATAATTTTATGTTAGAGAGATTGAAGTGGATAATATCTGTGGATGATAAATATCCCAATGTCAAAAACAAATATATAAGGAACAAATGCATACAGACAGTGAACTATGTAGAGAGAGGATTTTTTTATATTTTAGATTCTCTATCAAATCCTAGAAACATGCATTTAATTGTGTTTGAGTAACCAATAATATATTAATTTTAGAGAGGATGAGTATAAATGAGAATTTTTTTATTTAAATCTGTGAATCTTAAGAAATGGCATTGATCTCTGTATTCTGTTTCCACCAAACCTTTTGCCTAAATTTTAAACTGACATTATGTATGTAACTACCTAACAAAGAAAAAACTTGCATAAAAAGTCACCAGGCATTTGCTGAGAGATCTAATTGAATATCAAATGGAAATAATTGAATTATCATGTCAATATCAATTTGGAATATGACTTGTGCAACAAACAGATCTTCCTTGGTTCGTTTGTTTTTTTTGTGGGGCTCAACGTTTGCTTCCACTGAGTGTGATATCGCAGAAAAATCTTCTTCTGTTGACTGCCAATTATTTATGTGAATTATAACAGCAAGCAGAAATATCACAAAAGATACAACTGGTTGTAGGAGAAAAATAGACTAAACAAATTTAATGTGATTCATGGGGGAAAAAAATAGAATTGACTATTTGTAGTGCTATTTTCCTTCTATTTATTAAATCAAGATTACAGTTTCTTATGTTAGATGTGCATGGCTGGCAATAAGATGTTTTGCAGCAATATCTTTCAATATTTATTATTTAATTATTTTAGAGACTTTTTGTTATTGTTTTGTTAAAAATATTAATAATAAAGTTGTATCTAGTAATTGTACTATCACATCTTTCAATTAGTTCTATATTTAGTTCTGATTGTTGGCAATAAATAGTATGTATGAGGGTGGTTTCTTATTGTGTATATATTATATACATATGATGTCATGTAAGATATAGAAATTGTATACATGTACATGGTGACTGACATGGCAGGATGAGAAAAATAACCTGTCATGTCAAATAATATATTTAATAAATCAACATTGACTTTGTGTTTTGTTTTAGGTCAAATGATAAAACAGACGAATTATCATTGTGCAACAGATACAGTACTACTATTTGGTGTGACATTAAAGAGAAATCCTATTTTGATTACATGTAGACTTGAGGGCTGCATTTTCAGATGTTACTGATCAAATATGAAATTTTTTCCCCATTATTGTGCACCTCTGTGTTCTCTCGGTAGGAGTATTTTCAGCTTAGCCTAAGCTTGGCCTTGGGAATTGATGCTTTATAAAAAGTTAAATGTGCAAGTAGTTATATAATTAGTTAATGAGTATGATCTGTTGGTGGAGACATCAGCCTTAATGTTGGCCTTATGAGCCAGGAGCAAGTACTCATCTTGTTCTTGGGGGCAATGTTCTTCGAAAAAATGTCATGCTTGGTTTGTGCTCCATTGTAATTGTTTATATCAGACAATCATATTCCAAATGGTTATTAACCTTAAACCAATCGGAATCGACCTCATATATGCTTGAATTTAAAATTAGCATAATTTATCGCAAACTTCATCCCTGTTTTTATAACAACACAGCCTATGATTGGTCAATAAGTCTGTGTGATCTGAATACTGGCTTCAAAGAAAATATTTTGGCATAATAGCCATCATATTCCTGAATATACATGATTCTAATCAGATTGAAATCTATGCTACTTGAATATTGGAATGTTGATCAAATTATGGGAGACCAGTTGGACAGTTTCTACTACCATTTATTCCACTAGCCATCTCTTATCTTTGAAGAATTTAAACATAAGAATACCAATTTTAGACAAGCGAACAAATAATTATATATTTTAGTGATATATCGTAATCACTTCTTGATGTAGAAAATTTAAAAAAGTTATGTTTTAATTATTAAAAAAACACAATAAAAGCCGAAAGGATATTATTGCTATATTTGTCTAATAGTAACTGGAAAAGAACTGCACCGCACATAACAACCATAACCAAGACAAACTTGTGGATACAACACACTGACATTGGGTCCTGTCTTCATTAGCCCCATCGGAGTAGGACGTTAAATATCATTTCAGCGGGGTTGGATGGCCAAATGATTAGCACATGAATGCTGTATCATATGGTCTGTCATTGAGTCAGCGGGGTTGGATGGCCAAATGGTTAGCATGTGCGTGCTGTATCATACGGTCTGTCATTGAGTCCGCTGGCGTGGTTTCGATTCCCCAGTTGTACGTAACAAGGAGTAGGATCACCTGTCCAACATAGTGGAATTTCTCTGGGTCCTCTGGTTTCCTCCCACTGCTAAAGACCCCTACGCGCAAGCAAATTATTGAAATAAAACTGAACCATGCGTTAGTCCCGAAATGACCTAGTTTGTGTCGAGTGGGATTTAAACTCTGTCTCTCATTTCATTTCACCATGGACATGGTCCATGATTTCACACTGACATTGGGCTATCAGATTTCAGTTAGTTATGCATAACCACGTTTTGAATAGCTTCAGTGTGAATTTCTTTGCTGCAAAAAAAGAACTACTATGGCAGGTATGACAAAGTCCCACTTGTTTTATGCCAAGTTGAACTCCTGCTATCTGGCAGATAACAGTATTTAATATTTGGCACATCTTTAGACAGACCAATAATTAGTTTTTTCTGAATCCAATTAACACAAATCAGAAATGTTTTGCCCTTTTAATAAAATTGGACACATTTTAAAAAAAAATAATTAGAATATAAAATATGAATATAAATTTACATCGTTATAAATTGGATGGATATGGTATCTTACATGTACATTTTATGAAACCCATTAAGGGAGCAGCTCTGGCTGAATTCAATACACAGGACAAAAATTCAAAATAACTATGGCATTAATACATGTGCATTTACATTTTGTGTTAAAGTTCTTTAAATCAATATGTGCATTCAGATTTGAAGTTGATAAACAGTATACACCTTAACATTAATTTTCAAATGAAAGAAAAAAAAACATTGAAAGTTACTGAAACAAAGCAACCAAAACCAGCAAATAATTTGCACTGTTTCACCTTTGAGTATTCATTTAGCCAGAGCTGGGCCGGTATTCAGTTAATTTCTTTAAACTTACAGGAGCTAAATTGCAAATATTTGGGACCTAGGAATTTACACAAATGGGTCGCAATGCAAATAATAATGTAATATGAATGTATATAAACTGATTTACATTCAATCTTTTCTGTTTTTACTATAATTTCAAAGGCAAAATACGGCAGAAGTCTTAATCGAATGGCAATCTCTAGCGTCTGGTTATTCCAGTTTACTCCGATGGTATTTATTCTGCATGCTCTCCAGATAACAGTATCACGTCACCGTTTGACATGACTTGTGGAATATGTCTAGCCTCGTTCTTCGAATCTTTTGTTACAAATGGTGCTGAAATGCATTATGGTACACGATTCGTGTACCAGTGATAAAATGTATATTCTGTCTTAAATATGAGATATCAGAAGCCCATCTTTTCCCAGTAAGATCACAATATCAATATTTATTTAAATTGATAAATAATTTGTGTTTTCAATGTCAAAGATTTGGATGATACAGAGTTATAGACTTAGCTACTTTAAGTTTAAGATCGCCTTGTCAGGTAAGCACGCTTTGTTGATTAAAGGGTGTTACAAATGAAGATTTATTATAGCCTATATATTATAAATTAGTATTCAATTTCGGAAAGTAACAATTTTGGCTTCCTCAAACTTCCTTAAGGTATGTGACTGCAAACAAGCAAAGTAGAAAAAGCTGCCACTACCTTGCCCAGTTTTGATTAATTCCCTACTAAAGCGATCGTTAGTTTGTAACAACTGTTTACCATTAATTCTGCCACTTCTGAATTCTTCAAATCATTGTTACCTATCCACTGTAGCAATGACCTCTACCAGTATGTTAAATTTATATTTGGAATGTGTTTAACTTGACTGGTCACATTTGTAAAATTAGTGGATACCAATATTGTCCTTTAACTGACATTGTCATATCAACGATATAAGGAAGTTGCCGTAAAAGTTAAAAATTAAATTATCTCATTATACTTTTTAAATTGAATACTAGTCCCTTAAGATTAAGGTAATATCCTAATTTAAGGTGAAACTGCGCGATAATAAGTATAAGATAGTCAACTGAATACGGGCCCTGGTCACATTTATGATTAGGAATGTTTAACTGATAATTCATCAATTATAGCATATCTTTTATTGTCTGCCACTTTCAAAATATAAGGGTGCTCTCCATTGCCTAAATGGGCAGGGACTGGCACTTTCAATTCTGCATGAATTTCAGCATCTGCTTGCACTGACTCCAAAGTATTGCAGGCGTGTACTACATTTACACGAAAAATTATTTCAGATAGAGAATCAATTATAGCAATTCTAAAACAATGGGATGAGCTGGGAGTTATTCTTTGGGATTGTGTTTTAAACGAATCTTTCTTGTTCAAATTACTGCCGCTAACTTCTATAGTTCCATCCAAACCCAAAAAGCAGCGTATTCCAGTTATTTCTTCAAAATGTGCATATGCTGTTGACCGTAAAAAGATATTTAAACCAGTTTTCCCCCTTTCCATTTCCTTATTGTCATAATTCAAAAACATGACTCGCCCCTGCAGACTCAACTCAGGTGTCGGTTTGTAACCAGATTTGCTAACTATGTAGACTATTGGGCTGGATAATATGATGGCTTCAGTACTTCCCAAAACAGAATTCTTCTCCATGTGAAATCCCATCTTAACCCAAGCTTTATGATGAAACATAACTAAGTCTCTCTGTAACACTAAAGGGCTGACTTGATTTCTTGAAAAATGACGATACTTTGATAGAACAGCCTCAAGATGTTCATCTTTAATATCAAAGTACAAGCTATGAGGTGGAAATCTGTAGGCAGCATACAACATGTCCTCTTTAATTGCAATGGTCTGTGGTGATTTTGACACCATCAAGCTAGAATGAAACACATTATCACAGAGCCATTTTAATTGTGGTACAGAATTACGAAGCCATGACAAGTCTGCATTGAAGATAATTTGTTGGTCATTGATCTCCCAAGTTTGTATCAATTTGAACATATCCAAGACCATGTCCCAGGAATAGCCACCTTGACTTGTATCAGTATGAGGAGAAACTGTCCACCCAAGAGAAATGGTACACTTTGGGAACACACGTTTTAAATGTCTTAAAAATCTTGTAGAATCAATATTTGGAGCTTTACCTTCCGGTCCTTGGAGAACGTCCGCATGAATCCATACAGGGAATTTGAGAAAGCCCTGTTCTTTTATTATTTTTAATTTTTGTAGGGATATTTCAACAGCTTCAATACTTGTAAAGACAAGCTTGATTCCTTTATGTTTTGATTTTACTACATCTAACCAGTCATCTAACGTTGTCTTACTATCAGTCTTAGGTGGGCTAGACATCACTGGTATCAGTTTCTGATCTTTTGTTCCTTGTCCTCTCAAAATAACATCACCTTCAAGCATATGGGCATCACTCTCCATTGCCTGTGTTAATTTATCTAATGTGTTAACTTTTCCAGACCACCTAATTTTACTTGCATCGTTATTAATGTCTCCAAAGTATAACAAGGGGCTGACATCTGATTCCACATCAAAATAACTTATTTTATGTTTCAAAAATTTGGGAATAAACCCTCCATTTATGGAGACCCAAAGGTATAGAACAAATCCAACACATAGCAACTGAATGACAAGATATCTTCGGTAATGCCTTGGAATGGGAAGGCTTGACATAAATTTGGACAGGGACATCTCTTGGTGTTGGTGACGCTTCATTATAATACAATTTCTCAGCTTGCGGTAATCGAAATTGGATTCAAATTGTTGTTAATCTGACAACGATAACCGTTGCCCTCATTTTTGACAACCACCTGTAATCGTCATGATCCGTGTACCTGACTAATCGGTCACGTGATCAATATTTACGACATTGCCGTTAATGGGCGAAAAGACCGACTTCCGGAATCAACAAAGCGAGAATCAAGAATCTGAACACCAAGAATTAATCAAGGAAATTAGGCCCAGAATACCAAAAATAAAAAGAAAATGGTACATTAGATTTAGCAATCTTGGTCCCATTAGATGTTTGACACCTCGTAAGCAGAGGGAGTCGTACCGCGCGATTGTGGTTGCCAAACTTTCTCGTCTCGTGTAGGCTACCTTTGACCACTCGGACCAATGGCAATTGATAGACCACTCGGACCAATTGATAGACCACTCGGACCAAACAAAAAGACTACTCGGACCAAACAAAAAGACTACTCGGACCAAGTGTTTTAATAGATAAATAAGCTCTGAACCTAGGTCTCATTACACTCGTCCTGTACGTTCAGGAACCGCCCTATTACATCCTTGTCGAAAAAGTATCAGCCCCCAGTCAATTTTACTGGGCAACTTTTTAATGCTAAACAGTCGCGTGTCAGTCTCAGTGAACGCCTGAACAATGTAAAGGAACATTTTAGTGAGAAAATAAGATCTTGCTTACCTCTCTAGAGTCAGTATGTGCAACACAACTTGCTGTTAAAAATACGTCCCCTTCTGTTAAACGGCTTGGCAGAAGCCAGTGAAATCTAAATATAGGGTAACGCACAAATTACGTATGTCGGCCATATATGATGAAACGAAATTTACATAAGCAGGGGGGGAAAAATTGGAATCTTTTAAAAGTTGAGAATCTTCAGTCATTTATTGCTTTGCTTAGCCCAAGTACAATCAATTTTTTTCAAAAATTCCAATTTTGTTTCACCTGCTTACCTAAATTTTGGTTCGTCGTATATAGTATGTACAAAGAATACAAATTAATAGGTACCCAGTTGTCGATGTTTTATTAATTGAGTTTTTTTTCTGTGCTTCATGATGAGATAATAACACCGGTGAGTAGGATACAAAGAAAACAAATGTATTAAAACAAACACAGTTATCAATTTATTAAAACAACACTTTATTATTTCAAAGACATCGGTCCGAGTGGTCTTCTGTCTTGTTCGAGTGGTCTATCAACTGGTCCGACTAGTCTTTGGTCTGAGATTTTATGCATTCAAGGTGATAACATTCATTGAAGGAATGTGTAAGCTGCCATGGACTACCCTGGAGCTACATGTAAGGTGGCACAGTGAATAAGGGATGAAAAAAAAATTAAATTTGGTATATTGTCTTGTTATTATTGTGGTGGGATTATTGTTCATGTAACAATAAATATGAATATTTACTGTACTGATTTGCAGGAAGTTGATGGTAGCCTTGGACCGCTTGATGGTTTCTTTACTGGTAATCCAGAACATAGTCTTGAAACCTGCAGGTAATTTGAATTTATTATAATAAATTTATTTGGGTAGATTTAACATCAACAGTTTTGAGGTGCAATGTAAAGCTATTTGTGTTATTTATGTGTCACTGTCATTTTTGTTATGGCATCCAATGAAATTGTTAGTTTTATTGAGCTTTAAAGTTTTATATAAAATTTTCCATTTGAATTAAAACACTGACGAAAACCAGGCTGTGATTTGTTGAAATTATCTTCAATTTGTCACACAAATTGATTGGTAATTTTGTTGGGTAGGAAAGTAATAATAGTAACCTGTCAGAAGAGTATAGGGAATCCATCGATTTATTCAACATACCAAGGTACATGTAAATTGTGTTTTGCTGAACACAATGACCCTTGATCGTTACAAAAATGTCAGTTTGATCTTTTTGCACAATTATTGTTATTGTCATATTCACGGTAGATGATAGCAAAGAACAATAAATTTCCCATATAGTTCATTTCTATGTTCAGTGGTGTGCTAGCTGCTGGGGATATTATGTTTTTTGTTTTCTTAAAGATACATTATGTAATATTTGGAAAAATAGCTGGCCGTTCTCGCTATAATATTTCAAAAATAAATAATGCAAAATGAATATATTGAAAATTTCATTTAAATTACTTTATTCTTGGCAAAGTTAACAGTGGTTGTAGTTTTGACAAGATGTGTGCATTGATTGTAACTACCGTACTGGTCATTCAAGCCTTAGCCTCGCTTCTCCATTTTTAAATTAAATCATTAAATGGCCAAACCGTTCTAATCTACTTGAAATCGGAGGTATCCAATGGCATCGAGAGTTGATTATGGTCTTGTCATGTAAATAAATGCCTAATTAATAATTTATATAACATTTAAAGCCCAAAGAAAGACCTGCAGTTGGCAGATTTAGCTATTGAATAATATCTGTTTAATTAAATGTTACATAATCTATCTGTGTATTTTTTTAGTGTTGATGAGGCTGTGAAAGATTATTTATTTTACTACATGTTATTTGATATTATAGAAATGTGAAGAATATGGTGATAGGTAATAATAGACAAAAATCAGCAGTGATCAATGATGGACTGTTACCAAGGTAAATAAAACTTATCAACAGGACAAAGGTGAATTTAGCAAGTTTACATTTTTATTGAAAGAGTGATTACTTTCGATCATTTTCAGCTTATTTTCATTATACAAGAATGAACTCATTTGACCTTTGACCCCGAATATCTCGGAAACGCCCCAACGGCGGACTGATTACCACCGGCATCGTATTCTACATGAAATTTTACTCCAGAAACGTTGGGCCAGGTTTTGTGCCCATTTGATGGACACCCCTCCGCACTGAGCCTCCAGACTAAAGTAATTCCATTACAGTTAAGGAAATATGAAAGTGATATACATAACATTGTAATTTGTGTATTATTGCAGGTTATTACAGTTAATGATAGATGAAAGTGTATCATTTGACTTAAGAACAGAATCAGCTGTTATACTGGGTAGTGTTGCTAAGGGAACAGATCAACATATACAAAGTTTGATAGATGCTGGATGTGTCCATGTTTTATTAAAAGGTAAGACAATTGACAAAATTAATAGTTTAAATTATAATTTAGTATGATATTTTATGAGCATGAGATACTTACCTTATAACAGATTGTTGAGAGATTGAGAAAAAGAGAAAATGAAATTTTATGCCATCATTTTATAAATTTCAGGTATTTTTAGTGTACATCTAAAATATGTTGAAGCTTGTTTACGCTGTTTGCGTTCTATATATCTCAGTAATAAGGCACCTGCCGATCTTGTCTATCAGGTAGGTACAGCTTAGAAGTTGATTTAGTAGATAGTCCCGTTCAAAACATTAAATCTTAATTAGATGCAATCTTCTCAAATCAATGAGAAGTGATACCATTTGTTCTATAAAGAATAGGAATTACCTAACTTTATCAATACTAACTAATTTGGAGTTGAATTTCCTAGGTAGAAATGATATCTAACTAGCATGGTCATCAGCTGCACATTTGACCAAGCTGTTTAAATTTATTTTAAAATATGGTTTGTGAACTTCCCAAATAAATGCTGTGTCTTTCTAAAAAAGGAAATTTTTGATTATTATAATTTTCATTTTTTTAAGCAATTTAACTTGGTTGATTACTGTAATTTGTGATTTTTTTCTCAGGATTTAGCTATAATCTCCCATCTAGTGAATATATTGTCTAAAACAGCTACAACACAAGAATGTATAACTTCTATATTCTCTAGTTGTTGTAAGGTAAGTTATATTATGGCAATAAACATCGCTTTTTAATATTGAATCTGTTCACTTTAAAATTAGCAAAATTAATCAAATCTTTTATTATAAATGTGAATTTTCCTAAACCAAAAGTTTTCATTCGGAAAAGAAAATTTAAGAATATTTTGTCCAAGTGATCTGTGAACCAGATTATATTTTGTAGACACAAGCTCATCAAAATGTACTCTATAGTAATGGTATGGTAGCAGCTCTGGCTCCATTATTGAACTCTAATGTGTATAAGGTATGTATTCTTATGTCAATCTGTGCCATATTTGGTCATGTATAAATTTATGTACATAGTGGGCTACAGTATTTACGTATGTCTAAATATATATCATTTGTGAGAGAGAGAGAGAAATGGGGTTTAACGTCCACTCGACACAAACTAGGTCATTTCGGGACTAACATATGGTTTAATTTTATTTCAATAATTCGCTTGCACGTAGGGGTCTTTAGCAGTGGGAAGAAACCGGAGGACCCGAAGAAAACCCACGAGGTTGGACAGGCGACCCTACTCCTTGTCACGTACAAACGGGGATTCGAAACCACGCCAGTCGACTCAATGACAAACTTTATGATACAGCGCGCGCACGCTAACCATTCAACCATCCAACCCCCCTATATCATTTGTACCAGGAAATGTGATGCTATGATTTTACACTAAAACTGATTTCTTTAAGAGGTCAACCAAATTTTTGAAATATGTAATTTGCATGCCCGTGAATACTACCATCTGCTTCATCCTTTTTTTGTTTTTAGGTAACTAAATAAAATAGAAGCTTGTGATTTTTGCACCGTATTGAAAATTATCAATATAGTTCTTCAATACAACCTTTCTGGGAAATTATATGACGTCACAAATTGTTTGACGTTCCATATATTACCTTCCAAAATTATTGGTAAAAAAATTGTTAAGATTGATCTCTTGGTTTTAGGTACAGATGCCAACAATGAAATGTTTAGCAGTTATATGCTATAAAAATGAAGCTGTTTCACATGCAGTAGCTTCAGGTAATGTAATATCCATTGAGACCAACACTCTGTTTTACAGCTATTGAAACAAGCTATTTGACTTGGATTCCCCCAAAATTGTGAATTTAATTAGTTTTATATGTCGGTTTTATACGCCCATATGGAAATGTGGTCATATATTGCCGTTTGTCCATTTGTCCATCGTCCAGAATCTTTTGTGAACGCTCTAATGACTTAAGTTATTATCTGATCTGTATTATTTAAATTAGTAAAATGAAGAAACCTATTGAATTTCAGCAATTTCTGTTTATAAATTCTAGAGTTATGGCCCTTGTTTCACTTTGTTGAACCATGTGAACACTCTAATTACAAAAGTTATTGTCACATTACCTATAAAAGCATAATTATGTGACAACCTTTGTCGACTGCTCGTACGATTTAGCTGCTGTGGCCATATGTTTCATTGTCTGACTACCTATCTTTCTGTAAGTTGAAAATCTGTCATCATCAAAAGTTTTTAGTTCAGGTAAATGCGGTGATCCTGAACAGAGATTGGGGACAGATCAAGCCTATATCAATCCCTCTCGCTAGAGGTTTTACTTCTAAAGATAAAGAAATTTTTTAGATGTAACTCAATTTGTTTAAACGACAAACAAAACTAAAATTAGTATGCAAGTCTACTCCACTTAATCTTTCAAAAAAAAAAAAAAATTTTATAGAGTTTTACATATCTGATCAACCCAGTCCAATAGTTTACTTTCATCAGATTTTTACTTTTGTCTGGCTACCAGACTTTCATACTAAAAATATCCATGGAAAAGGTACAAACTCTATCCATTTATAATCTATTTAAAAATGTTCCTTTGAAATATTGTTATTTACTTACAGCTGCATTTAATGGAGAACCAATTCCATCTTTACTACTCAAACTTATTGCTAGAAATAAAACCTCAGAAATGCAAATGGCTGCTGCTAAATGTTTGACATACCTGTATCGTGCTGGGGGTCTGTCAGCTAAAAATCCCATCATTCCATTAAAGGTTTGTTTACTACTGCACTTATTAAACAAAATATCACAATTGAGATTCCACCAGATGAAAATGTCCACAAGCTAATAGATGTTGTTAACCATACATAAAGAAATATTTTCAACCACATAAAAAGACATACAGACAACTATACAGAAGAAATTTTTCTCAAACATGAAGAATCATTTTTTTTACCATAGAAAATCATTTTTCCAACCATGGAAAATCAATTTTCCACCACAGAAAATCAATATTTTTAATAAATCCAAGTCATTAGTCAACAAAAGTAAATCTCAGTGAATGAAAATGACTTTTATTAATTTTCTTTGATTTATTTAACCTCGAGTATAAGTATTTATGTATAGAGCCATCAAAAAAAGAAGACTGACTGAAAAATCTAGTAAAACTAAATGCTTATCTAAGCGATGCTTTCAAAATCACTGAGACCTGGAAGCTAGCAGAGTTTTTCTTTATCAGATTTCTTAATTTGGTATTTTTCAGACGATGCCAACACTAGTTAGAATGTGTAAGAAAGATCGAACATTAGAAGAGAATATAGATGGTGCCGAAACGTTAGCTTATCTTGTCGAAGTAGATCCTGAATTACAGAAGATAGCATCTATTACAGATCATGTCATATCAACATTAGCTGTTTATCTTAAATACACAGATGTGCAACAAATTACCAGTAAAATCAACGGGAAAAAGGTACCAACAATCTTTTTATTCTAATTTTAAAAATTGTATTCATAATATTTTAGACATAGTCAACTTACACAAAGCAGACTGGGAAAAATCCTTTAGTTCACTGTCCTGAGAACTGAAAATTTATTGAGGACAAGTGGATGTCTTTAACTGATCAATAACTGTTATTTATTGTCTGATCCAAATCTGATTTTAGTGACATTCCTACATGAAGTTAAACTGTTACACTTCTAGTAAGAGTGAATTGGTCTAGAAGATGTGTGAAAATTGTATTAAACTCTACATTTAAGTGCAAATTTGTAATGAGATTCATCAGTTAAAAAATAGATTTATAGCCATTGGCATGTGAAATCTTGTTCACGCTCCTTACATGCTCAAAAAGTAGCTTTTGATATATAAAGCTAACGCCCCAAAATATTTGACTGACTACCATCTCTGTAACCTTCTAGTGGTTGTGGCAGCCGCTCATTAAAGACTTCAACTATAAAATGAATGCATCTAAGATTCGGAGGGTTATATGTAATGTTTTACAGGATATGGATTGGGGATTAGAAATGAAACAAGCAGCATTTAAGGCTTTTGCATCAATTGGAGCTAATGATGAAGACATACGTAAAAAGGTATGATTGAATAATCAGGTTAGAGTAGGTATGAACAGAGCTTTAAAAAAGTTCAGGGGCACTTTCAGATTCTAGGATTTATGATATTCCTTTTGCCAACCAACCTTTCAAATAAATTACAAGTTTAGGGAAATTAGAGACATGTTAGCAGTTCTGGTTACATATGGAATGGGGTTTGAACATCATGCTTACACACGTTTCTTGTCAACCCCACGGAACCCTACTCAGAAAGTGAGAACCAAGCTTGCAAAAAAAAAAAAGACATTCTGGTTGATAGAACCACACGATCACGGCAACACACCATTATAAAAGGATGAAATACATAGATAATAAATATTTTATCCAATCAGACCATTCTATTCATTTTTCCTTGTTATTTCATACATTAAAATAATTACTGTATATATTTATTTATAGATAATTGAAACTGAGAATTTAATGGATCATATTTTAATGGCAATGACAAGTGATAATGCTAAAGTACAGGGAGCAGCTACTAGATGTCTTCACAGTTTATCACGATCAGTTCAACAATTACGTACAACATTTAAAGATCATTCTATCTGGAAACCTCTGATGAAGGTGTGTTCTTTTTACATTGGCTATAGTACTTGTTTGAACAATGGATTATCTGTGGACCATTGGCTAATCAGCAACTGATATTTGTCGGAGGATTAATGAATCGGCCATCTTGAATGAAAGTAATGATGTAGCCTGTTTACTATGTCTGGAAATTTCAAATCAAAATAATGAGTTTTTCGGAAATGGTTGCTAGACATGCTTTAATAGGTTTACATAACTCATTTAATGAATTTTTATTTTTTGATTATATGAGTGACTTGTATAAATATTGCTAGATTATTTGTTTGTTGTTTTTATTTATATAAATATTGTATATATCAGTTAATAGAGATTGGATGTGATGAAGTATTAACGATAGCATCATCAACACTCTGTAATTTATTATTAGAGTTCTCACCCAGTAAAGAGGTATGAAACATATTTATTTACAATTGGCAATACACAAGTTACTTTGAGAAGTAATAACATTACAATATATTTTGTTAATTGTTATCAACTATTGCTTACAAATACTAGTTTAGATAATTGATCCACCTGTTTTTGAAATGCTCTATCTAATACTTCACATTGAATTTTAGAAATTACTCTTTTATTCCACATAATTTCTCAAAATGATTTAAGACGTTAAAGAAAATGTGATTTTTATTTGACAGGATATATTAGAATCTGGTGCTATTAATATGTTATGTAAATTAGCCAGTAAAGAAGATCCAGCTCTTAAATTAAATGGTGTATGGGGATTAATGGTAGGTCATTTGTTAATACATTTAAAACAAATGGGAATCCATGACTTTTCCCATTATTACTTGTATAAGTCACTGAGGAGGTAACTTTTGCTGGTGGTGTATGGTTCCAAGGTTATCTTGAAACCAGTAGATTTGGTTTTGGCACCGATGTTGGCCTATCTGAACATCTAGACAGTGTGATTTGTGCCTGAAAGATCCTGAAATTTCCTTGCAGCCCATGCCTGGGTTAGAACCCATGTCACTCTGTGAGTCCAGTGTTCTAACCACATGGACGCCGCAGCCCTGTATGGTTGTGGGACAAGTAAGTAACTAGTCATAATGAGTCAGGTACTTGGATATTTAGATCATAATGGTGCTGAATCTCTATACATTTTTTTATTTACAGAATATGGCATTTCAATCTGAAGAGAAAGTAAAATCTGAGATAGTAGAGACTTTAGGATCAGAACAACTATTTGTATTATTATCAGATGAAGATCCTACCATATTAATGAAGACACTGGGCTTATTACGCAACCTCCTGTCTAATAAACCAGTTTGTAATCTCGTGGTTTGTTTAATTCATATCATCCTTCATCTAATATCTCTACTAATGCTGGTCTTTATTCCATTACGTACCTCGTGACAGACAGATATGGTCAAACTCAGTGCCAGATTTAGATCAAGAAAGGCTCTTGGCTATTCCACTTCTGGGTCCCTCCCAATCCCCCACCCTCATGAGTAGAAGAAGATGAAGCTGTGTTTAAACATAATTGACCAAAGCCTAAGATGGTGGCGATTGTTTAAGTGCGTGTAAGAAAGCCTTATGGTAGTGTAAACAATATAATACACCTTGACCAGAGGCCCTAGGCTTCAATCCACCAACCCTAAATATAAATCCGGCATTGGTCAAACTCACGCATTAATTTGACGTGAGCCTTTCCCTACTAAACACCTCTTACTAAAATACATTTTATCATAATAAACTAATAGTCTTTATACCATGGGGCTTCACAATAAAGCTGATGCTTCAGTATTATACGCCAGTCTTGACTGATTGGCAGTGAAATTGACCAGCTTGGGTAATTACTTATCACTATCAGCCAATTTACATTAATTAATTATAGAATGTAACTGGATATATTATATGTAGTGTTTTCCACAGAATGTGAATTTGTCGACACAGAGTACATTTTACTGAAGATTAAAGCCTTTTAAAGGAATTAAAACATTTACCTGACTTCAAATTTAGGAGACTTTTCTAGAGCAAATGTCTCATTACATGTCTTTAGATTTCATATGATAAAGCATTTTCAGATATACATTTTAGTAATTGTGTTTGTAGTCTAGCTTGACAGATTGAGTAATATGAGAATTCAAAGCCTTCAACTACAATGAATATGTGATTTGACATAATAACATCAAGTTTCTATAAAGGGTCAAAAATTATATGCAGATATCAGTATGTCTTTTGAGTAAGTGGAAAATGTCTTTCAGAATGTGTGAAAACAGTAGAAAGGTCACATTATTCTGTCCAGACCAATATTTGATGTAGTGGAGGTGACAACTTGGGATGATAACTGAGAATAGGCAATCTGAAATAAAATATTCATTTTCAAGATGACTGCTTTTTAGATTTCATTTCTGTTTTCACCATCTTGCATTTGAATATATGGTCATAACAGTCCATGAAAATATAGTGCCTTAGCAACACAATACATGTACAGTAGAGACATTGAATGATTATAAGTAATTTTATTACAGTATATATGATATAAAATGTTATATTTTAACAGCATATAGATAGTATTATGAATGTATATGGTACACAAGTCATGCAGGCAGTAGTGTTTATATTAGAAGGTGATCATTCCGTGGATATCAAAGAACAGGTAACTACATCAAAGATATATTTCCTCGACAGCCTAAATAAATAACTAGTAAATATATTCAAACTACAGTAAACGTCGCATAAGTCGGATTCGTGTAAGTCGGATATTTGCTTAACTTGGATAAAATCCTTTGGATCCTTTGATTAAATTTCTGTGCGTAAGTCGGATCTTTGCTCAACTCGGATCAAAATATGCGTTCATTCTGATCTATTTCCGGCTTTTTTCCTTCGTCTAAGTTGGATCAGCAGTATGTTCATTGTCTCGATGGTCTAAAACACGGTTAGCTATTCCTTGCTCAAAGCCCCAAAATACTTTCCCCTATCATTTTGACTCAAATCAGCCTATTTGACGCAATGCAATAATAGAATTTTCCCAGAAAATTCGAAACTTGCTGTTTGCTGTACGAGACCCGTTCCGGGAAAATTTAGGACATTTTTCAAAGATGGTGACAAAACGGAAGTTATCTACTAGCACATACGAACAAAAGCTTGCAATGTGCCTTTGAATCAATTATTATCCAGCTGTTCGGCTAACTCAGATCTTTGCTTAATTAACTCGGATAAAATTGGTCAGTTCTTAATAGAATTGTTTTCAAACTAGCAGAGATTGTTCATTGGAGTATCAATTTTCTAAACTTTTAGATTGTTTTGTTAAAGTTATGTTTCCGTTTATCTTTTAACTTTTAAAGCTGTGAACGGGATACAGGACTAAGTTCAAGCTTTAAAAGTTTAGGGGTATTTTTTTAGCCTACAGAAATTCAGAATTTATTTGATTTCAAATCAGAGTTATTACATTTTATGAAGGCTTATGAATACGATACAGGACTGAGTTTTCTTCAAACTAAATTAATTTCTTTATGTTAGAGTGATACTGCTCCATGAAAAATCTATATATACTTTATTTGACTGTCACGGACTGCCTCTCTCACAGGATCACAGGTCGGCTATATGCGCAATACCAACTAATATTCATAACATTTAAAATTGTTTCAGACATTATGCATATTGGCTAACATAGCTGATGGTGATAGAGCTAAAGATTTTATAATGGAGAATGAAGATGTTTTAAAGAAATTAATGTCCTATATGAATCACAGTAATCCACAATTACAGATAGCTGCTACATATACTATTTCTAATCTAGTCTGGAATGAACATGATGATGGTAGGTAATACATCTAGACCAGTGATTCTCAACCTTTTTTTGCCAAACGCACACCTTGGAACTCATGAAAAAATAGTGGCACACCTGGCTAAATATATATGAAAAATATTTGAATTTTGCAAAATAAAAACATGGTAAATCAGACAGAATACAACCCTAGACAGAAGCTAGTCATAGACACATAGAATGACTCAAACTAAATAAAGAAAAAACACAGCTATAAACTTATCAATAGACACCAGTGAATACTCAATTGGGATCACATGGTTTTTCACATTTTCTTAGTGCGTCGTTCAAAATTTCACGGCACACTTAAGGTAGATCTCGCAGCACACTGGTTGAGAATCACTGATCTAGAGGCATGAAGCTGCTGTGGCTCAGTGAGTAGGGTGTTTGATCCTGGTGTTGAGCAAGGAAGTACCTCAGGATTTTCAAGCACTGTTTTCCCATGTCAGTGGTACAGAACGGAGGGCCTTTCAAGAAACGTCTAGTTGTTTGGATGAAACAAAAATATGAGATCATGTACATGTTGGAATGCACGTAAAAGAAACCCTAACAGTTGGTATTTGAAATAAACGTAGGCCGTAGCACCACAATCTGGCCAAAATTTCCCTCATAGCACACAGCATTGAGCATGTATGCCTTTCTTCATTAGCCCAGTCAGTGCAGAAAAGTAGGGGCTTAAACTTGATTTCATTTAGAAGCAGTATAACTTATGTGTCAAGGCACATGGGGATAGCCCCATATGATAATAAATACTAGTTTGTATTTCTGCCCAAAAGTACTGTAGAACATTAGATAGTTCTATATAATATGGATAAAGTTTACTAAGAATATTTCACACATAATTAATCTGTATAATTCACTGAAATATATCCAGGATGGCTACATGATTCAACTTTTTGTATTTTATTTTACAGCTAAATGTTATCACAGACAAGAAAAGTTAAGAGATCTTGGTGTCCAAAGACTTCTACAAAAATTACTTGACACTCCTGATCAGACATTATTTGAAAAGTAAGTCATGCATTTACATTTATTACAATTCCGATTTATACCAGGTTGATAGACTAAATGGACAAAGAATATGCATGGTGAGTCACAGGTCTATCATTTGTGCAAACATGAATTCAGTCCATGTGACAAATAGTTTTCAGGTGTAACCATTTCTTCCTAATTTCTAAACTGCCTTTTTTTCAGCAGACCAAGATTGACATTTTTTACACGTATATATAATAGGTGCAATGATACAGTTGAATGAAGAATATTTTTTACCTTATATATTTATTCTTAAATTGTTAATTATAGCCATTATCACTAAATTCTAGCCTGGCTATTGTCAGGATGTCATTCAGCAATATAAATTGTTTTGTGAATTATTATGATTATTTCTGTTCTAGACAATTTTTCAACATTTTTAAATGTGTTTTCCCTCTTTTCCTTTTCAGGGTCAAAACAGCTTTACAACAATTCTCATAATACAACACTATGTTATGGTTCTATTTATATTTTTGTATGAATTTAAGTGGATAAATTTGTGAAATATGTGAAGCTTATTGCAACAGACAATTGAATTTTTTCTGTGTATGAAATTAAGTGGATATCTTTGTGAAATATGTGATGCTTATTGCAACAGAGAATTGAATTTTTTTTTGTGTATGGAATTAAGTAGATAAACTTGTCAAATATGAGATGTTTATTGCAACAGACAATTTAATATGGCAAGTTAAAGTGTATTAAGACATGAAGTTGATGACTTTATTAAATGATTGTTATGATTGCATAGAATGTACATATAGTTGGATATCAGGTATGATGTCATTGAGAAAGAAGCAAACCATTTGTTGTACTTCAATTCACCAGAGTTGCAATTTATTAATTGACTAGTTAATTATCATATCCTCTCATTTTGAATATTACATGTTATGAATCTACAATGTATGTACACGTATTTACATGTTATTGTGTCAGATAAGATCAACAGACAAAATTAAGTTTTTGAAGTGAAAAAATATGAGAAAGCATTAGATTGTTTTTAAAATGGTGTCATATTTATTAATATCGTTCAAGTACAGAAAGAGGGCAGACTATAATCTAGTCTAGTTCACAAAATTCACACCAATTTATTGTTTGTATTATTATTTTGAATCTAAAGGTCAACAAATTATTTAGTGGCAAGGTAACTGAATAGAAATAAACAAAATTAAAAAGATCTTTGCAATATTATTTGACTTAGTTCTTTACTTGAACAGAATAAAGATGCCCCTGTTTGTAGACTTTTTGGATGAAATTACAAGCTATGTGTGAGTTCTTATGACTATCCCTCATTCTGAATTTGAATAACACTATAGTCCTTGTGAAAATGTGCCATGTGAATCACAAATCATCCATTTCTTGTTGTCATGGTGATTTGACAGAAGGTAGGATGTAAATACAAGTGTGTAATGTAACTGTATAGTACATGTATAAATAAACTACATATGTAATAAAATAGCTCTGTGGAGAGAGTTTATGTTTCTATAATAATCTAATTTAGAAGAAAAGATACATAATGATGACAGTGGCGGCACCAAATAATTTTAGAAAATGTTTCGGTAATCAATACCTTCTACAGTGATTAAATCCCACATCCCCATTCAGTCATAGATTTGCGTGTTGTTTTGTAGAGATTCGGTGATTTCTTACCGAACCCATCCTGCTGTAAACCTACTATAAACAATAACATGTGAACCACTTGAGAAGAGCTTTTTACAATCCTCAAAGCTTTTGGGTATAGGTTCAACAGAGGAGAATATTCATTCATTTTGATACTCACTCACTCACTCCGTTTGACACCTCCCTCTCTGTTCGGATAATCTGGTGATTTGGCGACGAACAGTATTTGGTCAGCTCTATTTATCTTGACGACCAGTGTCTGAAATACTGCCAGGCTGCATTTCCTGCAGTCTATTTCTCAAAATATTGTGGCGAAATGTTTAATAACTTTGATTCACTCCCTTCGTTCATTTGACACTTTCCTCTCCGATCTGATAAACTAGAGTGATTTGGCGACAGCAGGTATCTGGTAAGCTCTATTTATCTCGACGATCAGTGTCTGAATACTGCCTGACTGCATTTCCTGCAGTCTATTTTTTAAATTTTCGGGGGCTTCGTTTGACACTTTCCTCTCTGGGGTTGGCAATATAAACTAGTGATCAGGCAATAAGACGGTATCTGATCAGCTCTATTTATCTCGACAACCAGTGTCTGAATACTTTCAGAAAGCATTTCCGGCAGTCTATATTTCAAAATTTTCTTGGGGAGGTCAACAATACCCTCCGTAAAGACTCGCTACGTTAGCACTCATGAGGGGGCTTCGATAAGGTTCGCAAGTCTGTTCGTTTGACACTTTCTTCTCTGGTCTGGTAAACCAGTTATCAGGCAACGGAGGGTCAGTGCCGTATTAACCTTGTGGAGGGCCCAGTACATACAAACTGTGCGGGGGCCCTATTGTTGTTTGTTCAAATTTTTGAGCGACCGCGGATCGTACTAGTATGTACTCCGCCCCCTTGAGTGCCTAGGGTATTTTCGGTCCATTAGGGGGACAGACAATGAGCTGAAAATGCGATTTCCATAATACCAAGGCAATATGAAGGATGTTTTGGCCATTTCCCATGTATTTTTTGACGATACGCACGAAATTATCAACAGTTAAGAGAATTCAACTAATTTTCTAACTGAGCATAGGTCAAATCAATACATAAAATCCCAAACAAAAGACAAGAAAAAAAACGTAAAATTTAGGCAGGAAACATGTTCAGATTATACATTTGTCTGAACTACTATACTATGATTACCTTAATTTCCCGGTACTGGTTGGGCCCCATCAATCACATCGCGGGATGGGTCCCCGGAACTGGTTAGGACCTATTGGTTGGTAGAACCTCTAAGTTATGTAATTTAGTTAATTTTAGGGCCTAACCGATCTCTGGGCCACCGAAAATCTGTTGGTACCTACCAGTCCTGGGGCCCCCAATATCCCTTACTGCCCAGGGCCCCCAATCCTCGCCCCCTCAGCCCAGGTACTGGTTGGCTCTGTCCGGGATAAAATATTAGTATGACCCAGAATTGTGGGGGGCCCGGGACATTTGTCCCACTTTGCCCCCCCTAGATCCGGTACTGCGGAGGGTATCTGGTCAGCTCTATTTATCTCGACAATCGGTGCCTGACTAAATTTCCAACAGTCTATTTTTCAAAATATTCTGAGGGAGGTCCCCCACACCCTCCATAATGACTCCCTACTTTGGTGCTCGTGAGTGGGCTTCGTCGAGGTTCGCAAGTACGTTCATTTGACACTTTATCTCAACGATCAGTGCCTGAAATACTACCAGACAGCATTTCCAGCAGCCTGTTTTCAAAAATTTCTGGGGGACCCCCCCCCCCATCCTAGCTAAAGCTCGTGCCTTTGCTCTTTAACCTTGGACTTTGCCCTAGCTTTGCCCCTCCAACCACCGGCGGCTGGCGCCGCCACTTAATGACGATTGCTCAATGGATCAACTTTTAGAAATATTTTAGGTGCATGTGTTCATCAGACATCCTTAATTAAAGAACGCAATACTACCAGATATTCAATATGGTATTCACCATCCTTAAAATTGGTCAATTTTGGTTTATTTTGTGTGGCAGAGTTAACTGTTAAGCATGCGTGTCCAACTGACAATTGGGTATTCCCTTGATAGAAGAGCCATTTTTATTAAAGCAGTGCTATGGCCTACTCTTAATTCAAATTCCAACTGTCAATGTTTTTATTTTACGTGCATCATGCCAATGTGTACACAGGACCTTGATTTTCCATTACATCCAAATGACTAGACACTGTTCTTTGCCAGGCCCTTCATCCTTCACCAATAATAAGGAGAAAACACATTAGAAAACCCAACTTTCCTGGCCAGCACCAGGATTGAATGGGACCTCCATGTTAGCAAGCCACACCAAGCCACCATAACTCCCTAGGACTGAGGGGCTAGAAAAGACACTGAACATAAAACAGGATATATTTTATTATCGTATAAAAGTCAGAAATGTACAATAAAACAGAAATATATAATTGCAGATGAATTTGGCAATTATTTAATAAAATAATGAAATATATATATATATACATGAGTTAAAATCTAATAAGTTTTGATTTTATAAGATCTTAACTAATAAAAAAATAAAGAATTATTATGCAAATTCAACAAGCCAACAGTGAAGCTGATGTCCCCCGTCAAAATCCCAAAATAAATAGATGACACATATTAATTAATCGCACAATTTTTTTTTTCAAAAGTATTGAGCAATCAAACTACACACTAAGTTTCATCACTCTCTATCAGATAGAATCAAGATTATCTTGTCCAAAAGCATCGACCAATGAAATTGATTAGCTCTGCTTAGCTTTAGCTTGAAATGTTAATCATTGAAATCAGTCAAGACATTCACCTAATGAACATCTACATCAGGTTTAAACATTCTACATCAATTAAAAGCAGAGTTTTTATGTTCCAAAGTCTTGACCAATCAAATTGCTTATCGCTCCTTAGCCCAGACAGAAAATTCGCACAATCGAACTTAGTCAAGGTCATGATATAATGAATCTATATTCAGAGTTTCATCGCTCCCACTTCATTATAACTAAAGTTATCGTGCCCCTAAAGCATCAACCAATTAGATTGCTTATCTCTGCCTACCATAAGCAGACAATGTTCATCATCGAACTCTATCAAGGGATTCACCTAATGAATGCCTACACCAAGTTTGAACATTCTACTTCAATTAGAAGGAGAGTTATTGTGTTTCAAAGTCTCGACCAATCAAATTGCTTATCGCTCTGCTGAACCTCAGCAGAAAATGTTCATTATCGAACTTAGTCAAGGTATTGATGTAATAAAACTATACATCAAGTGTCCTCACTCTCACTTAATTAGAACTAAAGTTATCGTGTCCATAAGCATCAACCAATCAAATTGCTTATCTCTGTTTACCCTAAGCAGAAAATGCTCATCTTCGAACTCCATCAAGGCATTGACCCAATAAACACCTACACCAAGTTTGAACATTCTAGCTCAATTAGAAGGCGAGTTATTGTGTTCAAAAATCTTGGCCAATCAAATTGCTTATCGCTCTGCTTACTCTGAGCAGAAAATGCTCATTATCGAACTTAGTCAAGGTATTGATGTAATGAAACTATACACCAAGTTTCATCACTCTCACTTAATTAGAACTAAAGTTATCGTGTCCCAAAGCATCAACCAATCAAATCGCTTATCTCCGCTTACCCTAAGCGGAAAATGCTCATCTTCGAACTCCATCAAGGTATTGACTTAATAAACACCTACACCAAGTTTGAACATTCTAGCTCAATTACAAAGAGAGTTATTGTGTCCCAAAAATTGTGACGGACAGACAGACAGACGGATGGACAGACAGAGGGACGAACCCATTTTAATAGTCCCCTGCTTTCTTCGAAATGGTGGGGGACAATTATTAAGTGAAATACTGACCTAGAATGTAAGTAATTTGTCATGAACATAAGTATATAGCAGGTAGGCCTTTAAATATTGGTAATCAAACCTTTCAGCAAACTGAAGAATGAGGTCACGAATTGCTTAGTGGTGCCCAGATACAAATACATAAATTAAAGAGGCTTTAGAACTTTGAAGGTCTTTCCTTGTTAGAATTTTTTTTTTTTTTTTTAGAGTTGGCATAACTTTGCTATACAATTGCAATGGGGTAGGGGGTCGTGTGGGATGGGAAGAACAGATTAGATTGCAAGCAAAATTTGAGATCCATGTGCCAATCCATCACTGTGATACAGCCATTTTAAGATTCCTTCCTTACATTACAAGCCTTATGCAGTATGGCCTATAGTTAATTTCAGAAGTTCAGTGGATGCTGATTAATAATGCTTATAATCTAAGCAGGCTAATTGTTAATTGGATTTTCAGTAAAAAATCTAAGGTAAGTTTGAATATTATATGAAATTACCTGTAGTTATTTTCTTGTTAAAAATTTGTAAGTCTCTTAAATATGCAAGGTAAAAAAAACACAGATAAATTAAATGTAAGTAGGTAAGTAGCACAGCATTTCTAAACATAATATATATTTTCAAATAAGATAAATATTTTATAACATTAAACATAAAATTAACATGACAAATATAACAAGAATTGAGATATATAATAGTTTTAAGTTTAATTTGTAATGATTATCAAAATGTTGCCACTAGTGACTTAAACTAAATAGTTAATTAAAATGGTAAATAAAGACAATAAATAAAGGTGTAGTAGGAGAATAGTTAATACTATACAATAAGATCAAAATTAAAACAATGAATACATTTAATTATACTGTAGCAGGTTAGTGTTTGAATCTGACTAGATGTTATTAATTATAATATACTCTTAAAAAAAAGTAGGGGTATTGAAATGCAAATACCTATGCAGGTTGTGATATGATAAATAGCCATGGACATTTGACATGCTTTGAGAGTATGTTCAGAGATGAAGAACTTATCGCCCCAACAGAATCACTGAGCTGCACATACAACACGCAATAGCGCCATACATGTGGGAAGGGTTCATTGTCAAATTTGACACTTCAAGGAAGGGTTGATGAAAACTGCCGCGTGCTGGTTTATCTATCCATGTTTGCTTTCCTTTCGGTTCTTGCCTAAGATTTACTTTTAGCGTATCTTTGCTTTAGTGTGTTACGTTTAATTTGATCGGGAGACGTGTTCGTCGACTTCAACGTCAACTGACAACACTGCAAGAATTGGCCGTGGCACTGCAAGAGGAGTGGGTAAGATTGCCCCAAGTCGTGATTGGATGGTTGATTAGGAGCATGCCACGACGAATTGCTGAATGTCTGAGGATTGGTGGAGCAATTACTCATTATTAAGACAAAAACATCCATTTTCACAATGTATCTTTTTGCGAGTTTCCGCAGTTTTGTATTGTTTCTGAATATCCCCTACCCTTTTTGAAGAGTATATTTGGTTCTTCAAATTATGGATAAACACTAAATATGTCTAGGATCCTATTTAAATGCTTGGTTATACATGTAATTACATATACCAATTATGTCTTTGTGGTATACAGGTCACAATTCTATGGAATACAATTACTGCTTATTACTGAGCGATCTTTTGACTAGGTTTCTCTAGTCATCATCGATCAAGCCTAGTCAAAACGTTGCTCAGTAATAAGCAGTAATTGTATTCCATAGAATTGTGACCTGTATATTCCAGTTCAATTACTAAATGCCATTGAAACAGTTTATCAGTCTTTATGGTACAGTCATACATATTGTATTATATAAAGCTATCAGAATTTCTTTAACTTTTTCCTTTCGATCATTCATTCCTTGCACCAACGCCCACAAGGTCATGTAACGGTCATAACTGAACTTGTTTCATAAAATAAAATTCCTTATGACTATGCCATAGCATTCACTATAAAGGACACTATTTTAAGCCTTTGTTAAATTAACTTCAGCTGAGCATGTTACTCTGATTTACAATCCCATCAGACAATGCGTTAAATTATGTGATATTATCTGAAGAAGGCACTAATAAAGCTTACACAAAATGAATAAAATTACGTTATTCAAAATCAAAGTTTATACATTTTGTTCCATCAATAATAAAGATAAGATGATAGAACACTTGATATCTAAAACTGAATATATATATATATATATATATGTTGACATGGATTGTCATGGAATATTGTTGCTTTCTTTGATAATAATATGCATAGATCTATAATATTTGTTTTATGTCTGTCTCTTGGTGTTCGGTCACCACTTTTATTGAACAAATTACCTTTTAATATATGAATACAGATTTATGTTTAGTTTAAAAAAAAAAAAAAATGCTGAATAGTCAATATTATGTTCTATAATAAAGATCCATGTTATGTTCTATGACAAAGATTCATGTTTCATGTTATATTCTATAAACAAGGATTCACATTATGTTCTACTGTAATAATCATTCAAGTTATAATGTCAATCTGATTAAAATACAGATCTATAATTCGTTTTGTTTTTCTATACTTTCGATGGCCTACAGTACAAGAAGATCTGACCAGTTGTAGTGATAGGTCACGTCAGAGGTCATACAAGCGGCTTTTGACCCTATGACGTCAAACATTTGATTAACCAATCAACATTGATGTTACTAGTGGATTACCCACAGTTCCGTGCAAAACACGCCTAAAGCTCGCCGTAACTGACCGTTTCATTGGCTAATTCCTCACACTATTTAGAACACGTCAATGATAACAACTATTCCAGATCCAAGTGTAGTAAAGATAAGTAAAACGAAATTTTGAACTATAAAAACAAAACGAAATAGGATCTATGTTTTAGTCAGATTGGTTATAATGTGAATCTGTAAAGTGACTTTTTTATTTTTACACAACATGTACATTGTAATCTTTACACACAACACCCACAATCTTTTTGAGCCCACAATATCAGCTATTTTCATGATGATTCAAAAGAATGTAATATAACTTTGGTATTATAATTTGGATTGTATAGAAGGTGTTAGAGTATGTATTTTAGTTTGATGATTGAGTCGTAATGCTGTTTTCGCCATTTTGATTATATGGTCTAATACTGGAAAAGGTACACGTTTATTTATAGGGAGATAAACAACATGGTCTATCAGATATTTAGCTTCATGAGGATAATAAAAGAGATTCTTCCTTCGGAGATCTTCATGTTCTTCCTCACTGATATCCTGGTTTCCAGTATCAACAGGATCTGGTTCAATGAGATTTAACTGTGTAGCACCACGATAGGCATCTATACCAAGAGCTTTAATTGTAGCAACATAGGTGTCTGGATTTTCCTGAAAATTTGAAACAATATTTTTGCAATATAAGGAACATTAGGGCTTTTATTTACCAGACTGGACAGAATATCTTGTTATGCAACAGTGCGATTCCAAGCCACGGTACAGTATACAAAAACACTGATTATTCTAATTAAGGTAAAAAACAGTAAAAGATGTGACTTATAGTATGTTTCTACCAGTATAAAGAATTTCTTTATATTCTGCAGAATACAGTGAAGGTGCATACTACGCCAAGCATGTACAGTATACCAATATTTTTCTATTTATTTGGACTATTCTTGCAAATTAGTTTTTGTTAACACAGGCCTCTGCCTTTTCCATAAATTTGATGTAAATGACGCAATTTTGAAATATTTTTCTTCAACTGAATTGAATTACTCTCTTGCTATTAGCACTGTGGCAAAACAAATTTACTGGTGAAGGATCTAGTCCAAATTTACCATTGTCCATTCATACTGAGGTCAAAAGAGTTCCCTTGTTACTTACTGGTAAAAGAAAATAAAGTCGATACAAGGAATTACATATCAATTCTACATACCCCATATTCCGTGGGAGATCGCATGCAACACAGACACAAGAGATGGACAAAAAACAAGCTAAAAAGGCAAATTTTCGTACAATTAGGGTCCATAAGTTATGGTCCGATTTGCGTCAATATTGAAAGGAACCAAGATCATTGGGTTATAAACATATGTTTTAAGCTTCACCAAAATCAGATAAAAATTGTGACCAGTAGAGTGTCCACAAGCTAAAAGCATGATTTTTCGTACAATAAGGGGTCATAAAAATCGTGACCTCTATAGGGTCTACAACCTTGGTTTTACATGTACATACTTTTACACTATTTGCATACAGGAGAGTGGCCATTTTGTCAGGCAGTTTGATCTGATCTGATTTTCACAAAATTCAAACTGAACAGTAGAGGATTCACTTGCAATCAGTTTCTATAATCTTGGAAGTTATGGTCCGATATGCATCAATATCAAAAGGAACTGAAATCTTCGGGTTATAAATATATATTTTAAGATTCATTAAAATAGGATAAAAATTGTGACCTCTAGAAGGTCTGTAAGCTAAAAACACAATTTTTCATAAAATCTGGGACCAATTTCGTCTAAAACAGAGTGTCCACAAATAAATGTGAATGGATGTCCAGACAGACAGGGGCAACAACAACAAAAGCCTCAAACCTTAAATCACATTTTGATTGGTTTTGCTTCCACAGTTGTGTTTTCTTACTAAATGATATAGTTACTGCAGAACAATCTGATAAAAATTCAACTGTTCAAATCAGACCATCGATAAAAACTTTACTCACCACTAATATTGGAAACAACCAATAATTGTTTATTTCTGCTCGTGTTCCAACTGTTTCTAACTCAGGTGGTAGTTGACTTTCTACATATTTACCCTTCATTCTTTGTAACTGAAGTTCATCAGATTCAATATGTGAATGACGATGCAACATCATAGACAGCAAGGGTACCGATGGCTGGTAACGAATATTTTCAATCAAACGCTCTGGAAAACCACGTAATAATTTCACTACAGAATTCTGATAATTAATCCCGGCATAGTTCAGAACATATACAGACATCTGAATAAATCTTTTGCTTTCCAAAATAAAATACATAGCACAATATTTTAAAACTTTTCGTAAATATGCATGCCGACTTTGCACAGGATACGTGGAGTGTAATTTCATCATTTGAGCATAATCTGATTGGTCTTTGACTACTGCTACAGCTCCTCCAAATGAAGTGAAATATTTAATGACACCAAAACTAAACAACGCCACGTCGGTTTCTGGGTGACTCAAATTATGTAATCCATCGAAACTTTCCGCACAATCCTCTATCACAGCCACCTTGTACTTCTGAGCTATTTGAATGATCGGATCCAAGCAACATCGTTTTCCATAGAGATGAGCAATTAATATGGCAACAGTTTTGGGAGTTATCAAAGATTCTAGTAATTCTACTTTTGGTGCCACAGTTTCAATAGAAACATCAAGGGGAATAATTCTCAACCTGTGATGTCTTATAATATGAGCCATGCTGGGAATATTAATAGCAGACATGATTATTTCCGATCCCGGGGGAAAGTTCTTGATTTGTAAATATAAATCGACACCGCTCCGCACTGATAAACAAGGAAAAATAAAGTTTGAGTCCATGCTGGTCATCCATAATTTTCTCAACCGATTCGTCACTTCATCTGATTTATTATGACAACTCAAACTTTGTAATATTGCCGTTTTGAAGTCCTGCCATTGTGCATCTAAAAAAATAAAATAAAATAATGTTATATATTTAAAATAATCATTTCATTTATGAAGCATATGAATAGAAAGAGAGAGAAGAGAGAGAGAGAGAGAGAGAGAGAGAGAGAGAGAGATGGGGTTTAACCTCCACTCAACACAAACTAGGTCATTTTGGGAGTAACACATGGTTCAATTTTATTTCAATAATTTGCTTGCGCGTATGGTCTTTAGCAGTGGGAGGAAACCGGAGGACACAGAGAAAACCCATGAGGTTGGACAGACGATCCTACTCCTTGTCACATACAACTGGGGAATCGAATCCACGCCATTTGACTCAATGATAGACCGTATGATACAGCACGCACGTGCTAACTATTCGGCCATCCAACCCCCCAAATGAATAGGGTAAGAACAGATAGTTGATAATTCAAGTTGTGCCACTTTCCAGCTTTGTGCTGGCTGGACATCTGGCAATAAGGCACAAATTCAGTCTTTGTCAGGCACAACCTCTTAGGTGCCTGTCATTTTGTCTAGATACTAGTTAAAATTGTTGCCTGACATTTGGAGTGAGAGAGAGAGAGAAATAGGGTTTAACGCTCTCAACACAAACCGGTAATTTCTGGAATAATATACATGTATGGTTCAGTTCTATTTCAATAATTTGCTTGCACGTAGGGGTCTTTAGCAGTGGGAGGAAACCGGAGTACCCGGAGAAAACCCATGAGGCTTACGGACGACCCTACTCCTTGTTATGTTCAAGCGGGCAATCGAAACCATGCCACTTGACTCAATGATAGACCGTGTGATTGCATGTGCACGGGTTATACCATTATACCGTAATTTCCTGGCCTGCTAATCTGTGTCGGACAAATTGATAAGCGTCAATTAAAGGAATTGTCTGACAAAGCCCAAATTTGTGAATGACACTGTGACAGGCACCTTATTTCCAGGCTTGATTGAGGGGTGTTGATATATTTGATACCTAAAGAGATAAGATGAGGAGACTGGACTAGCACAACCTTGGGGTAAGTGCAGTGACTCCCATTATTCAGAGATTTTACAATATACAACTTTAAGTTTTGGTAGAATTGTACAACAAATATTAAATAATAATACAACAAGCTGTTACCATGCAAGATACACCTACATTTTGCAAGAGATGGACAGAGAACAAGTTAAAAAAAAAAGCAAGGATATTACTGGCCGATACGCATGAAAATTGAAAGGAGCCGAGATCTTTGGGATATAAACATATATTTTAAGTTTCATCAAAATTGGATATTAATTGTGACCTCTAGTGGGTCTATAACTTTGGTATTATATACTTTTCAACTATCTGTGTAAGGGGAGTGGCTATTTTTTCAGGCAGTTTTGGTCCGTTTTGTGAGTGACCTCTACAGGTTCCACAAGCTTAAAAGATAGGCTGCCAGGCAATGAAACATATGCCCATAGCAGGTTAATCGTCCAAGCGGTCGAAAAGGGTTGTCGCTTATTTATTCTTTGTAGATAATGGGGGGCATTTACAAGACAATTTCATACAGATCAGTTTGTAAAATTTGTTGTTTGAGGGCTTTAACTCTGGAAGTAATTTACAGACATAGTTAGAAATCAACAGACTCTTTCGTTTTACTAATGTTAATAATGCATATAAATTTCATACAGATCGGATGATAACTTTTGTCGTTCGAGTGTTCACAAGGTTCAACAAAGTAAAACAAGGGCCATAACTTTCAACGTAATTGACAGAAATTGCTGAAATTCAATAGGTTTCTTCTATTCACTAATTTAAATGCATATAAATTTCATAAAGATCAGATAAAAACGTTTGTTGTTCGAGCGTTCACAAGGTTCAACAAACGTCATAACATTAGAAGTAATTAATGCAAATTGCTGAAATTCAATAGGCTTCTTCGTTTCACTAATTTAAATGATGTATACAAATTTCATACAGATTGGATGATTTTGGTGTTCGAGCATTCAACAAAGTGAAACAAGGGCCATAATTTTTGAAATAATTAATGTCACTAATTTACATTATGTTTCATCAAAATCTGAGTTCCCACAAGCTAAAAACAAGTTTTTCGTACAATCATGGGCCCATAATCCATGAAGTTACAGTTCGATACATGCCTATATCGATTGGATTATATATAAACCTATATATTGACTGGATATAAACCTATAATTCAAGTTTCATCAAAATCAGACCTGTAGACGGACATAGTACGGCCACATGAAAATCTGTAAAAACTGACCAGGTTTACTCTCCATTTATTAACTTACCTATATAAATGCATGAATATGGTACAAAGCTGTAGGACTTCTTTACTACTGACATACTTATACATTAAGATTAGACACCACTTGTGTGAAAAATAATCACTCATCTATGTCCCACTTATATCCCATCTACTGGTCTACTGCTCACAACAAAACCTGATACCTTATAAAATATGGATGAGATGAATAAAACATAGTTTGATAGCCAGTTCATTGTGTGACAACTCAAACCAGTAGCTTTGTTTGTTTTAACTCACAACTTCTGATTTTAACATACATACCATACTCCTCGCAGTGTTTCGTTTGATTAGAGCTATTCCCACTTAACACTGCTGTAATGGAAGCAAATTTCTGTTTTAAATTATGACTGGTCAATAGCCCGATTAACAACTAATAGTTAACTGCGTGGCAATATCATTATGACTGGATAAACCCGTCTATAAATCAGATCACAATTTCCCGTTATACTTTTGCTTTAATTGTTTTCCAGTGAGATTTAGACTTTCGCAAGTTATTGCTGAGTTTTAATTACATCTTAAAAATGGTACTAAACAGTCACATTTATTTTATTTTGTAGACCAATCGAAAACTACGACATCTCCTTTAAATGGGCTGAACATCTTTGATTTAAGTCCCCCCAAAAATGTGTCAAATTCAGTTGATCTGGTTTGTTATCTCAATTATTGATCATTTCGCAATATTAAGCTCATATTTGTTCACTCATCTTTTTTTTTCATTTTTCTTTTGACTGTCAATTATGATTGAGAACAAAGTCAACATCATTGGCTTTTAATTGTAGAGTGTGGACATATCTCTTTTAACATATAGACAGATACACCCACACACTTCTAAAGCAAATCAACACATCAAATTTAATTATATCACAAATTTCATTTTTTATCCAAATCAAAGACAGGGTTAGCTATTAAAGGCCTTCAGATAATAAAGATAAGTTGCCAGGTAACAAAACATGCCAACAGCAGCTAAATCATCCAAGCAGTCAACAAGGTTTGTCACATTTTTATGCTTTTGAAGGTAATAGGAGCATTTACAAGATACTGATATGAATTTGATAGAGATCAAATGTTCACAAGGATCAACAAAGTAAAACAAGAGCCATAACTGTGGAAATTATTAACAGAAATTGTTTAAATTCAATAGGCATTAGGCTTCTTCGTTTTACTAATCTCAATAATAAATATATAAACTTTTGTAGTTAGAGCATTCACAAGGTTCAACAAACTGAAAAATGAAACAAGGAACATAACTCTGGAATTGATAATGGGAATTGCCGAAATTCAATAGGCTTCTTCATTTTATTAATGAAATAATGCATGTGAATTTAATACAGATCAGATGTTAACTTAAAGTAGCTAAGTCTCTAACTCAATATCATCCAAAATCTTCATAATTGAAAACACGATTTATTTTTCAATTTAAATCAACATTGATGTTGTGATCATACCGGAAAAAGATGGGCTTTTGATATCCAATATTTAAGACAAAATAAAAATTTTACCATTGGTAGACGAATCGTGTACCATAATGCGCTTCAGCCCCAGTTGAATCAAGAGATGAGGCTAGACACATTGCACCAAATCAAACGGCGTATGTAGACTGGAATAACCAGACGCTAGAAATTTGCACTCGATTGAGACAGCTGGCTTATTTCGCCGAACATAACTGATTTGAAATTGGAGTAAAAACGGAAACCATTGAATGTAAATCAGTTTATATACATTCATATTACAGTACTATATGCGTTGCGACCCACTTCTGTCAATTTCTAGGTCCCAAATGTTAGCGATTTAGCTCCTTTAAGTTGTTAGAGCGTTTGCAAGGTTCAACAAAGTGAAACAAAGGCCATAACTCTAGAAGTTATAAATGGAAATTGCTGAAATTTGACAGGCTACTTTGTTTTACCAATTTATATATTGCATGTAAATATCTTCTAGATCGGATGATCACTTTTGTAATTAGAGCATTCACAAGGATCAACAAAGTGAAACAAGGGCCATAACTCTAGAAATTATAAATGCAAATTTCTCAAATTCAATAGGATTCTTCAATTTACTAATTTAAATAATACAAGTAAATTCAATATAGATCAGATGAAAACTTTCCTCGTTCGAGCGTTCACAAGACTCAACAAAGTGAAACAAGGACCATAACTTTAGAAGTAATTAACGTAAATTGTTGAAATTAAACAGGCTTCTTCGCCTCACTAATGTAAACAATATATATAAATTTCTAATTGATCAGATAATAAATGTAGTAGTCTGTAGAGTGTTCACAAGAAAATTGTGGACAACGGACTGACGGATGGACGGACTGTCGGACAGACTGGGGCAACGGTAATATACAACCACATTTCCATGATATAACACACACACCCTCACATAGAAATAACAAAAGGGTTTAACATCCACTTGATGTGACTTAGGTCATTTTCGGACTAACACATGGTTAAATTTATTTCAATATTTGCACGTAAAGAGTCTTTAGCAGTGGGAGGAAACCATGGAGAAAATCCACATGGTTAGAAGCAATAACGAAAAGCGTGATCTTATCAAAACCCTTTTAATAATGAATACTAGTAAAAAGAATATTCTAAACAATACACATTTCACATATAGAAATAAATGAAATGAAATGGGGTTTAACGTCATATTGTTCTGCACGGACTGCTCTAATAAAGACAGATTTCACATAGAAAAAGCATGATCTTACCAAAAGAATACATAGGCCTTCCAAACTTTGTACACAGCTAGCTACTCTGCTTCAAACAGCAGTCTGAGCCAGTCTGTTACAATCACCGTGACACTAAAGCAATAAATTCATGGATTGGGCAATATTGTACTGAATGATTTGTATAAATTATTGTTTATCATATCTTCATTACCTAAAGGCTGTAGTAAATCTCTAGTCTACTTCCAGTTATCTCAGTTAGGCCATACAAAAAAAATAATCTGGTTCTCAATTGATCAAAATACCACATCAAGAAAGAAGAAAAACAAGATGACTAGTCATCAACATCCCGCGCCCTTGCACTTGTTTGGAAGAAATAAGGAAAAGTAACTTGTTTATGCTATTGGTAATCAATATAAAAATGTATCAGATTCCGCAAACAGTGTCACTGGTCCTAATATTGTGGCCCTGTTTAGTAGATATTGCTCTCTATTTCTGATAACTAATGACTGATTACTATTTACTAGAAGATTTGAGATAATTTATGACATTAAGCTCTGGTTTTAAAAATTAGACATGACTACATAGAAAATAGAGATATTTTGCAAGTGGAGGGAACTGGAGCTTTAGACAAATCTCATAATCCGAAGTATGGAATATCAATTCACAGAAATTCATACTCTGATCACAGTAGCTCAACATGGAAACACAAAATTATCAAATCTGAGAAATTCAAAATAACTAAGTCAAATTTGTTTCCATGGAAACACAAAAAATATAAATCCCAGAAATTCTTAAATAGCAAAAGGCACAACTACTGTAATAGGTTGATGTGAGTGCAAAGTTTCAGAAAGATATCTTGAACGGTTTATGAGATATGCTCCGGAAACAAAATTGTACACCAAAAACTAAGTCATTTTTGTTTCCATGGAAACACAAAAAAATATAAATCCCAGAAATTCCTATATAGCAAAAGGCACAACTACTGTAATAGGTTGATATGTGTGCAAAGTTTCAGAAAGATATCTTGAACGGTTTATGAGATATGCTCCGGAAACGAAATCGGACAGACGAACCCCATTTCAATATCCCTCCCTAACTTCGTTCGGCGCGGGATAAAAAAAGATAACAAAACACAGCTAAAAAGAATTAAAGGCAACTACAAAACAGGTTGCAGAATGCTGATTATTAATAAGGTCCATCCTTTCATGACCCTGTGCTTCTGACCAAATTTAAAAGATATGTTAATAACTATCCCGTTCACAAGGTTTTCAGAACTCTGGAACAGAAAGTCATGGAATGCTGAATATTGCTAGGGTTTGTCCTCTCATGACCCCAATTTTTCACAAAAACTGATCTGATAAATATCATAGCCTTTATCGCTTTCACAAGGTTTCAGCGGAGGGGGTTACTCTTGAACGGAAAGTCACAGAATGCTGTGTATCGATAGAAATCGTCCTTTTATGACCCCACTGCTTTGAAAAGATCTGCTACAAACTATACCTGTATCACACTCATAAGGTTTTCGAATAAGGGGCATAACTGTTGATTAACTGACAGTCATAGAAAGGTGAATATCGATACCATTCATTCACTCATGACCACAATGCGTCTCATCAACTTTGCAACAAAACCAATAAAGAAGGTTGCCAGGCAATGAATCATACGAATCATGGCCGTCGACCAGGGTTGTTGCACATTTATTCTTTTGTAGGCAATGGGGGACATTTACAAAACAATTTCATACAGATCAGATTATAATTTTAATTGTTTGAGGGTTCTACAAACTCAAACAAGGGCCTTCACTCTGGAAGTAATTTACAGAAATTGTTGAAATTCAACAAAGTAAATCAAGGGCCATATCTCAAGTAGTAAATATGGTTCTTCGTTTCACAAATCTAAATAAATGTCATACATATCGGATCATAACTTTTGTCGTTAAATCGATCACAAGGGAGGTTCACCTGGTTCACCAAAGTAAAATAATAGCCATAACTCCAGAATAAATTAATGGAAATTATTAAAATTATATAGGCGTCTTGATCTCACTAATGTAATCAATATCAATTTCAAAACAATCAGATGATAAATGTAGTCTGTAGAGTGTTCACAAGAAATTGTGGACGACAGTCTGACCGACCAACAGACGAACAGCAATATATGACCACTTTTTCAATTCCAAAACAATCAGATGATAAATGTAGTCTGTAGAGTGTTCACAAGCAATTGTGGATGACAGACAGATGGACAGACGGATGGAGCGACGGCAATATACGATCATATTTCCATGTGGACGTATAAAAACTGTAGCCTCTATCGCATTCACAAGCTAATTGTTCGTGTGTGCATCAAAATATAATGTAACTTGTACTGACCATTTTTACTGTCTTAGTTTTAATTTTACATAGGTACAATCTAAGTATTATTACTGACATAGATACAATCTTCTGCCTTAGTTTTAATATTGAGTAGACCTGGTGACAGAATGCCTGCAGATTATTCATGTGCCTCATAAATAAATGTAAATAACAATGCTATCAAATACTGAATAACTCATCGTAACAACGTTACACAACATATGCCCTTAAGCATAATTAGATTTTATAATATAGTGTTTAACTTAACCTTCATTTTTCATGCCAAATGAAATCTTTAACCCAAAATAGGAATTAAACTCATATATTAAAGATATGTAAGATTTAGATAAAGAACTAGCCGTTCTTGCTATAATAGTTCAAAAGTAGATAATGCAGAATGAATTTGAAAATTTCATTCAAATTACTTTATTCTCAGCAAAGTTATAAATGTTTGTAGTTTTGAAAAGATGTGTGTATTGATTGTTTATTTTCATAACCATAGTGCTGATTATTCGAGACTAAGCATTGCTTCTCCAATTTTAAATCAAATCAATAAATGTCTGAACTGTCCTAATGTACTTTAAATCAGAGCCATTTGATGGCATTGACAGTTGATATGGTCTTGGAAAGTTAATAAATGTCTAATTAATAATTTATATAACATTTAAGGCCTAAAGATAGACTCGCAAGAGGCAGACTTGGCTATTGAATTCTTTTTAACTTGAAAGCAATTCAGACATAAAAATTTCATTTGTCTTTAGTGTCAGTAAGTAAATATTTAGTTGATTATTTTTATTTCCATCTTTATGAGCGCAGTCAGAGCAAATCATTAGGATGTTAAACCCCATTTCATTTCATTCATTATTTTCATTGACTACCAGATTAAACCATGATTTTCTCTGTTTTAAAGATTTAATTGTTTTAAGACATTCATTTGTTGTACACATTAGAGTTGTAAAAGCAAACTAACTTACCATGTCAAAACTTTCTGTACAAGTCTGGTCAGGCCAATTTGAAGATTTCTATTTCCTGGATAAAAAATTATAATTCTAACAACAAACAAAAGCTCAAAGTCTCTCAGATCTAAAATCAAAATTCAGAAGATCGGAAAAATAAAATTGTGGTATTAAAATTTTATGAACAATATTTACTTCAATCATGGACCTTATAGGGGATCAAGTGGCTAAGTGGGTAAGATGCTAGCTCATTTCATGGACCTTATAATATTATAAGGCTCACGCTTCAATGAATATTTAGTTCACAATGCTTTCACAGTGTAGTGCGGTCCTCCTGCACTTATTATTTGATATACATGATCAGTTGTACATGTAGTATACTGTTTGTATGAATGTATTGAGTTGTGTATGTATTATTGAATGTATATGACTATGTCTAAGTGTATATGTACATGTATGCATGCTGACCTTTTGATGCAATAAACATCTTATCTTATCTTATACATACCAAGCTGAGGGGCAAATTGGCTCTGTGCAAAAAATTATTTTAGTGATAAAATCCAGAATTGTTTTCAGCAATATTTTTATTCAGATTTGTATCTGAAAAGGGATTGGGGAACAGCATAGCCTATATTAAACCCCTCTCCCTAAGTCTATCCAAATTAGGTCTTGCTTATTTTGATCCAAAAAAAGATAAGTGTCAGTTTACAGGACCGATATGCAACAAACATACAACCTAGAACTTACAATGGAATAAAACAAATTGACCAAACTCAATTATATAATGAACCTAATATAAAATTCAATAGTGTATAATTTTTATACATATGTCATATAGAGTATAATTTCTATACATATGTTATATAGCATATCATTTCTATACATATGTCATATCTATATAAAAGATTGGTTGCCAGGCCAGGAAACATACGCCCACAGCAGCTAAATTGCCCAAGTGGTCGAAAAGGGTTGTCAGTGTTGTCACATATTTATTCTTTTGTAGATAATGGGGGGCATTTACTAAATAATTTCATACAGATCAGATTATAAATTTCGTTCTGTAAACTGAAACAAGGACTTTAACTCTGGCAGTAACTTTCATAAATTGTTGAAATTTTGTTTTACTAATTTATAGAAATAATTAGAAATCAACAGACTTTTTCGTTTTACTAATTTAAATAATGCATATAAATTTCATACAGATCGGATGATAACTTTTGTCGTTCGAGTGTTCACAAGGTTGAACAAAGTAAAACATGGGCCATAACTCTCGAAGTAATTGACAGAAATTGCTGAAAATCAATAGGTTTCTTTGTTTCACTAATTTAAATGATGCATATAAATTTCATAAAGATCTGATAAAAACATTTGTCGTTCGAGCGTTCATAGGGTTGAACAAAGTAAAACAAGAGCCATAACTCTAGACTTCAATAGACTTCTTTCTTTCACTAATCTTATAGATGCATATAAAGTTCATACAGATTGGATGATAACTTTTGTTGTTCGAGCATTCACTAGGTCTAACAAGGTGAAACAGGGCCATGCCCATAACCCTAGAAGTCATTAACAGAAATTGCTGAAATTCAACCGGATTCATGAATGATGCATATAAATTTCATACAGATCGGATTATAACTTTCATCATTTAAGCATTCAGAAGGTTCAACAGGGTTAAACAAGGGCCATAACTCTAGGCATCATTAACAGAAATTGCTGAAATTCAATAGACTTCTTCGTTTCACTAATGTAAATGATGCACATATATTATTGATCTCACTAATGTCAAAGATAGGTGGCCAGTCAACAAAACATACGCCCACAGCAGCTAAATCGTCTGAGCGGTCGACAAGGGTTGTCGCATATTTATTCCTTTGTAGGAAATTGGGGGCATTTACAAGACAATTCCATACAGATTAGAATATAATTTTTGTTGTTTGAGGGTTCACAAGGTTCTACAAACTGAAACATGGGTCTCAACTCTGGAAGTAGTTTACAGAAATTGTTGAAATTTGACAGCCTTTTTCGTTTTACTAATTTAAATAATGCATATAAATTTCAAACAGATCGGATAATCACTTTTGTCATTCAAACGTTCACAAGGTTCACAAAGTAAAACAAGGGCCATAACTCTAGAAATTATTGACAGAAATTGCTGAAATCCAATAGACCTCTGTTTCACAATTTAAATGATGCATATAAATTTCATACATGTCGGATGATAACTTTCATCAATTGAGCATTAACAGGGTTGAACAAAGTGAATCAAGGGCCATAACTCTAGAAGTAATTATTGTAAATTGCTGAAATTCAATAGGCTTCGTCATTTCACTAATTTAAATAATGCATATAAATTTCACAAGATCGGATGATAACTTTCGGCGTTAGAGCGTTCACAATGTTCAATAAAGTGAAACAAGGGCCATAACTCTAAACATAATATATGGAAACTGCTGAAATTCAATAGGTCTCTTCGTTTCCCTAATTTAAATAATGCATATAAATTTCAGAAAGATCGGATGATAACTTTTGGCGTAACAGTGTACACAAGGTTCAACAGAGTGAAGCAAGGGCCATAACTCTAGATGTAATGAACAGAAATTATTGAAATTAAATGGGCTTTTTCATCTCACTAATGTAAACCACATATATCAATTTTAAAACAATTGAATAATAACTTTTGGAAATAGAGCGTTCTCAAGAAATTGTGGACGACCGATGGTCAGGGGCGACGGCAATATACGTCCACATTTCCATGTGGGTGTATAGCAACATACATCAATCTTAAATCAATCATACGATAAATGTAATCTGTAGATTGTTCACAATAAATTGTGGACAATGGACAGACAGACAGACTGGGGTGTTGACAATATACAACCACATTTCCATGTGGGCGTATAATAAAATCAAAGATGTCTGTGTGTGTGTGTGTGTGTGTATGTGGGTGGGTGTTCGCCCATTGTGCTTTGTCATCGCCATCCACCACCCATATCAAATTAACCAGCAAGACCCGGTGAATATTTTAGGCCATCGAATTTAGGCCCGTGTATAATTTCTATAGAGAGAGAGAGAAATGGGGTTTTATGTCTCTTAAACAGAAAGTCCTAGATTGCTGAAAAAAATGAATAGTGTTCAACCTTACTGATTCTTAATCCCAACTCTTCAAGCCAAAATTTGAAAAAGAAAATCTGTAACATTTATCACTTAAACATACATTATGTAAGAGCTAAATCTGCCTATTGCAGGTCTTTTTTTCAGCCTGAAATGTTATATAAACTATTCATTAGACATTAATTAACTTATCCAAACCATAATCAACTCTCGATGTCATTGCATGTGTCTGATTTTCACTTGATTTGAATCCGATCTGCTGCTTAGTTCAGAGTGGAGCAATTTGACAGAAATTTTCAACATATTCTATTTACGCTATCTATTTTTTAACTATTATAGCGAGAACAGTCAACTCTTTATCTAATTTCCCATAATGTATCTTTAATATAGCAACACTGAAATGTAGATTTAAAAAATGTCTATTAACACCCCTATTTTTTGTCAGGTTTTACAGAATTCCATAAATACACGTACACATTACATTATACAGTATTACCATACCCATGTTTCAGTTTGTTTAAAAGTGTTTTCTTAGGTTTACAGCCCATACATACATTTAGTGAGTAGATTTAAATATAGCTACACTTTTTGGTGTATTTATACATTTTTTATGAGCTGGATCTGATGTTTTACTAACCAGTCTCTGTTATATGTTTGTTATGATTGGTTCCTTTAGTTTTAGGGAGATAACGGTGGGTCCATGTGTAAGATGTTGAGTCGCTAATCTGGAGGTTCCATGTAATTATTGGTCAAAAAAGTAGGCCTATGCACTTCATGATGCAGTGTCTATATCGTTATTGGCCGAGAAAGTTTCCCTGAATTTTCCATCATGGTTTTCCCATCCCAGTGATCAGTGTTGCAGGAAGATGACCTAACAAGGAATGTACAGATGTGACAAAAACAAAACGAGGTCCCATGTACAGGTATGTCAGGCCTACACGTTCGTATGCATGTAAAAAGAACCTTGAGAGCTTGAATTCCAAATAAGGATTAGTACATTGCATGGGGCATACTCGTCTTCATTAGACTGGTAGTGACAAAAATTTGGAGGTTTCAACCTAATTTCATTTGGCAAGGTCAAGATAATTATTAGAGGCACCAATTCCGCAATTGTCTTAATTGGCTAATACTATTTATTGTACAAGCACAGTTTTGAGTTTTAATGCATATATCGTTAGTTCAGCTATGTGGCAGCTATCTCTTATTCCTTTTACTTAATTTAGTTAGATGAATAATCCATAGATACTTACAATAACTTTACAACATAGTCTCATCCTTGACTCAGACCGACTTTAATTTTAAAGCATAAATAAAGTTAGATTCATATTAGAATTAGAATTCGATCTAAGATGTTTCTCTTAAAATTTACATTAGGCTAAAGGAAATACAATTTTAAATCAAGGAATGAAACTGTTGTCAATAAAAACACTCAGACAAAAGCGCAGACTTCATTTGCATTGCTTTTTAATACAATTAGCATGCAACCGAATATCGAATATGAGATACCTAACTAATATAAACATGACAAATTTAAAGAGAGTTGCTTCCCATGGACCCATGCATAGAAGCGTTACTGCCATGATAAAATAAAAAATGAACACTATCTCAACAATTAAATATAAATTAACACGTTTCCGATTATTATCATATGACAGACAATATTGCCGGGTCCTGGAATGAGGGAGTCTGTCCACACATACCCTTTCTTTCTCATATAAAAAAAACCTTTAAAAATATATACCGAGACGGCCCATCCTACTTTCATTTTCCTCTGCTCCATTTCCTATTTCCGATGACGTCATCGATTATTGTGCTCGCCATATTAGGCACTTCAGGGCTTGATATCTTTGTGAAGATTAGTGTTATATTATTTTATCTGAAAGTTGTGATTGTATTAAAATTTTACATTCTGAAAACACTGTTTTAGTTAGGTAAGTATATAAGACATTGAGCAGATTAATCTAATATCTGATTAGAACGTGTACTTTTTTTTATTTTGGGTGATAAAGATTCATATGAGGTTGAATGAAGAAGGAATGATTGATTGAATGAGTCTTCTTTGATGCCATATTCATTGTATACCATAGGCTTAGGCCCAACGAAACGGTCCAAAATTCAAAAACATATAGCCAACTATTTGCATGAGCCAAATTCACAACCCTTCCAGTCCTACTACTGTCCAGAATAAGAATTGTTGTGATCGCCAAATTCAGTTGATCTTTTCCTGTCCAATGGTTTATTTGGGTGCCATACATACTATACATTAACATAGATAGATTAGATAATAATAATACCGTAAAATTAATGGTGTTATTATTATCTATGATGGCAGGTACAAACAGACAGATACAATTATTATTGCACTACTGTCTTGGCATAAGAAACTTAGAAAATTAGGCCATATTTTTTGGAGTCAAAAGTCTGAAATGACGCGGGACAGAAATGACATGTAATCGTGAAATCAATAAACCAATGTAAAAACTTCAAACACCTACTAAATAAAGTACCAGTATTGAATTGGGTTGATCTGATTCTTAATCTTATGTGTAATTTCGATTAGCCTTATCATGGCATGGGTAAGCTCTGTGTATACTATGATGAAATTTAGAAAGATTTAACAGAGTGAATAAGCCCATAAATAAGAAATGAAAAATGGTTTCATGTTAAAGTCTCAAAAATAGAAGGCCTAGTGTTTTTTGTTATTGTTTACATCAAATTGATTTTAATGATTGATATAGAAATTGTGTGTTTTCATATAATTATAAAACTGACGGATACTGATTTTAAACTGTTGTCTTAAATATTTGATTACTTAAAAATAGGAACCCATGTTTTCACAGTAAGATAACAACATCAATATTAATCAAAATGAAATAATTTTAAATTAGTATTAATTTAAATGTCGAAGTTTATAGATAATATTGTGTTGTTAAAGATTTACTGTCGCTACTTTAAACCAAATTTCAAATTGTCAATTGCAATTTGTCAATCTTTGACAGTCCTGTGATTGAATGATATTTGGATACTTATTAAATTATAGAAGATAACTTACATGTACATGTATTTATATGGCAAACTAGTAAAGTTGGTTTTCAAATTGCCTTAGGGTTAGTTAATTTGTTATTTTTTGATATCATTTGATTTAGTTAAAAACAAGGCCATTGTATTATTTTAGTTATTATACAGTACAAGCCTACTCCTATTGATACTTTGGTAGTTATATAAAGATGCCTAGTGTAGGTCTTTTTCTGGATTCAAATGTTATATGAATTATTATTTTAATATTTATTCACATGGCAAGCCCGTAATCAACTCTAGACCTAGACCATACATGGCTGATATATAAAGGGAAAAGGGCTGTCGGTAATTTTTCACAGTTGATTAGCAGCACTGCTAATCAAAAAGTCCAATTTTGCCAAATTTGATTAGCAAATTTAAAAATTGATAAGCAGTTTTTCAGTTTGAACATAAAACACCTAAATAACAAGATATTACTTTAGTTCATAACAAATATGATTAGATTCCATTCTTACTATTCTTAGATTTTTTTAGCACTGCCACAAGTACTTGTGACAGTTTGTGAATGTGATGTAGACATTTAGTTAGGTCTTATGTCTAAAGCCAATTCTTAACAGTGACTTCCGAAGCCCCAATCATTTTAATTGTTATTTTTTGTTACGTTAGAAATCTTCGTTAGAAAACAATTTCGTCTGCTTTTTATCGTGTATTGCTACTTTTGTTAAATCGGGCGCACTTCGATTAACTAGAAACGCGCGATATTTTACGGGAATTTTTACTTTGATTTATCATTTTACAATACGTTAACATATATTTATTTTTTTATATTTTATTTACAATACGTGGGGGATACACTGGATTTATTTCTTTCAAAATGAATATGATATAATTACTTGATGTCTCGCAACGTGAGTGGTACTACCTGATTCCCTATTTCCGGTTTAATAGTCCTTATTCATAGAGTTATGTCCCTGTATTATATAGTACCGTATAATGAATTGTGTCTGGGTAGTTCGAGTAGAAAATGTCACTCTGAGAATTCAGTTTTGTTTATAAAATTTTATTCAACAATTTATACACGTTGAAAGTGTTGAAAAAGCCTTCTAGTCTTCAAATGCGGATTATCCTTGTGTCAATATCCAAAATGACAGGCATATTAATGATTCGCAGTTACTGCGAATCAAAAACTTTAGAGTTTAATTTTTGATTAGCAACGGACAAAATATGTATCGCAAATTGCGCTGCGATACTGGTTGTTGGCAGCCCTGAAAGGGAATACATGAAATGGAAAATCAAGACTTTGTTTATTATTGTAGCAATGATACAAGACAATCAAGACTATTTACCTCACATGTATTTCTTGCCCAAAGAGAATAAAGTAATCTTTCAGTGGCATTTAGCGATTGGGAAACACATTAAAGGACAATATTGGTGCCAGTCATAATCACATATGTGATAGAGCTGGTTAAACACATTCCAAATATAATTTTAACACAGAGATCATTGCTACGATAGCTGAGTAATACAGGTTTCCTGAATTGGAAGTGACGAACGCCAAAGGAAAACACGAGTCATCTCTCTATATAACTGACTGATGTGACTAGTGATAACAGATACACGGCCAAATTTCTGCTCACTAATAAATAGTAACAAGGGACTCGAAGAACGAGTCTAGACATATTCCACAAGTCATGTCAAACGGTGATGTCATATTCTTATCTGGAGAGCATGCACAATAAATACTATTGGTGTAAACTGGAATAACCAGACGCTAGAGATTGACATTCGATTGACACTTCTGGCATATTTCGCCGAACATAACTGATTTGAAATTACAGTAAAAACAGAAACGAAATAACATTATTATATGCATTGCGACCCATTTGTGTCAATTTCTAGGTCGCAAATATTAGCGATTTAGCTCTTTTAAATACATGTAGCCTTGGACAAATAATTTTAACCCGAAAAATTAGCATGTTTATCAATCCTTTGGTCAAATAAATTTTGAAATTTAATTTAATAACTAATTGTTTGAATGAAGTGGTGGTCTGTCATAGAGTCAAGTGGATTAGTTTCGATCCTAAGCTTGTAAGTGACAACGAGTAGGGTTGCCAGCCTCCTTTTGGGTCTTCTCCAAGTTCAACAGTTCCCTTCCAGTTCCACTGGTAAAGATCCCTACGATCAAGCGAGTTATTGAAATAAATTGTACCATAGGTTAGTCCCAAAATGACTGAGTTTGTATTTGTGTGGATGTTAAATCCCATTGCTCTCCACCTTTCTTTCTTTCTCTTGGTTTCCAGTCGCATGAATATTGATTGGGGATTTTGCGATCATTTCACAAACAATTTACTCCAGACGAAATACAAAAAATATTAATGATTTAGCTAACTATGACTAGTCTATGGGTAAAGTACATGTATCTGGTCTGGTTTTATTGGCTGTACTACACCATCTGTTTATAACTTATTTACATGTACATGTAGCCTACATGGAATCCCCTGTTACTATTTAAAGCCTGGAGTTAAAGGTCAGCATACTGTAGAGCTGTATTTATCATGATAAGGGAGTGCCCTGTCAAGACTTGACCTAGTTACATAAATTTCTTTAAAATTCTGTAGTGAAGTTAATGCCATAAATATATGGATTTTTTGCACTTTGAAATTGTTTCATGTTGTTATTATTATTATTACAGCAAATTTATAGAACTCCCTTTCATATAGAATGTTCAGGGGTTCTTTACAAAGTGACAATGTAATCATAAATAAACAACAAGATTATGTAAATGTTAACGATTCACCAATTGTATACAGAGTTGGTTAAAAGCCAGATTAAAAATATGTTTTTTGAAGTTGATTTTTATTCCATAAAACCGGTGCTTGATAACTAAAAGAGCGCTGACCATAAGAGACTAGTTGAACAGTTTTGTTCTTTAAAAGTAGTTTATCTGATGTATGTAATGTTCGGCCAGGTGTATAATGTTCTAAAAGATCTAAGAGGTAAACAGGAGCTGAATTATTTAAACATTTAAAAGTAAGTAATAAAATCTTAAAATCAATTCGATGTTTAACAGGTAACCAGGATAAATTATATAAAACATCATGTGCAAATTTACTTAATTGATGCCTTGAGCCTAATAACAAATATTCGGTTTTATCATCATTCAGTTTTAGAAAATTCGTTGACATCCATTTTCTAATTTCACTAATACTATTCTCAAGTTGCAATTTTGATAAATTGAACGAAGATGGACAATAAGGTGTAAATGAAAGATATAATTGAGTATCATCGGCATACAAATGAAAGCGGAGGCCATATTTTCTGACAATATCACCTAATTTTGATTAAATCATTTTTTCAATGTGAACAGAAAGGTTCCAATTACAATCCTTCGCTCTTGACTATTTTCCAATCTATTTTTTTCACAATATGGTGACAACACCAACATGATTATAATCCGCCACCAGTTGGAAGAATGAAATTCCACTAGCAAATTACCTGCAGTCCAGGTTCATAGACTGTTGAATTCTTTGATTCAGTTCTCAGAAACTGCAAGTGACTGATGTTGGGACAATTCTGTAGCAGACAATTGCAATAGTTTCACAATTTGCCTATCTTTATTTAGCAATGTAATTATATTGTAACTACCAATTATATCTGCACTTACAGAGAGATAGAGAAAATGGGTTTAACATCAACACAACACAAACTAGGTCATTTCAGGACTAACATACAGTTCAATAACTTGCTTGCACGTAGGAGTCTTTAGCAGTAGGTGGAAACCAGAGGATCCCGGACAAAACCCACTGGGTGGGATAGCCGACCCACTCTTTGTCATGTACAGACTGGGGCTCGAAACCACACCCAGGCTCATGTGGGGCCTATACAGGAGAGAGCTAGAAGAGGGTCTATGCATTTGAAAGAGTAAATTTCCTTCAGAAATGACCTCAGATGCAAGGAAATCGACTTCAAACTTCCAAAATTTTCTTGGGGAGACCCCCTCGCCCAGATACCCACCTGGAGGTTCTGCTGTTAGTCACGCCAGAACAGGGCCCCCACAATCACGTTTCTGCACAACCCCCTGACTGCTGACAGCACAGGCATATTTGTTACCGAATATAAGGAAAGTAGAGACACTCAATCTTACTAGAAATATTCTGGATTCCCTGAAAAACATCTACAGGACAAAAATGTAGTTTTTGGTATTTTTCTTGCAATTAAAATGTTTGAATATGTTTTTAGTCCAAATATATCATCAAATCACACAGTTTTAGGTGGGAAAGAATTTTAAAGTCAAGGGGTTTATTTTTTAAAAAGATGTGTGTATCTTATTCTTATTAAAATAACTGTATAGTAACTGCCTTACTTCAAAGTTTGCAAACTATCTGAATCGAAAAGATGTATCTAAACTTATACAAACTTAATACAATATATGTATCAATTTGAATATTATTATGTTACCAATTGGCTGTTATAGCCTAAGTCACAGTACAGGCATTTCTTTAATAGCAGATAAAGAACAGGTTTATAACCAATTTAACCTTGTATGATACAAGATTTAATTTTTTCTTGAAAAACTGGATTTTTTTTCTCAAATATTCTGGATATATTTATAAGCAGTAATAACAACACAGTGAAAACATCAAGCTTATTTAAAAGGTCATAGTTTATTTATAGGGGTGAAAGTTTTGGCTACCAAAAAGACAGTGATATTTACCTTAAATGCTTAAGCCAGATTGTTTATGACATATCTATAAAGTCAAAAATATGTAGGACTATTTTACAGACCTCACACTGGCTTTCAATTTCTTTCTGTCAAAATCAGATTTTAATTGCCACTTTCATTTTTTAATCGCAAATTGCGACCTCGGCGGCCAGCAGCTTCAGCCCTGTTATTTTAGTGTACAAGACTGTTATTATATAGTAATTAGTATTATACAAATCCCCCCCCCCCGCCCGAAGAATGGACTGGATTTATTAAAATAATTCATACTTTCAGGACAATATATGTGGCTGCTATATGTACATATATGGTTTTATAGGCAAACAAAACTATTGAAAAGTGACAGGCTGTAAAATACATATTTTACCTGTGCTTTCAATCAGTTTATTATTCATGGCTAAGAGCACAGTTTATGAATGATTGCAGATATGTAACTAATGACTCAACGTAACATTAACCTATTTACTGGGTCAAAATTAATTAGCGGTGATTATTATTACCATGTATGTTAATTTGTAGTGTAATTAATCTAAGATTAATACTGGGATCTACATGTATAGACCTAGAATGAATTTATAAATATTTTATATTATACAAACTAAATAAATTATAAATGCCCACTGTTTTTAAAATGGATGTATTTGATGAGTATTTGCTTAATATTTATCAAAAATAGTCACAGGTCAAAATAAAGCATTGGATTGGGTAGATTTATTGTGTTATTTCGGTTAATAATTCGGCAAGCTTTATACTATTAAAATTTAGTTTTTAAAGATTAGGTGGAAGTCGGCTTGTTATACATGTATTTTGAGTTTTATTCTTGGACCTGTCTTCATTAGCCCAGTAGGAGCGAAACAGTAGGACTTTAAACCCCATTTCATTTTTATTGTTAGAATCCAGTACTGTGTCTACTACGTGAAACTTGAAATCTCATCACTTGTTACATCAATAGCCATTAAATTTTCTACCAAGACAGATAGTTACCCCACAAATCCAATCCAATGACATTGGCCATTTTGTTTTTGATCCAAATCAAAGATGTCAGGTTATTTTAAATCTTATGATTTATTTTTAAAATAACTAAATAGACAGCCTACAGTACAAAGTAACACAGTACAAATTTTCAAAAAATGAAAATAATAATTAATTTTAATGAAAAAAGGGGATATTGTCACTTATTATAATCTAAAAATTGCAGATCAGGTATCATTTAAGACTGCAATTTATATGAATACAAAGGCTTGTTGAAATTTTGACCATCCTATGTGAAGTATGCAATTCAATTAAACATTAATTCTAATAATATGTCAGATCCTGGTTACATGTATATGTTACACACCTAAAATTTTGATACAGTATTTTTGATATTTAGGTTTATTACAAGTAATTTTTAATTTCTGTTTGCTTGACTGGATCTTTTGTTTGTAAGTTCTGAAGGATACACCTTTAAAGGAGAAATCCGTGGTACATGTAAGTTTTATAAGAAATTGAAGTTGGGGGATGAGTACTGTGTAGGTTAAATAGGGACATGAACATACAGTAAAAATAATATTTAGTACAAAACATCCTGTCATTATCAGTGTTCTCCATAATGATTCAAGATTACTCATCATTTAAACATACACCACTATACAGTTAGTTTATTCTGTGGTTTATTATAGATCCATATGGACCTGAGCCAATATTTTAAATATTGTGTATAAGCCTATATAATTATTTTGTATTGGAAGCAAGATTTTATAAATTAACAATTTTGTATGATCTGTATTAATAATTTATAAGGTAAATCTTTTTTTGTTTTGATTGAACTAAACAGTTGAAATATGTATCAGTTTGTGATTGAACAGTGTTGGAGTATACATTTGGTGTTATGATTACATTTGGAGTATTGATTTGTGATTGGATTGGGGAGTGTTAGAATGTATTTTGTGATTGAACGATTGAATTGGACAGTTGGAATGTATTTTGTGATTGAACATTGTACAATTGATGTGTACATTTTGTGATTAGACAGTTGGAATAAGGAATATGCTTTTAGCGATTAAATTATAATTAAACAATTGGAGTGTGTATGATGGATAAACAGTTGAATGTGTATTTATGATTGAATTATTGGAGTGTATGAATGAACAGTTGACATTGTATTGAACAGTTGGAATGTGTATTTCTGATTGAACAGAAAAATCATTTGTTTATGACTATAACATGAGTTTAAACTGCAATGACATCAAGTAAAAACCTGATTTTTTAACAAAACAATTGGACATCAGACTCAGAGATCTTAACAATCTGTTTAATAATGGGTAGTGTGACAAATTTTGTATAATTTATGATTATTGATATAATTGTTTTTTGTATACTTCAGGTATTTATGTGGAGTGTGTAGAAATGAATATCAAGTGGTGTATAAGTATACTAGCTATTTTACTAGTCACATCTGTAACAGCTCAAAGTAAGACATCTTTATATCCCATATATTATATGATTTGTTCAAATATTTATGTCAGTAGAGTCTCTATTGAAATTCTCAGGTTTTGGAATGTTGTTACATATTAAACAATTATCTTATATGATACTGGGCCGAGTAACCATAAAACTTTCTCTGACAGATCTAAAAGGAAATTACTTGTCTCAAATTCCCTCTATTGTGGGAAGATGTATTGTAATCTATTGTGTTCCTATGTTCAGCTAAATGCCGTGAATAAGCACTAATTTGAACAAGTACTCGATGATTTGTCAGTATATAATGAAGCCAATTTTTATTACCAAGTTGCGCAATAGAAACAAAAAAAGCAAAAAAAAAAACTGGGTGTAGTATTGTCATGATATATACATGTATAAGGCTTGTTTTAATAATTTTCTTGTGGTAATGATAGGAATTTGGGTAAATCTTTCTACGTCTTAGAATGTTTTTTGTCCTCAATTGAGGGCCTTAATGTTGTCTAGTCTTCTTTTATAACCTACATTGAGATGTGGTCATACATGTACATGTATATTGTACTTTGTAGTCACCTCCCTCAGTTGGTCTGCCGTCCACAATTGCTTGTGAATGTTCTAAAGTCTAAAGTTATCATCCGTTTGACTTGAAATTTATAAGACAAAGAATTTAATGAATTTTCAACAATTTCCGGTAATTATTGTTGGAGTAATGGTCCATGATCAATTTATAATTTATACACAGTGTTCATGTTCATGAGACTAAGAAGTTTTGATTTTCAACGATTGCTGATATGTTTTGTAAGCTTATATAATAAAGGTTAGCACTAGCAGCAGGAAGAACTTGAAGCCCATCAAATTTTAATTATTTCTGATAATTACTTCATGGATTCTTACTCTTGTCCAAGCGCTGAAATAAGCGGCCGGACAAGGACAATGTCCGGGCGAATTGACCCCTTTTGACAGGCCAAATGGCCTTTCGTCCGGACATAATTGTCCGACCGAGTTTTGGTAAAACATTAAGCCAAAAATATTAATTTCAATTCGCAAATTCGTGTCGATCGCTAATTATTATTAGACTCGAAAATCCAGGCCCAAAAATATCAACGACCCTAGTCATAGTGAAAATGTTACTATTAATATCTCGGCTTCGTGCAGATTATAATCAATAATTTTTAGAATCGGCTCTTTTACGCTGGTTATATCAACGACCCGAGTCATAGTAAAATTATTATTATTTATACATGTATCTCTCTCAGCCGCGTGAAGATAAAATAATGAATAATATTGAGAATCGACTCTTTTAAAAAGGGGTTATTCGGTTGAAAAGTGGATCAAAAATGACTTGGCAAAATCCAATGCTGACGTGTGGTTAACATACGAAGAAGACGATGGTATTGTGACTGCACTAAAATGTGAACTCTGTATAAAGTTTTATAATAATATCAAATATATGAGAGAATTTTCCAATGCATGGATTAATGTGACTTCAAATCTGAGATTGTCTAATCCACTGGACCATTCTGACACTATGTGCCATAAACGAGCCTACGAACTATATTCTGCTGAAATGAAGGCTTCTGGAATTAGTTTGGTAGGGAGTGAAGCTGGTGTTCAGGATTCTTCTCAACAAACAATAACACAAAGCCTTTCACAATATTCTGCTACTCAAGAGGCCCAAATTAAGAAGAAGATGGAAGTGTCATATTTTGTTGCAAAGAATGAACTGCCATATACGCTGTATGAAAAAATAATAAACTTGGAGAAGCATCATAATGTTGATATTGGGGATACTTATATAAACAGTAACCAGTGTGGCATTTTTATCGACTACCATGGAGAATACTTGGCTGATAAATTAAAGAAAGATTTGTGTTCAGCAAAATTTTATAGTGTCCTAACTGATGGGTCAACGGATAACTCAACAATAGAAAAAGAGGTCATCTATGTTTTATATTTCGATCCCATCTCAAACCCTGACAGAGTTGATGTGAAGTTGACTTTTCTTTACTTGAAGGATATTCCAAAAGCAGATGCTATTGGTGTAAAGTCAGCTATAGAAAAAAGTTTTGAATCTATTGGAATCTTACCCAAAGAATTGTACAGCAAACTTGTTGGTTTCGGGTCGGATGGGGCTACAGTCAACAGAGGGGACAAGAATGGTGTGAAAGGCCTATTACAGAAAGAAGCTCCATGGTTGGTCTTTAATTGGTGCATAGCTCACCGACTAGAGCTTGCCCTCAAAGATTCTCTTGGCCCACACTTTAACAAACTGGACAATTTGCTAACTAAACTTTTTGCCATTTATCAAAGGTCCCCCAAGAAACTGGCTGAACTGAAATCACTATTTGACATCATGAAGGATTCTTTTGATTATGACAGTAAATCTATTCGTCCAAAACGTTCATCAGGAACACGCTGGGTTTCTTTTAAACTTGCTGCCCTCAAGTTAGTGCTAGATAAGTTTGCTGTATATATACAGCATCTAGAACATTTGATAAGTGACAATTCCTGTTCAGACAGAGATAAATTAAAAGGATATCTGAAAATATGGAAAAACTGTGATATCCTGTTACAGATGCCTCTATTTATTGACATACTTACCCCTGCTTCACATTTGTCTAAATGTTTTCAAGCTGAAAGTGTTGACCCTGTAAGCTTTTCTATCTGCCTTAAACGAGCTAAAGATAAATTGAAGAATTTAGCAGATTGTGAATTTGAAAATCTGCCTGCAGTTAAAAAATTCTTTTCTGCTCTGATATTTACTGGAGAGGATGAAAATGGTTCAGTAGACTATAATGGTGTTCAGTTTTCAAGAGCAGATTATGGCAAATGTTTAAGTGATATAAAGATAAACAAAAATAAAATAATTGAAAATCTCCTCAGTGCTATAAATAAAAGATTTGAACAGGATGGCAATTTAGATGAAGTGATAATGACTAAGGCAACAAAAATCTTAAATAATTCTGCATGGGAGGTTGAATTGGATATCTCTTCTGACAATATTAGTTTTGCTGATGATGATTTACAATTTATCTACAAACATTTTGAAAAAATATTGAACCTTTCTTGCTCATTTTCTGAAATATTAGATGAATGGCATGATATGATTGAGTATTCAGTTAGGTTTCTTCATCCTGCTATAAATGATTACAATAAGACTTGGAAATATCTCTTTCAATCTGTTCATTCTCAATCAAAATGGAAGAATATTTTAACAATTATTGAACTGTTATATACATTTCCCATTTCATTTCAAATGCTAAACTTGAAAGGTTGTTCTCACTGCTAAAAAGAACAAAAACTGATACCAGATGCTCTTTAGGGGAACATCGTCTTACAAACAATCTCAGGATACTTGCTGAAGGACCATCTCCCTGTGATCTTGATGTAAATCCAGTCTTTGACTTGTGGAGAAAGGCCAAAATAAGGAGACCAAATCAAAACAAACGTAGAGTTTATTCAAAAAGACAATCCAACAAAATGAGAAAAACTAATTTAGATATTGTGACTATTGTTTCTAACACATCGGATTCAGATTCTGAACCATTTACTACAACTCAAGAACAAGATGTCTATTCTTTATTTAACTCTGAATCTGAATCAGAGTTTTTAGGATTTAGTCCCCAGCCCCACCAAAGAGATTAATGACATTATTATACGAACTATAAAGTTGTATTGCATATATACATATAAAAACTTAAAACTCCAGGTTGTGAGTCACCAATTTATTTTATCAATAAATGTATATATACCATAACAAAGATTAAACATAGTAAATTTCAATATTTTTTTGGTATACTATACTTTATTAAGTATTTGTCAGGCTGAAAATCTGAAATGTCCGGCCGAATATCAGTTCAGCCTGACATGATGTCAGGCTGAACCTTAGCAGTTATTTCAAGGCTTGCTCTTGTCAAGTCTTGTTTAGTTTTTAATGCCTTGTGAATGCTCCTATTATACATACCTTCAAAATAATAAATACAACAACCATTGTGGACTTCTCAGACGACTTAGCTGCTGTGGGCATATGTTGCATTGCCTGGCAACCTATCTTTATTATTGAATATGATGCAAGACATGTATAATGATATTAATATTAATATGTTGTAGGTAATCGCCGTGGAAACAATCCATGTTTATCAGAAAAATCACAGAGATCATGTGGAGCGTGTATTGCTACAGCTTCTGAATGTGCTTGGTGTAAATCAGAGGTATGCTATTTATCTACCATGATAGATTAAATGAAATTAAATAGTGGTCAAAAGGACATGGCAATAATGTGTTTAATTATCAGGATAGGGTGAAGAAAACCTGAAATCCCATGCATTTTGGCATTTAGATTTCAAAGAAGCCTTGTTCTTTTTGATTGATCACACTCTACGCTGCTGGTCCACATCATTATTCTTGTATCTAGTTGCTCTGAAATTAATTCCCATGGTCCAAGAAAAATATTAATGTTCAATTCAGCAAGACTTTTCAACTGTGTTCTACATAGAGTCAGCCCATAGGACAAAAGCAGACTGTGTAAGCTTGACATGCCCATTATCAATTCAAAGCGCTCGTCCTTCTGGCTGATTGAAAATAAAACTGTACATGTGCAATAATTTTGACAGTTTAGGCATAACTTTTGACTTTCATGAACTGTGTGCTGATCAGACACCATGGCTTTTCTGGCCTAAGACCTTCTAACACTGACAGTAATGGTGCGTACTTGTACCTGTATATTTACATACTGTGTTACCATTTAAACTGGTTCCATTCCATTCACTGTTTTATAATCATCCGCCAATTTTCATGAGTCAGAATTGAATATTTAATATTTTGAATATATTCTTTTTCAGAGTTTTTTCAAAGAACATCGTTTACGATGTGATAAATATGAAAATTTAGCCAAACTTGGCGTCTGTCAAACAGAAGATATTGTTTATCCAGATGATAAATTAATTCTTACAAAGGTAGGTACATAATTCTAAAATATGTTGATATGCACTCACATCTTTGTGGTAAATGTTGATGCAGTACGATCAATAAGGATGTTTTGGATTTGATCCTTTGTCTGCAGTCATCCAATGATAAGCATCGGTTCCCAACCTTTATCTCTGTCGCCATGGGACATTTTACAAATCTCTAATCACCCTCACATCTGCATCTACTTTGTTCAATCATATTAGAGACATTAGGTCCTAGGTCACATGCCACCACTTTTCACATAAATCATTAATAAACCCTAACATGGCCCATCTTAATAGCCATTCTATTCAAAAATATGGTACACCAAACCATAGCAATATGATACTGTTCATTTGACTTCGGGGACACCCAAAATATTTTCATGGACCCCCTCTTCAGATTCCAAAATGCTGATGTAGAATGTAGCATTTAAACCGTACCGGTACTAGTAGAATCAAATATAAATCAATTGTGTTGACTTATTTTTGATAGAATGTAAATGTTCAAGATGGAGACCGTCCCGAAGAAGCTGTACAAATTGCACCACAGGAAGTTCAACTTAAAATCCGTCCAAGTAAGTTTACTCATGCCTAAGAATATTACTTAATAAGTAGTCTAGATGGGCATTGTTGCCTCCATTAACTCTGTCAGCTATCTTTTTCTCCAGGTTTTTGCACTCTCTCAGTACTGCTTAAAAAAGACCTTCAACATGCAATAAAAAAAACATTGGTCTCCAAAATGTGTCAAGACTCCATTTCTCAGACCCTGTTCTCTCAGACATTGAAATAGGAATTGTAATATTGCAATATTTTATCTATATTTTCAGATAAACCAATAAAATTTAAGATGCAGTTCCGTCAAGCTGAGAACTATCCTGTAGATTTATACTATCTCATGGATCTGTCTAATTCTATGGAGGATGATAAAGCTAAATTGGCCGAGCTGGGAAATTTAATTGGTGAGTATGTGCTTGATTCATTAATGTAAATTGATTTTGTATGTGTTTTGACGAAACTTGACATATAAGTTTATATATCCCAAAGATCTTGTTTCCTTTCAATATTGGCAAGTATCGGACCGTAACTTCATGGATTATAACCCCTGATTGTACGAAAAATTGCGTTTTTTGCTTGTGAACCCTCTAGAGGTCACAATTTTTTACCAGATTAAAAAAAAACGTTCAAATACATCACTGTTACACCGTAATGATGGTTGTGGACAATTTTTATCCAATTTTGATGAAACTTGAGATATATGTTTATATCCCAAAGATCTTGGTTCCTTTTGGATTGTACCATTGCAGTACATTAAAGATCCCCTGACAGTTGTATGCCCATCATTATTTATTTATGAACTAAGGGCAGTTATAAAATAATTGACTTTTGAGAAATTAAATTTACTTTCATTTGCAAATTGAACTTTTGTGTTTCAGCTGAGAGTATGTCTCAAATTACAAAGAATTTCCGTCTTGGTTTTGGATCTTTCGTTGATAAAGTTGTGATGCCTTATGTTAGTACCGTCCCTAGAAAGTAAGTTCTCTTCTAAAGTTGATCACATCATGAATCACTGAGACAGGAACACTCAAAACTTCATTTTTCTCTCCGGCCTAACCTCATGGAATTTTTCTGTTCCCTTGGTTTCTTCCCACTGTGAAAGGCTCAAAGGCACAGGCAAATTATTGAAGTAAAATAGACTCTGTTTCTGTCTGTCCAATGTTGAGGTTTTCTAACATTTGTTGGGGTTTTTGTTCTCGGCTAGTATTTACTAAATAAAACTAAAAATTTGAACCAATATATTTAATTCTATATAACATTTCTAAGAATATCATGGATAGTTGTTCTTGCGGCAAGTGAGAGCAACAAGGTTGAGCTATGACTAAATGACTGATTGATTTAACTCTCTAGACACTGTACTGTTTCTGAACCTATATTCTATTGTTTTTATTTTAGATTAAGAATTCCATGTTACACAAGAGCAGGAACACCTTGTGAAGCTCCTTATGGTTTTAAAAATCAACTTAGTTTAGATCTTGATACATCGAAATTTGCTGTAAGTATAAACACATACATTTATTTCCTCGATATTGTCCAGCAATTTTTGAACTAGTGGCTGATCTTTTAAATTTTTGAACTAGTTGGCCATGTATTAACAATTGATGCATAATTGTCCAATGAACTAGCATGTCAAGTTTCATGTTGATTGTACTTCAAATGGCCCCAAGAAAAAGAAGAACAAGAAGATTAATAGCTCTCGGGGCCCAGTCCAAAAATATCAGTAAAAACACTGACAAAATAAAAATGTGTGATTCCAGGCTTGGTCATTTATCTTCTAACTTTGTGTTGAAATTATTCTTATTTCATCTTCTAACAATGTCTTAGGTTCAAGTGATGGCAGCTAATGTGTCTGGTAATTTAGATGCCCCTGAAGGAGGTTTTGATGCCATCATGCAAGCTGTTGTCTGTGAGGTCAGTATATATTTAAAATAATAATACTTTTTAACTGTTGGGAATCAATTAATATATTATTGAAGATGTGCATACAGTAGAATATTCCAGATGGTGGCTTTAAAATACTCCCTTAAGGGAAACAAGTCTGAACATTCACAAATATCAAGGGGCCATCATGGAGTTTGAATCCTGGCTCTTGTCAAGGGTGGCATCTGAGCTGAAAAGGAAAATGTGCATTGTCATTCAATGGGGAAAAAATTACGAGGCCAATCCCTCTACAGATTGTAGTGTATACAAAAGAACCATTGATAGATAGAAATTGTAGATAGCAGAATTATTATCACTTTATTGGCCTCAGATACTTAAACCATGAAGTCATGGCTAAATTCACATTCAAATTGATTGATTTGAATTATTTTAGACCAATATGCTTTTGGTTCAAGTATTTAGAGTGTATATGGTCCACATTTTACTTTCATTCCTGGCATGTTGTCTCTTTAAAATACAAAATAGTTCATATTTATTTCCATACCGATGATTAATATTGTTAGATGACTTGATATTTTAGAATGATATAGGTTGGCGTTCTATTTCACGAAGGATGCTCGTGTTTTCAACGGATGCAGGTTTTCATTACGCTGGAGATGGAAAGGTTTGTTGCTATGACGATGACTTGCATCCTGGATGATTAGTAGCCGAACTGCCTTAACATATCTGTCAGAATTAATAACGGAATGCCTCCTTCCTATCCTGTTTATATATTTTGTATTGATTATCTTGCATTGTTTATAGCAACGTGACAAACATTTAAAATGTACCCTGAAAAATTGTTGGATAGTTATACAATCTTATGATTATGATTTTGTGTTATGATGTCTAAAAAGTAAGTCTAAAATATACATTGACTATAATGGTGCAAAAATATTAAAAGTAAATAATCTATCTGAGTAATTGGTAAGTGGATCAGTCCAAGCCATCCGTATTTGTCCAGAGTGTAATAAATGAATAAAATCCTGTATATTCAATGCAAGATAATTAATGATATTAATACGAATGTTTGTGTGGTGAAATATTTCTCCTGTATAATTCTTGACATACCAAAACTGATTCAATAACTCATCATATTCTTCTAAATATGGAAAATCCATGTCAGCGAATTCATCTCATTTTTACACTAAAGTATATTGAAGTCAAGAAATGACTAATCAAAGAAATAAATTGATATAGCCAAATCTAAATATTTTTTAGGAATTTGGTTTTCCATTAGATTATTGTTGGATCAAATTTGGTATTTTTAAGGGTTCTTTATTATTCTTACCTCCTCTGCCTGTTACTGGATAATCTGTCCATAAATCTAATCAATTGGTTATTTGTCCCTTATGTTCCAGTCACAAATTGGATGGAGACCTCAGTCTCGACGAATGTTGGTCTTTTCAACAGATGCTGGCTTTCATTATGCAGGCGATGGAAAGGTGTTATACTGTTTTCATTTTTCACGATTCAAAATATATAAATATTATTTGATTTTATATCTCCCTTATTTTACGTTGTCCCTTCCCATAAGCAAAACACCACTCATACTCCATTTCTTTTCTAAAATAAGCTGTGTCAAGCTATATTAGAGCACTATAATTCAGTTGATCTAAATGTGTAAATAGTCACTCTATTTTCTTGCGTAGCACAATGTAGATATAGCACATTGCATGATATAGATATTGTACTTAGCCAAAACCAATTCTTAGAGAATTGAAGAATATATAAAACTATGTTTATAAAACTAATACCAGTATTCCAAATAAAACACATCTTTACATAAGGGTCGCCTAACAGTTACAAAAGCATTAACTTTTTTGGTTTAACAAATTTTCTTGCATGATGATAATAAATAGATTTGATGTCAATTATTATTATCTCTGCCAAATGTAAATGCTAAAACAATATTTTTGTTAACTTGTTCTGTTAGTGTGCACCCTTATTCTCAATATGGAAAGTGTGTTATTGAAAACCAAAACTAACATTAAATTAGCATGAACATATTCTATATACAGTAGTATTAGTTATATAAAGTAGATTAATAGAAAAAAATCTACATATAAATGAAAATTATTAATTATGTTTTAACTTACACTAAAAGGTAGCTTTGCTGTAAAATTGTTGTTAGAGTCCACTTGACAGCACACCAAGGGCTTCAATATAGCTCAGTTGTGATTGTATTGACATCCAACATATGCTTAAACTGTTGTTATGGCAAAGAAGGAAGGGAATTCGAAGTTATTAGTGTATATAATCCATTTCTGATATAATCAAATTGATGACTCCCCCACCCCCTCCCCCTCCCCTATTTATTTTTTCTCCCCTTTATACTGACCTGCACAGTAACAATCACCAAATTACAATCTACCCATTTGGTTTTTATTTGATTTTTATAACCTATCAATTTTGTATTTGAAGGAGATGATGTCACCTTAGAATTCCTGATAACTGGGTACCTAAGATGGTGGGAAAGAAATATTAATCAAAATGGATTATGTATTTTATACACAAACATGTTAATGTGGTCATATATTGCCTTTGATCTTTTAGTCCATCTGTCGTCCGCAGTGTCTTGTGATGACCATGCTTATTTCATTTGCCATCCGATCTTTATAAAATCCAAATTAAATTTGTTATTTACATTAATTGAATTTCCAAACTTATTGCTCTTGTCATAAATCTTTGTAATTGTGCTCAGGTAAAAAGTTCATAAGATTTCTATTTGTATAGTTTGACTATTTCAGACTTGTCGTAACTCTTCATTTACATTCAAAATTCAAATTGTTAAAATCTTTATAAAAGTCTGAGCGACTAGAGCATGCGGTGGGCATATGTTTTGTTGACTGGCTACCTATTTTTTAAAAACTGTAAAGCATTGCATATACATCATGTTCTGCGCTTGATTGATTGATCCTTTAACGAACTTTTTCTTATCAGTGGATCACTGGTTCATCCATCAATGATTGTAATTTTAAGCAAACCAGACCTAATTTTACAAGAAAAACTGCCCAAAAGATGGTTTGTTTTATTGCCACAGATGAACGAAGGATCATTTCTTTGGCTTTGGTTGTGCCTATGGTTCGTAGAGAATCGAGCAGTCATGAGCAGATCATCATGTAGAATGCAGTCAATGATTTTGAATAATAATATTTATTATGACTGTAAGATCTGTTTATATTGTGTAAATAGCTTGGTGGTATTGTAACACCTAATGATGGTATCTGTCATATGAATAATAACATCTATACAGAGAGTTCTAATCTGGTAAGTTCTCCCAAATTCATTGTCTTGCGCTAATATTTGTTGGTTTTGTTATATTGCTTTATTTATCACAGTGAAAATTTAAAACAATACTGAATAATACAATCAACGACTAAAGGGATAAAACATATAACAAATAATAGGAAATATGAAAATATAATTGTTATTCTACTACTTAAGTTTCGCAAGGATTTTATTATCAACATTTTCTATATATTTGGTTTCTTGAGCAGAATCTCAAAATCCATTTGCAACTACTTTAAGTTTTCAAAAGAAAACCCCTAGAATCCTTACTTGGACCAAAAAGAACCCTTAGGATTTTAAAATATGTGTATCAAACATTTTATCATAATTTACTAATACTATTTTAGTCTCGCAATGACCGTAGTTGAATGTCGATAAGACTATAAACTCCACTTTGCTCGAAGAGTTATTTGATGTATTCTCATTTCCACGTTTGTTTTCAGGATTATCCATCTGTTAGTCAAATTGCATCTAAGATTACTGAGAAGAATGTCAATGTTATATTCGCTGTAACTAAAGATCAGAAACCAGTGTATGACAAACTGTCGGACATGATTGAAGGTTCTATAGCTGGAGAATTAGAGAATGATTCCTCTAATATTGTAGCTTTGATCAGAAGTAACTATGAGGTGAGTTACCATTGATTAATGGTACAACATGGCAAATATGGATTAAAATTTCAATCTTTATATTTATAGTCAAAATGAAGGCTAAACAATTATTTAAATTGTTGTTAAAACGAAAGTAGAACCAAAAATTTAAGCTAGCTAATTTCTTGCAATCATGAGATCCAATTTCAAAATATTTCAAATCCAGGATCCACAAATGACAAAATATTGAGTTTAATTCTCTGTATCCTGTGTCAAACACAGTTATTTTTAGAATGTCTTTGACATAGATATAATTTCAAAGATACTCCTTTCATGTTATTTGACTTGTTAATATTCATTCTAGACTCCAGGCCAGAATGTCCAAGGATCGAATCAAATTCAGTCCCCACTTGTCAGGGCTAAAGCCAGCGGTGCTGACAAGTAAAGTATTGCCTAGTCTTTTGGATGGGACCAAAACCTGAGGTCCACCTAATATGTACACACTGGAGTTCACATAAAAGAACCTTACATTGCACATAACGATTAAAAAGCAGATCTGGTAATTTATCCAATATTGGATATTACTTTAAATTAAACATACTTCATTAAAGTTTATATTTGTATTGTCTGTTCTTGTATTTCAGAAAATTACATCTAAATTAATGATGAATACTGAAAATGCTGAAAATATTACTGTTAAATTCTTTTCTCGTTGTTTGGGGTAAGTGATCATTTAACCTGTGCCAATATATTTTTTTATGATGAAAACTTGCTTAGCTCCATTTAATTCTTTAGGCTGAAATCTTGTGTCTGATATAGATGGTTTGGTGGCTGAGTGGTGTAACGTGAGCTCTTTAGATCACATGGTATGCCGTCAATGCAAGTGTAGCTCGCAGCTTCAATCCTTCACTAGGGATAGAGAGAAGTGTCATCTACCTAACCATGTCAGTTTTTTCTGGGGGTTTTCCACTGCTAAAAACCTATTGAAATAGAAATGTACTTCAAAAAGACCTAGTTTACATTTAGTGTGTGTTAAATTTATTTTTACTTTAAATCTTAAATAGCAATAAATTAACCGAAACTTTTGATACATTTTTATACACCTATATTTGGGTGTGGCCGTTTTATGATTATTCTTTTTATTTTTGGTTTGATTTCTTCTTTGTAGAACTGATATGCTGGAAACTAATGCTTGTGAAGGATTAGGTATTGGTCAAAATGTAAGTTTGATATCATAGATTTATACTTAAAGTAGCTAAGTCTCTAACTCAATATCATCCAAAATCTTCAACATTGAAAACACGATTTATTTGTCAAATTAAATCAACATTCATGTTGTGATCTTACCGGGAAAAGATGGGCTTTTGATATCCAATATTTAAGACAAAATAAACATTTTACCATTGGTACACGAATCGTGTACCATAATGCGCTTCAGCCCCAGTTGTATCAAGAGACTCGAGGGACGAGGCTAGACACATTGCACCAAATCAAACGGCGTATGTAGACTGGAATAACCAGACGCTAGAAATTTGCACTCGCTTGAGACTGCTGGCTTATTTCGTCGAACATAACTGATTTTGAAATTGGAGTAAAAACGGAAACCATTGAATGTAAATCAGTTTATATACATTCATATTACAGTATTATATGCGTTGCAACCCACTTTTTTCAATTTCTAGGTCCCAAATGTTAGCGATTTAGCTCCTTTAACACATGATCAGTTAGCAATGTTCAATGTAGTCTTAATCACTCCAGTCTAAATGATCTCTGTCGTGCCTACAATAAATATTGTTCTGGATAAAATAGTTCCTGTTGTGCATAAAATGTTAAAAGTCTTAAATAGTTTTTCATAAATCTTACGATATGTCCATCCATGATAACAAAACACATGTCTATATCAGATAAACAATTTGTACTAGAAGGACGAATGACCAATGTCCCGTGTACACATTGGCGTGCACATAAAAGATTGCATGACATTTGGAATTCACTTCCCTCCTAAACACAGTAGGCATATATCCATCTTCATGAAACTGGTAGGTGCAGAAAGTAGGATGTTAAAACCCATTTCATTCATTCATTATATTATACTATTCTATTCTTTCTATAGGTAACTTTTGATGTAGAAGTGACAGTATCAGAATGCCCAGCAGATCGAAGCCAATGGAGACGTGCATTTGATATTTATCCTGTTGGTCTAGCGGAAAAGTTAAGAATCAGCCTGGATATGATCTGTGAATGTGAATGTGAAACAGCTGGAAAAGAAGTAAGTGGCATGTCAAATATTTTATTCCCCCACCATTTTGTGTTGTCCATTCATTTCTATATATTTCACAAATAAAGTGAAATTTTGGGAAGGCAGAATCTAGATCTTTTGCATTCTTATTACTCAAAATAACTCAGAATGGTATTTGTAAATGTAGGGACAAATCAGACATGGTAGAACGGAATTTTCTCAATCCTGTTAAGGTAAACATAGAAATAATTGGACAGAGTATATAAAATCTGGATAAGGTATATATCCACCGTATTTGAAACGTGATCATTGTGTCTGATTTTGTTACTTTTTAATCTTACCTAAACTAGTAGTTCTGTCAAGTCTGAATGTTCCAGTTCCATAAGTGTTGATATTTGTACATTTGTTCTCTCAAGTGTAGTCTCTTTATGTTTCTTTAGGATGCAATGTTTCTCAGGTTCTGAAATTTTGAATGACCGTCGACAATGGATTTTTTCTTCTCAGAACCATCAGATTTGTTGCAGGCAATGTTTTTAAACTTAGGCTCTTAACTGGCAGGAGTATATTTTTAATTTGATTATATTTATCCATCAGGAACGTAACAGTCCTAAATGTTTTGGTGGTAATGGTACATATGAATGTGGTGTATGTACATGTAATCCTGGTAGATATGGTAAAGAATGTGAATGTGATGCTAGTAAAGTCTCAGATGAAGAATCCGATAAAAAATGTATCAAGTAAGTATATAGTGTGATTCACACATCTGTCTGAACACCTGATACCACTTACCATTTGGGGGGTTCACATTGTTTTATATTTGCAGCTTGAAATTTGACCCCCCACCCAAAACGAAGAACATTTAGTATAAAGACCATGCTATTTGTAGTTTTAAAGTCGTTTATCAAATTTAGCTAATGGTGGTGTAACTTGAAATAGGCGGGGAAAACAATTACTCTTTCATTCTCAAAATAAAGCTTCACAATAAAGACAAATTGTTCTTCATATCTTAGGTGGCTTGATGACCTAAGGCCGTGTTGAATTGATTCCTTGTTTCTCCTCGCCCGCGCGCTTAGGTCGAGGACCCCGAAAATCGTGCGCTTACGTTTTTAACACAAAAAAAAATATTCAAAAAATTACGTTAATAACATCTAAATAAAATTCTACCAAACATCAGAAGTCAATTCTCGTTGTTTATTCCTAATTTATTGATGTTCAAGGAAATAATAGTGGCCCCGTTCGCTCGTTACGAACTAAATAAGTAAGTGCAGGGGGCCGCACTACACGCAAAACAAAAATCTACAAGATAAACCTGCGGACAAGACAGAAAATAGGCATTGCACCGAATAAACAAATATCAAATCAAGTGAATGGATCCGGTTGATAATACACATGTAGGGGCCCGCATGCTATGGAATAAGTTACACTGTATATGATTGGATGAATTCCGCAAAATGGCGCGTGTAGCAGTCATTTCGGCTAATGAGAAAGCATATTATAAACTGTAAGACAATCGCTAATATTCAACCGCGAACCTGAATAATCAATTTTTTCATTGGCTAAAATTATTACTCATGTCATTATTATTCAAGTATTACCCAATCATATCTTGTGTAATAAATAACGCACGCCTTACAAAATGGTGAGCAATGCCGGGACATAGGTAAATTCGCGTACCGGTCGGCCTAATTTATTGATGTTCAAGGAAATAATAGTGGCCCCGTTCGCTCGTTTCTGGAGTTTAACAAACGAACGAACAAACGGGACCACTATTATTTCCTTGAACATCAATAAATAAATTAGGTCGACCGGTACGGGAATTTACTTATCTCGACTCGACTTTGGTGGTTATTCCCAGCACTTTCACGTTCGATGATATTATCGAAACCATCTAGAACTCAACAAGCGAATCAAATTATAACTGGAATGTTTCCATTGTATTTTAACACAAGAATACGGAAAATTTATATCAAAATATGGTTATTTCATTTTTTTAAAAGTTAAACAAAGAAGCCACTTGTTACCAAATTTTAGTTTTTTATTAAATTTATTTAATTAAATATTATCTGTGTTTTTATTCTAACCAATAATATAACTAGATTATTTATAATATTATTAAAAATGGTACACAACCCTCAGACTATATAGGTATTATGCCAGACCACTTTGTGTTTTGAAACCCACTTTGTGTTGTGTTTACCGCACTACCGCACATAATTGCCAGAGTGGTGGCAGGAGAAACAAAGAATCAATTCAACACGGCCTAATGGTCTAAGACATGTGCCTTAGATCATAAAGTTTATCATTAAGTGAAGTGATGTGGTTTTGATCCCATACTTTTACGTAAGAAAAAGTATCCAACCTCATGTATTTTCTCTGTCATTCACTTTCCTCTAACTGCTTAAGACCCCTATGCATCAGCGAATTATTGAAATAAAATTGTACCATATGTTAGTCCAGAAATGACCTGGTTTCTGTCAGTTGGATGTTAAACCCCATTTCTCCCGTCTTCCCATTAAACTCATGTCATTTAATTTATTTACAGACCTAATTCCACTATGCCATGTTCTGGTCGAGGGGAATGTGTGTGTGGTGTTTGTGATTGTTATCCTAGAACAGCTAATTCAGCACAAAAATTTAGTGGTACATATTGTGAATGTGATGACTATTCCTGTGATTATTTTGATGGGTTAATTTGTGGCGGTAAGTCTCATTCATCTAACAGTTAAAATTTTTATATGAGTATGAAAAGTATCTTTCACAACTCATCAATTTAAAATAACAACTCTTCCTACACCTGATTTACATTCCTCAAATTTCTGTTATATGTCCACATTGAAATGTGGTTGTATATTGTTGTTATTCCTGTCTGTTGGTCCCTCCATTGTCCACAATTGCTTGTGGATGTTCTATGGGCTAAAGTTATCATCCAATTGACTTTAATTTATACACAGTGTTCAGGAGACAAAGAAACCAATTTTCAATACTTACTGTCTGAGTTATTGCCCATATATATTAAATGTTAGCACTAGGAAGAATTTTAATTAGTTTTGATAATTACTTCATTGGTTGTTACTAGTGATCAGTTTTTAGTGTCTTGTAAGTGCTTCTATTACATACAAATAAATAAATAAATGACATCCTTTTTGAAATGCTCAGACAACTTTGTTGCTGTGGGCATATGTTTCATAGCCTGGCAACCTATCTTTAGATCTTTATGTCAGACTGCTCAGGTTAATGGCAGTAATATTCAAAAATTTTAGTTATAGTAGAATATTAAGTAAGACAAAAACAAATATTTTTTTTCTTTACAACAGGACCAGAACGTGGAACATGTGATTGTGGTAATTGTGTTTGTCAACCTAGTTTCGATGGACCAGCCTGTGAATGTGATAATAGAAATGTATCATGTTTAGCTTCTGATGGTGTAAGTTTAAATGTCCACATTTCTATTCTCTGGGGTGGCATTAGATTAGCAGTGGGAGGGGATAGCCGTCGAAGGCATGAAGAGGCACATATTTTGCTCTTGCTTAGTATATCGGTTAAAAAATGATTATCCACTCCCTCTTTTTTATTTCAAATTTAAATATCTGCTAAAAAATACGAAATGTTATACTTATGCTTAACATTTATTCGGTACAATTATTAATTATATTTCATTTTATTACTTTTTTTTCTTCCTTAATTCTCCTATTTAACAAATTTTATTAAATTTAGTAATTATGAGTGGTTAAGTATTTATGTTTAAAAGAAGTTTTTCAAATATTAAAAGCTTTATATAATGATATTTATATATTACAGACCTTATGTAATGGACATGGTGAATGTGTTTGTGGTTCTTGTCAGTGTGATAAACAATCACAGTATCGTGGTAAAACTTGTGAAGAGTGTCCTGTAAGTAAATACATTCTATTCATTATTATTATTTTACATTTTTAAGAAATGTTATGATAAATAACCTAACCACCAGCCCTTTCGCTGAAACTAACCACAATCTAATAAAATCCCATTCTAAAGCAATTTGTTAAACAGTCTACTGACCTTACATATTAATACTTTGTTCTATTTTGAATTATTGTAAAGATGTTATATTTTGCATAAATTATGCTGTTGGTTGACAGAAAGCCTGTATGATAATGAAATTGTTTTTTTTTCACTGGCTTGAAATGGTTATGTAATCGACTAATGCAAGCTTCAAGTCAGTCATTATGGAAAATTCCACCAAAGATCTGATTTCTGTTTCTTCAGTTCAGTCTTTGGAGATTTGGAGGTCAACTAGAAATCTATATTTTTTAATAATTTATTTTGTAGACATGTACAAGACGATGTAATGAAAATAAAGAATGTGTACAGTGTGTAGCTTTTCAATCTGGTCCTAAAACAGAACAAGAATGTAAACGAGATTGTAGAAATATTAAAGTTCAAGCTGAAGTCAGCAGTAAGTTAAATATTTTACAGTTGCTAATTTATCCAAATATGACAAAGAAAATACCAATCCTGTAAGGTAAAACAGTGATCTAACACACTTGCTGTAGATCAAAATGCCTGTTATCTATGTGAGTCATGCCATCAATCCTACCCAACCTTGGGTGTTTTCTCAGGGTAGTCTATTTTTTTTAGTCCAAAATGGATCTAGTTAGTTTTGCATGTACTTTAAACCCCCATACTTTCTATCTCATTGAAAAGTAATTTTAAGGACTGTAGAAGATCATGCCTTAGCAAACATTTATCTGTGTAACCAAGTATAGGTTTAAGTGGATACTAACAATGTCTAAAATCTTTAGCTTGAGTGACCTGATAAACATGACTATTCAATACTGCTTGTAAATTTTGCCAAGCGAAATTAATATGTAGTAATAACCTGCAAATTCTGTTTTGGTACTTGTTGGAAATGAAAGACTTACGTATAATTGAAAGTTTTCCCTGTGCATGAGTTATAGACATTTTTATCCAGGAACAGGGTGATAGCTAGTCAAGAAGGTTGTCTGCAACTGGATGTTTGCATTTCTTCGAAAACATATCACAAGGATTCAGATAGTTTTTTGGGACTTAGAATAGGGGTAGTAAAGAGGCTTCTACATATTTTTTTTTACTGTAATCAGTGTTTTAATGTTTTTAGAATCAGATGGTGTACAGATATGTCAGTTTAAAGATGATGATGATTGTTTATTTACCTTTACCTATGGCTTTGATCAAAATGATGAACTTCAAATTAAAGCTCAAAGAACAAAGCGTAAGTAATTTATTTATCTACAATATTCAGTGAAGTAAGAAATATTAGGTTTTCTTCAATCTCTCATCCATATTCAGAAATAGTTGAATCAAAAATATTTACAATGTCATCTTATAATTTAAAGATACATTATGTAATATTTAGATAAAGAGCTGGCAGTTCTTGCTATAACAGTTCAAAAATAGATAATGAAAAATGAATATATTAAAAATTACAGTCAAATTTCTTTATTCCGAGCAAAGTTATGAATGTTTGAAGTTTAAAGGTTTGACAAGTAATAACCTGTATTGTGTTCGCCAATTGCCGATCTACAGTTCATATTCCCAATTGTCAAATACCATTCCCCCGATAATAATTTTAAGATTTATCTATTGCATGATGCCTCTTTAATAGATGTGTTCCTGTTTATATTAACCATGTGAATGATTTCCAATTACAGTGTGTCCTGAATCTGTGAATGTACTCGCTATAGTAGGAGGTGTAGTTGGTGGTATTGTAGCAGTCGGTCTAGCTCTTCTCCTTATATGGAAATTATTGACTATCATCCATGACAGACGTGAATTTGCCAAATTTGAAAATGAAAGACAAAATGCTAAATGGGATACGGTAAGTCTTAATTTTAGTTGACCTATCTAAATATACTATTCAAAAAAAGTAGGGGATATTTGATTTTGGGGGCATAATACTAAAATATGCAAATGACTACGAAAAAAGTCACTATAGAACCTAACAGAAGAAACATTTCCAGTTACATGTGACGCCCAAACGCACCAATAGCTACCGCATGGAATGCAGGTGATGCTTGGGATCATCATGGGGGTCCAACCCAAGATTTGCACGACTCTGACTTTGAATGTTACAGTCATTGTGGCATTGAATTCCAGGGTGGAAACATCAGTTTAATTGTTTTAGTGACCAGAAAACAAATTTTGATATGCGTCGGCTTACCCAAAATGAAAGGTTACGTGCCCTTGGCATGCTACAGATCGGCACAACACAGGCGGTTGTGGCGCGGACGATGAATGTTTCTCAGTCTGTCATAAGCAGGCTATGGTCCAGATACCGTGATACACAATCTGTACAGGACAGACCACGCTCAGGTCGACCAAGGGCGACAACTCAAGCCCAGGATCGATTTATCCGTACCTTGACCTTGAGAAATCGTGTCATCACAGCAGATCAGATCAGCGCTCGTCTTTAAACAGACACTGGTGTGAGAGTGAGTGGCCAGACGATTCGGAATCGACTGCATAGGGGTCACCTTTGCGCCCGACGTCCTCGCGTGATCCCTTGTTTAAGAGATCATCACATTCAGGCAAGACGTCGTTGGTGTAGGGATCGTCAACACTGGGATAATCGACGCTGGAGCAATGTGATGTTTTCAGATGAGTCAAGGTTCACTGTTGATTTTTTGGACAGACGTAGGAGGGTGTGGCGTCGTCGAAACGAGCGCTTCCAAGACGTTAACGTCATCAGACATGATCGATTTGGGGGTGGTTCTGTTATGGTGTGGGGAGGCATCACTGTTGCTGGAAGAACGGCTTTACATGTTGTTGCAGGGCGTGTTACATGCCAGTACTACCGGGACAACATCTTGGCAGTCCATGTTGTGCCGTTCGCACGACGTCATGGCCGCCGTTTCATCTTCCAGGATGACAACGCAAGATGTCACAGGGCCAGGGTCGTTACAGGTTACCTCCAACAACAGAACATCACCACATTACCTTGGCCAGCACTGAGTCCCGACCTCTCCCCCATCGAGCATGTATGGGACATGCTTGGACAGAGGTTACGTCAACGTCAACAACGTCCTGCCAATGTCCAAGAACTTGCTGCTGCGTTGCAACAGGAATGGGACAATCTGGACCAAAATGACCTTAGACGTCTCATTAGGAGTATGCCACGTCGGATCAATGCTTGTTTGGCAAACAGAGGAGGATTTACCCGTTACTGACTTGGTTGTGATGCTGTGGTAACTTTGCTGTTTGACCCCGGGTATCATTTTACCCTTATAATGGTCAGTCTGTGCCTTACTTAGTCTAACGATCATTTGGAATAAATTGATGAATGTGAACTTCATTTCATTTTGTCATTTGTTTCTTCGTCAGTTTCATTAGGTGACTTTAATAACACTTAAAAATCAAATATCCCCTACTTTTTTTGAATAGTATATTATTTTATTTTTCTGCGAAGTTGGTATCTCTCTACATTATTAAAATTTTACATCTACAGATATATGTTTGACACTTTAAGGCATAAATGAAACTTTGTGTATTGTTCCATTAAATCAGTACCTTGACAAAGTTAAATACTGAGCACGATAATGTTAGTATACCTATGTAGTCTTGACTTCTGCTGACTGTTGACTTAGTGTGATTTGCAAGACAGGACTATTACATCCAAAATGTTTTCATTGACCAAGGCCTTCCTACTTTAAATATATCAGTAAACCATTTTGATAGGTTTATTATTATTATTATTGTTCGATTTATATAGCGCTTCATTACACGTGAAGTGTTTCTAAGCGCATCATGAACTTGAACCATTATTTTTTTTTTTGCTTTTCAGGGTGAAAATCCAATTTATAAACAAGCCACGTCCACATTTAAAAACCCAACATACGGCGGAAACTGAGTCACATTTTAAAACTTTTAGGTTTAATTTTATTTATAAAATCATCTTCACCATCACTAGATTAATACTCTGACAATACCATCATTTATAGTGGCACTGGGTTAGTGAAGATGATTGTTGGAATTTTATAACTTTTTCTTTTAAAATCGTGTTGGTGCGAAATTATAAGGGATCTTCCAAATAATATGCCAAAGTTTATTGTGGATATGCTGAAAGAGATGTTATACACTCCACAGTATATATAGGAGATTTTTTTTTTTAAATGATATCTATGTTCTTCTGGGGGGAATTTGAAAAACAAAACTGAATAAATTTTGTGTACTGGTATTATTAACTCTTAGCTGCCAAATGAATATTTCAACACGATGGATTTTAAAAAAGATGGTTATATGGATAAAGGAGGACAGAAGGAAGTAATGCAAGTCATATACGTACAATAGCTACGAGCTAAAAAACAAAAAGACTTTAAAAGCAATCTTCAATACCTATCACGTGCCTTAAGTGTTTATTTTATCATTGATATGGTCACAATTGTTTATTGAAATTCTCAAGATTTTAACATTTATGCCGTTTTCATGTTTTACTATATAAATAGTTTTGTCAATGATGTAAAGTTTGTTAGTATAGAACTAGAATAGCAGTATCATCGCAATGATTGAGTCTTTAGTTTAGAATTAAAGATATTAATATTTTAGTTTGCTTCAAGGTTTTATATACCGTACAATACAGGTATGTTTTTAGACATAGTTTTTTTTATGTATATAGTTAGCATTCCATTCTTTTATAAAATGATATAATCAAAATAACAGATATTAGTCTACACTAAACGAATATTGAATTCAGATTTATTTCATTTATAAAATAGCATCGAAAATGTGGTGTCAAACAGTTTCAGTTTGTTGTTACAAATACAAATCACAACTGCATCGTATTTTTTTGTAGTTACTAAATTCGGAAATCACTCTAAATAAACTGTTATAAAAGTTAAAAGTGAAAGCAGAGTAGAAAAATGAGTATAAAAAAGTTAATATATAACGTTCATTAAAATAAATTCCAATATGTGCCATATGAAAAGATTGTTCTATAATTCAGATTAATTACTTAAATGACAAATTTTGAAATTACAAAATGCAGTAGAAGATGCTTATTATTTTCCCTGAGGGAAAAGTACAACTAATAATTATTTTTAAAGGGTATATATTTGTGAAATGTTATTATCAATAATATGTTCTTCAAATACTCAAACTAAACTAAAGACTTTTTAGGTATTGATATTGTTTTAATACATTTTAGTTAGAACCTTGCATTTATTTTGAGATTAGAAATTAAATCTAATTTGAGGATGTGAATATAGTCATTGGGATGGATGAATTAACAATATACAAGAGCTCTGTGAAAAACAATGTTCTTATGTTATATTTGAAAATCAGTTGAATTAATATTATTAAATATTTCCTATTATAGTTATAGACATAAAAGTTTTAATTGACATATAACAAATACCAAAATATCAGTTTTTATAATTTGATTTCAAATATTTGTATGTGTACTATTCATAGTATTTAATTACTAGAATTTGTAGTTCAAATATTACTAGCATTTAAATTCAGATTCTCAATCCTATATTTAGTAGTTCAGTTGTAACTAGACAGATGAGCAATAAGCTATCTTAGCATTTAGTTATTATATTTAGTATCGAGTGCCTGCTTGAATTTATTTTCAAAACTTTATTTAACTATTCCTGCCACTACTGTTAATATTGATACTCAAGAGTTAGTTTGAAATATTTATAGTTGTTGAGATGTTGTGGTGCTATGGGAGAACTTAAAGAGCATTGCAAGAGCAATTCCTTCTTTTTCAAGTAGATCATGTTCTATGGAATAGAATCAAAATTGATGGAGAGGCTCAGATCTCCAGTTTGAGGAATCTGGAGCTTGGTTGTTACCGGTACTGAATTAGTTCTCTCAAAGATGAATAAGCAACATTTATGGAAGAGAAGGATAATATTAGGGTGTATTTGATTCAGGACAACGCTAGTGACTCAGATCATCATTTTGAGTAATCTTGGTCTGGGTTTTAGATCTGTTAAGAAAGCTTTTCAAGAAGAAGAAATATTTTTTGAAAAAGATTGTAACTCTTGCATTGCGCTATTTCCCCATTAAATCAAATCATACATTGTCATTTAAAAGATAACAATACCAAAAAGGTAATCTTTATATATAAGTGGTTTTATTTTCATGAAATTAGACAAAATAAAGTGATTGTGATTTAATATCAGCTGACTGTCTGGTGTCAGATATGTTAAAACTTATCAACAAACATGATATATTTGTCATGGTTGATCGTTTTGATTGACATTGTGACATAATGAGAGGCTAATCTGACAATTTTTGACATCCATACCTCATGAGGAAAATAAAATCAACAAATTATAAAGATTACCTTTGATCTTGTATATATAACCATTTCATATTTTAATAAGTAAACTTTTTCTTATTGTTTGTTTTTCAATTAGATATTTCTTATCAATTAATTTCGAGATGATTATTTAGTTAATTATTTATTAATTTGAGCCAAATCTTATAATTCTAGTCTATAATTTATCCAGAAATAAGTTTTTCCTTTTTTAATTAGAGTAAAATTATTTTATTTATTGGTAAAAAGTCTCAATGTTTTTACATATATTTAGTTTATCATAAACAAGGGGTAATATTAGTCATTTTAGTCTTATACATGAGTATAATACATATATTCTTTTATTATTTACGAGTTTGAAGTTTTCAGCAAAAAAAACCATGTAAATGAACTGCATATCTTTGCGCAAGTTTGTGCTAAAAATGAGTGCTTAAAGGATAATTTGTTATTAAGTTATTCAAGATTGTTGATGAAAATGGTTGTGCTAAAGAAAAAATTACTTGAATTATTTCATTTTTCTTCATTTAGTTTGTGTCAATTTTTCTAGTAACAGTAAAGCCTCAAAGGACCAATTATTAACATAATAAGAATATTCAAGAACCGAAATGAAAAATCTGTAAATTTGCTCTTTTTTAATGGCTGACTGCTGATTATATTTGATCAATGTAAATGTAGAAATTATATTTTGTTCTATCATCTTTTCTTTTTTCCTTTATTTTTTTTTGTTGTCTCTTGAATAGAGTTTTATTTTAGTTTTTCAACTGATTTGTGTATGTGTAATAATTTACTAGGTTTTTTATATATTGTGTACATATATCTTTTTGTATTATAATCTTAACGATGATGAGAATAATAATAATAATGTTTATCGTATGCATGTAAATGTACTTTATATATAAGACAATAATCAAGTCCATCTCTATCAAGTTAACTGAGGTTTTTTTTTTAGACTTTTATGTTGCCAATAATGGTATGTCCACTAATACCTTAATATTATGTATTTTGAATGTGCTGCACAATCTTAGTTTAGAAATTTGTCAGATTTACTGAAGAAAAAAATTCTTGTGTTCACTGTACGTTCAGAATACTCTTGAAAATTCTTTCAATCTTTCACAAACAAAATGTTGAATCTTTCAAAAAAGCACAGTGTGAACTATAATGCATGTATGCTGATATTGCCTGTATATTAATAAAAAAAAATGTTTTTAATTATTATAATAGGTTTTATATATTAATTGGCACTTAAAGTTTTTACATTTGTTAAATCTATGTAGTCTTCCATTCAACAATGAGTTTGTTGCTAATGCTTAATATGAATTAATGCTATCAAGACCTACCATGAGAGCATAACTATAAATTGAATGAAATTTCCTGATTATTTGAATAAAAATGACGTTTAACTTTAAAATTTGACTTAATTTATTACTTTGTTAAATTATTTTAAGGAATTCCTTTCTAACTTAAACAACACATAGTCACTGACTCAATTCATGGGTTTTCTCTATTGATATTTTATATATCATGATTATAAGGTGTTTAGGTACAGTCATATTTTATTATTGGTGTTAACTGCTTTATTGTGGACTAATGACATTTATATTATTATAGTCCCAGTATTCTAACTAGTCTTTTTAACCTTTTTTTATTCAACAATAGTTGTTTTTTAAATATCAAGTATCTAGCTTTTTTCTTCTCGTATAAATCAGTGAATTATTTAATAAAGTCTTTTTATATAGATGAGGTATTTCCTTTTTTTAAGCCTGCTGTTATGTTATTAGTTATTGATGAGGTAATTTGGGGAAAGAGGTACAAAATGGACTCCTCAGATCAAATGGACCCCTCAACCCCATACTTTCCTGTGATAAGGTAGTTGGAAAATAAAGCCTTAGTAGTCGATAACATAACGTCCTGGCAAACTAGGTAAATAGTCCGGCAACCAAACCCCATTTTAAGCCTTGACATGGAAATATACTCAGCCAAATTAAAAACTTGACACTGATGAATTTCAACAAATTTTTTTTTCTGGGAAGTCAAATAAATTTTAAAGTGTTTCTAACGATAATAAGTAGTAAGAAGTCTTTAATTTCATAAAATTGTAAAGTCATGTGGATCACGTGACTTTTGAGCATATAAAGATGAAAAACCTGAAAAACACGTGCAAACACAAACTCGTGAGGTCAATCGATGCAAGTTTGCTTAAACTGAACACGCACACGTAACTTGAACTGGAAAAACAAATTAAAATTGTTATTTTCATCTTTGTTAGAAAATGCCGCGCCTTTCAAATGTAGAACGTCTACGTGCTATAGGTAGGCTCTATGCTGGTCAGTCTGTGGTCACTGTTGCAAGAGCTTTTAATTGTTCACGCCAGACAATAATTATTATCTTAGAATGAGAGCGCCACGTGTGACGTCACTCCATGAAGATCAAGCAATACGATTACGTCATCTTAGAAACAGATTTGTCACTGCAACCTCCACATGTAGAGAGATGTTTGGTGGAAGGGTAACTGCACAAACTGTTCGAAATCGCTTGCAGGCTGCTGGTCTTCGAGCTCGGAGGCCCTATAATGGACCAATATTGACACCTCTTCATCGCCGTAACCACACCTCCATGGCCGTAACCGACTTGTGTGGGCCACAAGACACATAAGATTTACTCAAAGACAGTGGAATTCGGTTGTCTTTAGTGACGAATCTCGATTCACTTTGAGATTTGCCGAGTGTAGCGGAGACGAAGTGAACGTCAGCAAGTGAATCCACCACTGACGTTGCAGGACCTTCAACATGCTCTTGCTGAGCAGTGGCGACGTGTTCCTCGGGTAGTGTTTACTAATGTTCTGGGATCCATGAGAAGACGTTGTGTGGCAGTACGAGACGCTAGAAGAGGCCACAACCGTTACTAAACACTTTATTCCGATTGTTCTCCAAGTCTGTGAATTTCATTTTGGGGGGTACTGTGACATCACGAATGTTATCAATGTCAAGGACTTTCGGCGAGACGTATTCTTGCTTTCTGTTGATGTCAAGGTCGTCTGTGCACAACATAACACTAAAATAGTTGCCGTAAACCAAATATTAAAAATCTAGTCCCAAAAATCCCGAGTGTCAAGTTTTTAATTTGGCTAAGTATATAATCCACCTAATGTTTTGTTATGGATTATATATCTTCAATACAAGTAGATTCAGAATCTAGATTATGCCACCACAGCACCATTGGGGCAATATAAATATTCAAGATGGTCGCAATTCAGCATTTTCTAGTTATTTAGTGGAGTAAAATTTGTGACAAATCTCTCGGACTTTGGTTTGAAGGTAGTTTCTAGTCTGGTAGGAGATACACCAACCTGGGGGAAAAAATCTGAAACTATTTTTGCTTTTTTTTTGTAAGGAGGTATGTACAAAGTACCACAAGAAAAAAATCCACTGCAATCTACCTTGGGCAATTTAGACGATTTAGTTTCAGTATCCGACCTCAAAATGAATGATTGACTTTAAATTTAAGGTCATGAAATGAAGAAGCCTATTGATTTTCACTGATTTCCGATAATTACTGCAAGAGTTGTGGCCCTTGATTACTTTGAAAAATCTTGTGGACGCTCTAGAGGCTAAAGTTGATATCCGATTGACTTTAAATTTTTACACAGTGTTTAAGGTCATCAGACGAAGAAGCTTATTGCTTTTCAACGATTTCCGATAATTGCTGCCAATGTTACGGCCCTTAATCACTTTGAAAAATCTTGTGGATGCTTTAGGGACCATAGTTCTCATCTGATTGATTTTATATTTATACACCATGTTTACACCTATATATAATCGTTTTGATTGACTTTAGATTGATACACAGAGTTTAAGGTCTTGAGACGAACAAGTATAATGATTTTCAATGATTTTTGATAACTCGAACAGCTAAATCCATGACATTAAATGTTTTGTATACTAAACGTTAGCATGGGCCAAACAAATTCTTATGATTTTCTGATAATGCAAGAGCTAAATCTGTCTATTGCAGGTCTTTATTAATTAGACATTAATTAACTTATCCAGACCATAATCAACTCTAGATGGCATTGCTAGTCTGCTATCTTAAGTGGATTGTGATCCGATTTACTGCATAACTTTGCTTTTAATTAAACGATTAAATGGATAATTGAGACTATGCTGTTTAACCTACTAACTTTGGAAATGATGACCGAGGCTAGGCAGAAATTTTATTCGCTTAATTCTCGGTTCATAGTGGATCAATTTGAATACAATTTTCAGCAAATTGCCTTTACGTTATCTAGTTTTTAATTATTATAGTGAGATTTGCCAACTTGTTATCGAATCTCCCATAATGTATCTTTAATGAGTTGTTACTCTTAATCAGATTTGAGTGTACTATAAATGTTTCATTACTGACAAAAGTAAAAATATGCGACAACTCTTGTTGACTGCCTGAACGATTTAATTGCTGTGGGCGTATGTTTCGTTGCCTGGTAACCCATCTTTGTTTACTTTGTGGTTTTGAGTAGCAGTTTTTTGGCTAAAAGTTGAAAAAAATGATTCCGGTCACAAATGTTGAAGTGAGTGCTAACGACATTGTAGGAGACGAACTTACGTTGATGTTATTACAAGAGGCTTTGGAGTCAAGTGAGAATAAAAATTTCGAATGGTATTGGACTGTTTTGTAGTGAACAGAATCTCGGGAGCCAAATGTAACCTGGCTTTTGGTGACTTTTGACGTGTTTTGGGTGTTTGGTTTGATGAGCAGTAATGGGGGTCTTTCGTTACCGGTATGTGTCGTTTATTACAGCTACTGTGGTGATGACCCTGTGTTTCTGAATCTATGAGAGCTTCTATTGGTGTGTTTGTTGGGTTGTCACCTGGTTGGAGGCTACTAGGATTGATAACAGTTTTGGTAATATATTTACTCTGAGATGTTTTAACAGTTGCTTGACGCCTGTAACCTTTTTTGCCCAAGACGTTTCATAAAAATATGTTAAAACATGAATGTATAAAATCGAAATGTTTTGATATCTTGAATTGTATTATTTAAAATACACGAATAACGTACTGAATTGTAAATAATGAATAAAGCCAAGACATGTATTAAATGTTTTATTGAATTGGAATAGAAACTGGAAACAGATTAAGATCCCGTGCAGGATATTTCATTCAAATATTGTGAAAGGGTTGGCAATAAAATGAAAATTGTCATTGTGTTATTAAACACTGAATCGTCCTATTCTGTTATGTAGTCGTCTCAACATATTGTTGTCACCAGTTACTTCTGCCAAACAAATTACATGTATACGAAATGAAATGGGGTTTAACGTCCTACTGTTCTGCTAAATAACTCAATAGAAACAAGTAAAGTATTATATTTTTAAATTAAATCATTAAATTGCCGAACACCGTTAAACTTCATTTAATTACTCGGATGTTTACAAGCCCTGTTCTCGCTTGTCAGGGACAGCCCTTGCGGAGTTGACAAGGAAAGTGGTTTAGTTGTTCGGATAGGACAAAAATTGGTAGTGCACAACAAATAATAATCAAAATAAAGTGTTAATGGGCATCAGTTTTCTACTCAGCATCCTAAAATTGCTCCAGCTCACCTATCCATATTTTTATTAGTTTCATGCTGCGAACAACATTTATGTTTTCCCGTCAGAAAAGTTTAATCGTGAATACGAGACAGAAAGCACGTGTATAGTGCAGATATTCAATGGTAATAGACTATTTCAGGGTTGATGTAAAAATCTTCAGAACATGTGTAATGCATAGGACTGTGAAAAGATTAAAAATATTGATTTTCAAATTTGGTTGGACCCATTGGAATCGGAAAGGGTGAAATTCCAGGTTAAAGATAGTTTGTTAATTATCTCGCAGACAGGAATCCAATTAAAGGGGAATTTCGCTCCATATTTACGTCCACACGACAGTATATCGCCTGAAACTGCTTCTCAATCAGTTGAAATAGTGAAAGGCAAAACTCAAATTTTATACCTAGTCCCTGTACTTTGTGACAATTGTAGTTTCTAACATAGTTTGCACCGTACAATTACGGCGTGGTTTCAAACGCCTAAATTTGATTATCTCTATTTTGAAAGTTTTTCCATTTTACAAGCGCATGTGATGTAAACAACCTACATAAATTTTAATATTTTCGGTCGATAAATGTAATCGATATAATGTTTATAAGAAATAATGAACACAGATGGACGGGGTTACGACAATATACGACCATATAAGAAAAACGAATAGTATTTATGACTAGTTTATTTATTAGCAAAGAGTATATTCTATTCATTACTAAATTATATTAAAATCTATAATGATATACATATCCCTAGACTTGTATGAATCAATATATAAGTATGCAATACATGTATATATTTACCTAACCACAATATAAACCCTAGTATAAAACTTGATGGTAAAACATCTTCATCGACCAAATAATATCTCTTCAAAAATCAAAATTGTAGACAAACTTGTCTGGTTTGCAGAACACTTACTCCCATATTTTCGAAAGTAGATTAGTGCTAATCATAGATTTATTCACCGATTTTCTGACCAGTCATATTCTGGAAAGCTGACTAAATTTTAAACTAAGATTTATATAAACTTGGATTAGCCTAATCATTGAGTTAATCATTGTTCGAGAATACCATAAAATGTGATATTCTGGAACGTTAACTTGTACTTAATCTTTGACTAAGCCACCCCAAATATTTGTCACCTCGGTGGGGGG